AGGAGGATCGTTTGCTCAGCCTTGTGGATGTATCTGACAAAGAGAGGGATCCGCGTGTGACAGCGCATGCCCCAACTCTTTCTGATGTCAGACGACGGTGGCATACGAGACCATGTTTGCGACACGAACGGTAGCGAAATGTGCGCCCACGTCAGGCTTCACCCAGCTTTGTCGAGCTTCTTTCCGAGTTGGTGTCATGGTCATCTCGCGTCGGCATTTCTCATGGCGTTGGACTCTGTGGGCGTGAGACGATCGAGTCACTATTGCGTTGTGGCAGTATGATCTCCTCACAACCGTTCCCTTCAACGCTTTGCCTGCTTGTTCCTTCCCGGTCTACGTCCATCGAAAGCCTCCACAGGCATGGCGGCAAAAGAGCAAACCTGACAATGATCTGGGATCAATTTCTTGCCGTAGCATTAGCCTTCCCACTTCAGGGCATAGGTAACCAGTCCCCAACAAAATTTGATCACATGGTTCGTTACGTTATCCGGACGCATTCCGTGGTAGAAGTAAGCTGCATGCCGTCAGGATCAAGTTCGAGAAACCGTAGAACGTTTGCCCTGCTCGATCTCAATTTCTCGGCCTGGACACGAAGAAAATGCAAACTGATATGCCCAAAAGGTGAGCAATGAATGGTTTGGATAATGGTTTCCACCCTTGTATTTCTGTCGGGTCTCCGCATTGCGTGACCAGGCTGAGTTTGGGAGCAAGTGGCCATGATGAATCAGCTGCATGAAGGCTTGCGACCACATGTTGCTCAAGGGTGATCCAGGTGTTGAAGCCGGATAATCGTGATACTCGACAGTTTACTGAGTGTGCCTCAATCGTCAAGGGTACCTTCCGGATGAGGAAGCAAGTCGCCGTGCAGCTCGGTGAGGGATCGCGACATTTTCACCTAAGCACTTACATATCGCAAATGGAACTTCAAACACGAGTCGGAAATTCCGCTGTTCTTTGTCAACATCGAACACCGAAAGAAAGGCAATTCCGGGCCCATGCAGCTTGAAGGAACGAGTGGCACCGGAAAGCTGCTTACGCTCAAATAGGGAAACAGCGGCCACCATTGCATTTCACTAGCAGATGGTGCCTTCTGTGCCTTCTGATGCGTCATGCATGCATTGGAAGCTACTAGCTGCCAATCATCCGCTTGGGAGACCTCGCGCCGTCTATCCGGGACGTTCACAGAGAGGTCCAGAACCGTTTACGGAACCGCAAAATGGTTTGGGCTTGATAGCAGAGTGCCTCGGTGATGATTCCAAACAGATAGCATGTCGAGAAAGTGTCTTCTTCATCCGTTTTCATATAGGGGGAGCTGCGTCTGCGATGCCAGACACGATGCTTGGTCAGACAAGGCTCAAAGATCAGCAATTACGTGACCAGCAAGTGCTGTACGACCAATCCTGCGCGGGAATCCTAACTCAAGCACGTGGAGATTCGGTGGGTAGGTGGAAACATGATCGGCGTCTGCTCCCTCTATAGAGTTACCGCTGCTTTTCGCATTGCGACATCCCAGCCGTCTGGCGATTGTCGAGGTTGAGTTCCTGGGCTTCTTGGATGTTAGACTTCAGGAGGCTTGCAATGCAGGGTCCAGCATCGCGACGTACACCCGCTGGTTAGTTGTATGCAGCAGTTATCAGCTCTGCCAACACCATTGGCGACTGCCAAATTGTTTCGCCCATTATAAACTCTCTGCCTATTCTTGTGGTTGCTAGCAACGGCGAATGATGGCCATTACATCCCCTAGCCTAACCACCCCAAGCATGCTAACCCAAACAATCTGTCTGCAAAGCGCTCGGGTTGGCAGGTGAACTAGGTATGTATGTACGATAGCCCTACCTCTTGAACTTGCCAGACGAGGCTTGGAGGTTGGAAACGTCATTGACACATTTGCCTGCAGTGACCTCTGAGGTCGCACTGGGTACTTAGCCTCTACGCCAATTCTTCGATTGTCGTATCTTTTGACGGTTTGCGACCTGCAAGAATGAGCAGGGCCCAGCCAGGGAGTCGGCTATGCCTTCGTCCATCTACCAGCAAGGGTATATGCATAGGCAAGTCAGGAAGATGCTCTTCTTCCCGCAAGATTCCTGAGTGTCTGGGATAGAATTGAAAACCGAGAGACGATAATCGGCAGTCGGGGAAGCATGCCATCAAGTCTTTAGAGGTGGTACCATTTGGGCGTGTGTTTCGCCCTGCGGACTTGTGCCGCGCTGAACTGGAAGTCGAGTGTGGGTCTGGTTAAGAAAGGCGGGTTGGGTAGATTCATCTGTCCCGCGTCCCTCTTCGAAACATTGACAATCTAGAGTACTCAAACAGTACTCGGGGGTATGTATGTAATAGACCATGCGTAGTTTATCTCTGTAGCAAGCGGGCAGCGGACGGCGTACCCGATTGGCATTGGCTGGGCAGGTTTCTGATCTGACTGGACTTGCATGCTATGTGGAGGAGAAATTGCAGGTACCATTTCCCAATAGCGTCAATGGGCTTATTTCCCGCCAGAGAGCGTGCAACTCCACAGAGCATTCAGAGGCTTCTCAGAGCAGCGGGTGAGTGAAACTCCGGGATGATCGACCACGGGAGCTAGATGCGACGTCCGGAAGGAGCTGCAGCTGCAGCAACGTCGCGCAGTAGTGTGGATAACAGCTTTCAAGGGGAGCAACTGGGGTAGGCTGGCTGCACTGTGCATTGGACAATTGACCATAACTGGCAAACCAGGTAAGCATGACAAGATGATGACGGCGCTGCTCGCTGAGGGCGAACACCCAGCGAGCTCGGAGGAGTCAGGACCGAAACAGGGAGCAGGGCTGGAAGTGCTCGGTGTCGAGAATAGGATGTATTGTCGCTAGTGGGATCACGAAGGAGCGGCAGAGGTATCCAAAGGCACTGTGGTGGCAGGGGTGCCTGGAAGCACATAATCTCGTCCGGAGAATAATATGAATAATGAAGATGAGATATGATGATCAAGGGTGAGGAAGTGGTGGAGGGAGACAAAGCGAGTCACGTGCGCAAGCGGGGCCCTCGGAGCTCTCGCTCCCTGTTCCTGTATTGTGCTGTATGTAATGACTGGAATTCCACGCCACGGTAACGGCAATACCATACCAGTACGGTCCCAAGTATCGTGACAAGCCTCATACCTCACCGTCCCAGCCTTGCGCCATGGTTTTCGACTTCGGCTTGCTGAGATCAGTTGCCACATGGCCAAGGGAACGAGTGGAAGCCTCATCGCGCACCGAGTGCCACTCACATCCGTGGGTCAATCCTTTTCCCCCCTGCCCCATGCACCTTGGCAAGCTTGCGGATTCTTTCCTTAAGTGAAAATTGCCGGATCCTGGGGGTGCTCTCGGGCTTTCGGGGATCAGTGTGGATATAGGATGACCAGATATGCGTATTCCCATTGGATGGCCGGCGACCTCTCGCCCAAAAGATCCAAATCACATAGCCCGCTTACGGAAGGATTGAGTCAGCCTGCAACTGTTGGAAGGAGGCTACGGTACTCTCCAGGCAATATCCTGCCTCGACGCGACTATTGTCCATTCACACCACAACTCCACCAGCTGTTTCGGGATCGCGGTCCAGACGACCCTGCGGAAACAGGATGCTGTCAGCATGGCCTCGTTGGCCGGAAATGGATGCAAGGCGCGCACGATCAATATTCGTTTTCCATGCGGCCGCCGATTGGGCATTTGGAAAGTGTTGCGGACCTTGCAGACTGACTCGAGGGCCTAAGAGAGGCAGCTCTCTTTCGTTCGGTTGCGGAAATCGGCTGTCTTGCTGATGGAGTCCTTAGGAAATTGCCCTTGCTCCTTTTCGAATATTGCTTACACATCAGCTTCGTCCGGCGAGACGGAACTCATTGTGCACGCCATGGCCATTGTACCTATGGAAATAGAGGTTGCAAAAACTCGGAAGAGGAAAGCTCATTCTCATCACAGGAGCACGCTACAAGTTTGACGTAATTCTTTGGCCCTGGGGGATGGGAGAGTCTTGAAAGAGCTAGAGACTTCGGACGAGCCATTCGCAGGGGCGATCCCCTGTCTCTTGTTGTACCGAGCATAGCACTACTCCGTGTAGACTTCTAGATGAGGCCATAGTGCTTTTCTTTGAAACAGGATTTGATTGATAGAACCTACCGGAGCCTTGTCTTGAACTCGTGCACGGCTTGAAAAAAGCTTGCGGTGTTGAGATAAGATCTTAGTAAGGAATGCACAAACTCCCTAAAATGGAAAACCTCACAGCGGCCCCTGAGTGGCTTGATTATGACACAAAAGGAAGTCACCAACAGTGACAACGGCGTGTCACGTACGGACTGTTAGCGGTGTAACGACCGTGTCTGCATACCCACGCTGCCGAGATCGGAAGATTCGCGACGATCAGAGGACATGATTCGGGGCCATGATCATATCGATAAAGAGCATGCATGCCGAACCAATGACTAGCATTGACTGTGGCCCTGCAACACTCCTTTGTTGAGTAAAACGTACTGTCCCCCAGACTGGTCCGGTTGATGTTTCCATCGCCGTGGAATCTTCAATGTCAACGAATCCTCATGTGGTGCAACAACGATCGAGTCCGGGGGAGCTATGCCACACTGCATCCAAAACTGAGACTGACCGGAATTTACGTCTCGACGGTCGATGACAAGGCTGAATGAAGTCTGAGGCTTCTCGAATTCTTCTCCCACAGCAGGCTAGCACAGCGAAGTGTGCAACTTCTGAATTGTTTCCCCTTACCACACGCAGCCCACAGATCTCTGCCGTCATCGTTGTTCCTGGTCATTCATGCCTGCCGCGCGAAACGGACCTCAACCTGCTAAGCGAGAGCTGGCCTCACGCGTATGTAAATATGAGGCGGGATTCCCCCTTTTTTGGCCACCGAAAACGCGGGGGCTTCTGGCTGTGATCATCCTAAAATGGATTTTTTTCCGGAGGGAATGCTCGAGGATCGGAGATTGACAGCTCGGGGACCTTCTCTGCAGCATTCTCAAAACATTGGACAGTTGGATTTCATCCGCCGAACGTGAAAGGCGGAGCGACAAAATTGCCCAGGTCATGCTCCTGCGACGTGTAAGCGATCTGAAACTAAAAATGGGTAGGGTAGGACAAAGGCTTGGGTTACCTTGATGTAGTCACTTCCTTTCTCCATGTACTCCGCATGCGTCACGGTGGCCGACTCACGGTCGATTTCATCCGAAGTGCTCCACCAAGAAGCTGCTCCTTTCCAGGCATCAAGAATTGGGTCATTTGCCTTGCGGACGTTGATTGTGAAATCGCACGGTAATGTTGCAATGAGTTCTTGCCTGAGTCGTTCCTCGAAAGTCGGAAACATGGTGTTTCCGCCTGTCAGAAAGACATCCTTCAGGAGCGCCTGTTGTTGGTCGAAGCTTGAGAAACGACTCATGACGATACCTTCAATGATTTCCACTAGACCAGCTTGGTCCACTCCAGCAATCGCTGGCTGAAACACTACCTCGGGCACTCTGATGCGTTCGACGTTGAGGTGAATCTGATTTGCCTCTCGCTGACTTTCCGGATCCGCTGGCCTCGCTCCTCGTAAGAAGGCGTGCAAAACGCTCTTTGTCCAGTCGTTCTGCGCTTCAATGGTGTCGTTTTCCGAAAATTCTGGGTCAAATTGCAGAAGCTCGCTCTCAAGAGCTTTCAAAGCGGTAAGTGGGTCTTCCTCGGGCTCCTCGTCGTCGCTGGCGGGCTCAGTGGCAACGGTCCGGTAAACGCCCCAGTCCTCATCGTTGGCTCCAAAGTCGTCGTCATAATCCCCTCCACCTCTGCGCTTCCGCTTCGGTCCATCTGAGGCGAGGTTCGCCAAGGTTTTCATACGCATTTGCGAAGCAATGCCTTTGCGATTGCTGGAATCTGCCTTTTGCCTTGCTTGCTCCTTGATCTTGGCCAAAAGTGCAAGGCGCTGTTGTCGACGACCCGCGAGCCATTCACCGAACCGATTCTCACGCATTTCACGGTCTTTTCTTTCTTCTTCAGCCACACGCGCTCTCTCACGTTCTTTTTCCGCCTTGGCTCTTAATCTCGCCTCGACACCTGATCTCATCAGTCTCTGATGCCGCTTCTCCTTGATGCCATCCTCGTCCAACTGATCGTCTGGGACATCAAGAAGAGGGAACTTATTGAGCTGCTCTTCAAGGTTTTCTTCTTCTTCCGGAGCACCCAGCTCCTTGTTCCTAGATTTCTTGATCGATTTATCCAGGTCACGGATGATTCTCTCCAAGGCGGCTTCATCTTTAAGCTCTTCATCATCCAAAATTCGACGCTGCTCCTTTTTGGTTGGTGCGTTCACGTAAGAGTTGTGCAGCTTCTGATAGTACTCCAACTCTTGCTCTTTCTTGATGAGCTTCTCCAGGCGCATCTTCGCAGCTTGCTCTTGAAGTCGCCGACCAGACTCCTTTTTGCGCTCGGCTACCCTGGCAAGCTCCTCGGCCGATTTCTCGACCACGACCTGTTCTGTGAAAGGGTACTGAATTATGATATCTCGGTTTTCTTCCAGGCCAGTCCAGTCGAGATAGGTAGATAACTCAGTTGCAAAGTCGGTTGAAAGATTGCAATATTGCTTGATGTATGTCTCCATCTGCTCCGTAGTAAACTTCCCAGGAAAGGTGGGGTACTTCAGGCGAAGGAGTTTCAGCAGGTACTCCTGAGCCTGCGAGCCTCCCCAATTCAACCTTGTGCACATTTGCATCTGAGGCTTCCGATTCAACACTGGTATAATGTGCGTCGAGGTATGAGATGAAGACACGATAAGCCCGGACTGGCCCTTGTTTTGGCGGTAGGAAAACAGGCTGTCAATTCCGTAGGTGACACTTGGCGCGTTGTAGCATTCAAAGAGCATTTCGTTCATCATTCTTCTGCTATGGCCCAGGTTCGCAACAGGCTCCGTGACGACCAGAGGTCTGCCCACAGTACCTTCCCCATCCACACCCAATTTGAGAAAAATGTAGTCGTACACACCCTCTAAGATGTCCCAATTCGTCGCAATGCTAGTATTTTGCTCAAAGGCCGTCCTGATTTGGCCCCGAGTCGTGGCATCGGCGTAGGCATCGTAGCCGACAAATGCGCAATACTTGTTGTACTTTCGGTCTTTGAACTTGGCCATGATTGGGGGTACGAGGAATCGGGGGCTCTTATCGAAAGAGAACCCGGCCTTAATGGTGTTGGCTCCTGTACCAACTCGTGTTAGCTCATCCCTTCACCGGTTGAAATCTGATGTTTTGCCATACCATTGTCGATGACTATTGCGCTTTCAGAAGGGGTGGCTGCACTCTGCCGGTAGCCATCTGCCCTCGGAGGCTGCCATCCTTTGAAGGGGAAGTCTGGAGCGGGATAGACTCGGGGGCTTGACTGCGGCTCGCCGTCTGGGGGAGGCGTAGGGAAATTACGCTCTGTCGCGATACGGGTAATCGATGTGATGGTCATTTTGTCCTGTTTATGCTAGAGATCCCTATGCCACATCCTTGACCGCGTGCTTGGTGCGTGCTTTCGCAATATGCGCTGGATGGGGATCAGTTGTCGGTCTCTGGTAGACTTTTGATGCATGCGCCGTCAAAGGCAGACGGTTCAGCAAGAGTTAAATTTATGTTGGAGAACGCGTCACAATGCGGAGAAATTCTACAGGTCAAGAGCTGAGCCCGCGTTTTTGGGGGGGGGGGGGTAGAGGAGGGCTGGGAGGTTCCAAGAGGGACCGACCCAGGGCATCCCTCGTGCAATTTACCGAGTACATTTATCGCCATTTGACTGGCCAGCTGCATCACCATATTCTTGCTATGAACAATCTACTACCAGGTTGCGAAAAGACAACGCGGTGAGCCTCAAACATGCGAAAGATACTGAATGTTCACGATCTGATGTGTTCCAACGGCCCAAGGCACCAAAGGTTCATATGCAACGGATATGTCCCGCATCGCCGGGAATGGAGTCTGCCAAACAAGTCCTCGTTCATGCTTGATACCTGCTGATGTCTGCTGGTCCCTTTCACTGCTTACACAGTCCACAAAGAGCCGGTCTTGGATCTTCGCATTGACGCACACCGGTCGTAATCCAGCAGGAAATGGTCGACCGACCCGTCCAGTGTCCGTTCAACTGCGCTATTGTGATCTCTCAATGTGTATCCACACCAATAGGAAGCGCCTTGGATATTTGTGACCCGTTGAAATGTGGTGCTGTGGCTCGTGTATCACTCTTTTGGTGGCTGAAACCAATTGTTTTTCCTCTCATAATGGTCCCTTCAGGTTGTCCGTTGCTGGGAAAGTGTCACCTCAGCGAAGCCTCCACCTTGCTGTAATATCTCGTACCTTCAAGATGAAAGAGAACGTTTGACTGATAATTCTTGAACATCTGCGCAACCAATTCGACATTCATATTCTGAACGTTGACATCCTGCAATCCATTCTCAACGTTGCGTCTCCACGCCTATCCTCAAGGGTGTGTACCTGCAGATTCCTGTTCATCATCATCACGGCTTCGTTTAGCTTCTCCTGATCATGGCCATCAATCTCGATTCCTTGAATACGACGAGGCGGTGGCTTACGATGTTTGTTATGATCCTGGAGAGCAGCAAGCTCTGCTGCTGCTCGTGAGGACTCTCCTGCAGCGTGACATTAGCATGTATTCTTGGCAAAGAAGTCAAGAGCTCACCATCTTGTTGCCTCTGCGGACGGCGACGCTGGCAGGAGAACTCTACATTCACAATCTCCGAGTGCAATGGAACAGCGCCCACGACGACGACGCCCCGTGGAGCGTGACCCTCTGCCAAGTCTGCGGCACCAGCTGTTGCTGCTTTTGGGGAACCGGCGGGGCTGGTTCTTTAGGACTCGCGGAGTACTTTTGCGGTGTCCTCCCAGTGCCCAGCTGCGGCTTCCATCGGAACAGCATAATCTGAACATCCATTGAATATCCTTGATTACCCTCTGGAGAAGGCGATTCACCTGCCCTCTATTGTAAACGTGGCACTATATTAGAGTACCTCGGTACATCATGGATTAACCCTTTTCCGTATTTTGAGGTACAAAATAGTACTTTGTATCGCGACCTCATCAGGCTGAGGCCCCTGCTGATTAATGGCGGGTTGGGTGTTCACAACCGTGTGTAAGTCAGGCATGATCCCCCACTCTTCATCATCTCCCCCGAGACCACTCACATGCAGCCTATAGCAGACCTTCAATCTTTGTCTAGATCGGGCTGTCCGGACTTCTCTCGACATCGTCGAGAGATTTAATTTAACTATCTAGCCAAAGGACGACATCTCAGGAGTTTATTTAAATGCAAAGGTGGAAGATCTTAAACATACGTCTCTAATCTAACAGCGCTGCATTCACCCATCTACCTTTGACTGGCCTATTTTCGATATCGGCAAGAGCATACACGACGCGGCGTCATTTCGGAGAAGCTGCCAGGGAAGGTTTTACTCCCGACATGTCTGCAACAGTGTCTCCAGCCTGCAAAAAGCTCCTGATTTTCGGAGCAACTGGACTGATTGGGAGTCGTATTGCTCGCGAAATTGTTCGACACAAGTCTAAATTTGAGAGGGTAGCTGTCTTTACATCACAAGGTACCTACGAATTCAAGGCAAGCGAAATAAAAGGCTTGGAAAAAGAAGGTGTGGATATCATAGTAGGCGATATAACCAACTCAGACGATGTGGTCAAAGCGTACCAAGGTAAGATTGCCTAGGAGATTTCGTCACCAATCTAACATGATGTGGAACAGACATCGACACTGTGATCTCTTGTGTAGGCAGAAATGTGATTGAACAACAAGTCGAGCTTGTTCGCCTTGCCAACGAGAGTCTCACGGTTCACAGATTTTTCCCATCAGAATATGGGACTGATATCGAGTACGGGCCAGCTTCAGCACACGAGAAACCACATCAGAAGAAGCTGCAGGTTAGAGCGGCGTTGCGGGCTTGTGACCGCTTGGACCATACCTATGTGGTTGTCGGCCCGTACGCGGATGGAGAACCAGGTCTCTATTTCGGTGCAAACCCGGTTGTCAAGGAAGCCGGAACCTTCGACGTCAAGAATAAAGAAGCTGTATTGCTCGGGGATGGTAATCTGAAGATCAGCTTCACCACCATGAAAGAGTAAGGAGCACCCTCCATTTCCAGAGTGTTTCAATGACAATTTCACCAGCGTTGGCAAGCTTGTGGTTCTTGCTGCCCTCCATCCGGACGCAAGTCGGAACAAGGCGCTTCGAGTCAACTCATTTACAGCCACTGACTCAGAGATACTCAAAGAATTTGAAAGGCAGACCGGCGGGCAGCCCTGGAAGGTGTCGTACACGAGTCTCGACACGTTGAAGAAGCTTGAACAGGAAGCCTGGGAAGCTGGAAAGCCGTATGCCACCATCTTCACGCTGAAGAGAATTTGGGGCGAAGGGGGCACCCTGTACGACAAGCGAGACAACGATCTGATCGAGGCGGAGAACGTGATGGAGACATTAGAGGATGCTGTTGCGGAAGCCATAAAAGTTCAAACGAGTTGAAGCGTCCGACGTGAGATATGTATGTATGAGTCTATGCGACCAAGCCCCTTTCAATGGAATATACAACTGAACCGCCATGACTTGTTCTTCATTGGCAACAATACAAACGTGTATAACAGTCTGGGACGTGCACTCTGCACCTTGCCGAGACTTCGGAATCTCTGTTGAGCGGTATAGACCCCCCCCGGGTAAAATTATCCCTGATGCGGTTGTCGCAAGAACGATAAGTATGTCGATGCGAGAAAATAGCCGTGCACATCATAGCAGCATCGACGAGGCACCATCTGCCCCGCCCGACATTCTAGGTAAGCTGCAGATATGCTGCCACTAATTCCACGACCGACTCAGCGGGGATTTGACGGTCGCTTTCACTTACTGACAGTGGCTATACTGTGTGACATCTAACATGAAATCGAGCACGGAGAAATGCCATCCCAATGCAGGTTGAAGTTTTGTATTTGTCCAGGTATGCGGGCTACTAGCAACGGGCACATTGCTCGGGGAAAAAGAAAGCGTGCAAGTCGATAGATATACCCCAGTGAATTTTTTTACTTCCAGGTTGTGGACTGGTCTCAGAAAATTCAACTTGACTCTCAATGTCAGAACGGTTTGTAACTGCACCCTTCGTCTCTCACTTGATATGATACGGATCAAATGGCCTCTAAGCCCGATCCCAATGTGAAGCTCCAGGTAATCGGTTGCGGGATGTGAGTCTCGCCGAAACCCTTCTGCCAACGTTCCAGCGATTCTCAGACCTCTGTACTCTACTGATATACTTTTTCAATGCTCACGACAGAGCAGGTCCCGTACGGGAACCGCGTCTTTCAGCCAGGGAGGTTGGAAATCCTGCTCCGGGGACCTGTATACCATGGGGGAAGCCAACTGGTGGGCGCAGGGGGAAAGCACATACGCGCCTGGATTCATCTCTGCAAGCACACACCCATCAAAAATGAGGCGGATAGAAAGGTAGTTCTCCAACAACTCAAGATTCTGTTGTCCGGTTATACAGCGGTCACAGACATGCCATCGATCGTCTTCACCGAAGCGTTGATAGAGATGTTTCCGGACGCCGAGGTCAATTGCACGACACGGGACCCAGCAAGCTGGTGGAAGCGCATGGAACGCGTCGGGGCGAAGACGGATACACAGGCGCAACGAAGCGATAGAGTCCTCGTTTCTTTGCTGGCGCTGCTGCCGAACATGAGGTATTGGAAGGCCTTTTCAGACGCGTTGAGATACGGCCGCTTTGGATAGATATTCTATCAGTCGGCACACAATCACCCGCATCCAGGACAATACGAGGAGCATATGGAGTACATGAGAAGGGTTGTCCCGCCCGGACAGCTATGGCTTTACGACGTCAAGGGGGGTTGGGGACCATTGTGCAAGTCTCTCAACTGCGACGTGCCGGACGTGCCCTTTCCATGGGTCAATGATGCAGAAGCGACGGATAGGATCATCAAGACACAGATTAAACGAGGCATACTTGCGCGGACTGTTGTGGGCGTGGCTGCTGTCGTCGTAGGCAGCAGCTCATGGCGGAAATGGAGGGCATGATAGGGAAGAGAGAATTCTGAGCTCCTTTCCACAATTGGCAATCCCTTTCTATCTTCATCTAGCTTTTGGGCACGGTTAATATCTGCAAAAGAAAAGGTGTCAGAGAGCGAAGTGTGGTTTCGTGGTGGTTTAATCTAGATTCTCGATCTCGTATGCGGAACGCATTCCCTGTCCCCCGTCTGCGGATCCCCCAAACCTGTCAATCCCATCACGCCCATGCTCATTGTGCTACAGAAGTGACCTGGAGCATATGAACTACCGGTTGAATATCTGGAGGAATTCGATGATAGCAAGCCAATATCTTGAACAACCAGCTTCAAACTCCCCGAGCGACAATGCCTCCCTCAACGCCGCAACCCCAAGATGATTCCCACCAGCAACTACTCGATCAGATGGACATCTACTACACGCCCAAGCCCTTCCGCAACTCGCACTGGAAACCCAGTACGCGACGGAACAAGAACATCAAGCAGATCATCTCCGAATCGCAACGAAAGGAAGCATCCGTGCTCGCAACTCAGAATAACTCTGGCGCATCGACGCCTCAACCCGCTACGGGCGCAAACTCAGACGGCGCATCCACGCCTGCCTACCTCTCCTCTCCCGCGGCCGCCTCGAAACCCCTCAACATGGCCCAGGCGACGCAGAGCTTGAGCACGCTGGTCCTGGAAAGAAATTTACAGAGAGAGAGGGCGTCGAATACTGCCCTCCTAGGATTGAGCGGAGTGGGAGGACCAGCCGTGACCTACACGAACATCGAGAGCGCTCCCAGTTTGCATCCTGCGAACCACAAACACTACTGCGACATTACTGGCTTGCCAGCCAAGTATACAGATCCTAAGACGAAGCTGAGATACTACGACCAGGAGATCTTTGCGGTGGTGAGGAGTTTGCCGCAAGGAGCGCCGGATCAATATCTTGCGGCGAGAGGAGCGAATGTTGTCCTCAAGTGAGGCTATTTACACCGAAGACGAAGGGAAATGGCATTAGCCAGCATATCAAGGAGGTATCGGTCTCGCTAAAGAGACGGAAACATAAGATAAACTACCTCTGTCAGGCCATCCAAGTCAAGCCCATCCTACCCACCGCATACCTCTCGATACACGGTTCAAGGAAGTGCTCCGGCTTAATTGCGGACTGTGTATATTGGTCATTCTTCGCCATATTGACACGATACCGAAGCCTCATTGACGAAGCAGGATCAGTTACAGCAACAATTGTGACAGCTGTGGTCATGGCGGGGTTTGATCGAAGTGGGAATTCATGCGTTCAGCTGAAAGCTACTGCTCGTTGGGACATGTGGCCAAACTCTGGTCGGAGGGCGCTTTGAGTGGGTAGACCTTTGGTGTGTGTTGGAATTAAGGCATCACAGAAAGGATTTTTGCTTGTCCAGTAGGAAGATTCACGAAGGGGTCGCTGAGTGTGAAGCAATTTGGACGGGAAATATGGCAGGGATGACATGACACTATTATGAGGAAGCAATGAGACACTGTCAGATACCTCATTGAGATATTTGTACTCCGTAGATACAGATAGATGCCTGACGTGGCGGCGAAAGGACTTTGAGGATCGTTGTGCTTGGGATCTTGAAAAGGGAAGAAATTCTTGCCCATGGTTTGGTCTTCGTGCCCGTCATCTCCAACTTCTCTCCACTCCAACCCTAGCCAACCCGCCAACCCGCCAACGGCGACCCAGACTGCGGAGTTCGTGATATTTCGAGACTTCCTGCCGCAGCGACAGTTCACCATCGACGTAGCCTGTTTCTGTTTGTTCCGTGGCTGGTTCCTGCCAATACCGCAAAGCTGGAGATGTTTCAGGTATGTCCGCCGGCTGCACAATTAGAGCCTGTCAGTCTGATCACACCGACAGCGCCTTAAGGGCGTCATAGATAGCCATATTGCGGAAGAGCAAGCGCGACAACGTCAGGCTGCTAATAGCGCCCAAGCAGCAAGGACTCCGCAAAAACGGCGTCCACAGGCTCAAAATGGCAGCCACCAAAGGGCTGGCTCCAGGCTGAGAGAACCGCAAAACAATGTCTCGACCGACAAAGGCCCAGATCCTTCAGAGTTCGAACCGGAATTCGCGATTGGTGGCGATGAGAGCGCGGTCCCTAGCAGGGCAGGTACTCCAAAGCCTGAAGGAACGGGCAAAGAGAAGGAGCAAGTCAAGCAGGAGGACGCACCAGTTTTCGAGGATGGAAGGGATACACATACTCTCACGGAGTCCGCTGACAGCAACGTGTCAACAATGTCAGATGCCAATGGCGCTACCACCACCTCCTTACGTCCTCAAGATCTCCCTACTGAAGTCCGCGTGAAGCTGCGCAGGCTCGATCGCATGGAATCAAAGTATGCAGAATTGTTAAAAGTATACAGGACGGCCCATGCACGAATACAAGCCATCGAGTCCTTCGAAGCCTCACTGCGCGAGAACACTCCCCTGACGAGCATCAACGACTCCAGCGCTCTGGTCGAGTATTTGAATCAGATCAACCTAAAGAGCGACATGGTCGTAGATGAATTGAAAAGAGTAACATCTGACAGGGACGATTACAAGAAGAAGTTCCAGGCTGCTGAGGAAGAAACCGCGGTACTGCGTGAAGAAGTCACTAGCCTGAAGAGCAAGCTTGAGACAGCGTCTCAACAGAAGGCATCTGACCCCGAGAAGAATTTTTCGATCGGCAGTCCGCACATTACGGTAGCCGGTGACAACTCTTCCTTGAAAGAAGCGGCAGACTCAGAACAAGTGGCCAAGTCCCCTACAACGACTGCTTCCCGAATTGCGAGCTTCTCTTTATTCTCTCCTCGGCACAAGGCGATGTCCCCGCCAAAGGAAACGTCAGAAGAGTTCTTTTCATTCGAATCCGAACAATCGAAAATGGAAGCTGAGCTACACGAGAAACAAGCTGAGGTGGAAGACCTGAAGAAGCAACTCGCCAGCTTAAAGGCAGATCTCAAGGTCGCTCGTGAATCCACCGAAAGCATGGTGGAGAGCCTAGAGACGGCGACTCGGGAGCTACACAATCTCCGTGAAGCAAAGGACAAATTTGACGAGACCAAGAATGAGTTGCAGAACCGCATTGCTGAGCTAGAAACCAGAGCTGCCTCAAATACCCTGCGGACGGACGAGCACCAAAAGGAGATCGACGAGCTCCAGGCGCGAAACCTCGAAGCAGTCTCACAACTGCAGTTGCTAGAGAGCCAAATCAAAGAGCTCGAGGCAAGTAACGCTAAACTAGAAGAACAGATCGTATCCAAAGGCAAAGATGCGGAATTGTTGAACGAAAAGCTATCACAGAAAGATTCCATTGTGAAGGGCCTCGAAGATACACTGGCATTGTACAAATCTACGGAGAGGCAGGAAGCACCAAGGAGGCAAAATGAGCAATCGAGTGAGAAGAAGCTCGCAACAATGCAAGGGATCATGGATACCCTACGCGGTCAATTGGACAAAGCCGAAACCACGGTTGGTGAACTGAAAGCGGAGATCCAGTCCACCAGAGAGGAGCATTCACACCGCCCTTCTACCAAAGTCTTTGGCTTTCTGGACGATGAGACAAAATCCAAATTTGACACATTAAAGACGCGTGAAGATGTTGTGCAATACCTTTCGGAAACATTTGGCTTGCAGAAAGCTCCTCCAAGCAAGGCCGTTGCGGAAACAGCGACGGCTTCTCCAGCGCCATCGGAAGCGGGCACCGGAGCCTCCAAGAAGAAGAACAAGAAAAAGAAGAAGGGCAAGGGGCAGTCACAGACCGCTGCAGATGATGCGGCGGAAACTGTGACACCGGTCAAGGTGTCCGAAAATTTGGCTGAAGTGGATGATGTCGAGGCTGGCGCAGACGAAAAACTAAGTCCAGCTGATGTCTCAAAGCTGGAAGAAGAGATCTCAGACCTCAAGGCGGAGCTAGCTTCGAAAGAAGAAGCCATTCAGCGACTTTCTAAACAATTGAGAGACCAAGAGGAATTGCAAGAAGAGATTGAGACCTTGCGAGACGACCTCCTACATCAAGGTGAAGAACATGTTGAGGCTCGTGATGCACTAAAGGATGCCCAAACACAGAAGAATAATCTTCAAGATGCTGTGGATAACCTTGAAAAAGAGCTGCTTGAAGCTCGAGCAACGATCGCAAGCGGCACTGAAAGGGAGAAGACGCATGAGGAAATACTTCAGCACTACGATAAACTCAAGGTTCGGTGTTCCGGCCTGGAAAACGATCTTGCAGCTTCCGAGCAACTCGCTGCGGGCCGGTTCAAGGACATCACTGATCTGAAGGAGCTGCTCGCCAAATCACAACCTGAACTGAGAAATCTTCGCAGTGAAATTGCAGAGCTCAAAACCGCAAAGGATGATCTCAAGAACAAGACGGGCGAGTTTAACAGACTTGAAGCACGACACGAAGATATCAAAGCTGAGCTCAAAGGGCTTAGCAAGAGACTTGGCGACAAAGACAATGAAATCAAAGAGTTACAGCAGAAGGTCGAGCAGGAGATCAGCGCAAGAACCAGGATAGAAAGAGATCTTGACAAAGCCCAGTCTGATCTCCAAACAGCGGAGAGCCGACATGAACAAGCTGCTACCCGTTCGGAGCAACTCACAAAAGATCTTCTCAAAGCAAAAGAAGAATCGACAAGCCTCACAACGAAGCTGCGCGATCTCGAGGAGCAAGTATCAGCTCAAGCCCGCCAAATTTCCGAATTGAAAGAAGAAATTTCGCTCAAAACAGCCCTCCACGCATCGTCACAAGCCCTTGTCCAATCTCTCCGTGACCAAACACACGAACTCAACATGCAAGCCCGCGAAGCCAGCACACGAGCCGAGAGCCTCGAAGAGGAGCTCGGTGAAACACAAAGAATGCTCTCCGAGCGCACGCGCGAGGGGCAAACCATGCGCATGCTGCTAGATCAATCCTCAGCGGGTACGGAGGCACGGATTCGGGAGATGAAGGAACGCATGGACGCCGCAATTGAAGAGAGGGATAGGGTGGAGGATGAGGCGAGCGTCAGTCAGAGACGGATGATGCGTGAGGTTGAGGAGGCGAGGAGTACAGCCCGTGATGCACAACGATCGCTCAAGATTTTGGAAGATGAAAAGGAGGAGTTGGAGAGAAGGCTGAAGGAGTGGAAGAGGAGAAGAGAAGAGTTGGAGCAAAGTGCAACAAAGGCGGCCAGGGAAGTGGAGGAGGTAAAGGCTGCCATGACAGGGTTAAGAGAGGCGTTGGATGACAGCGAGCGGCAGGTGAGGGAACTTGATGCACAGAAGGCCGACTTGCGTCGAATAGGCGATGAGGCTAAAGAGAGGGTCGAGAAATTGACCAAGGCGAACAAAAATCTCACAGAGGAATTGAAGGCGGCTCAATCGAATTCAAGGTTACCGAGCAGACCTAACCTAGGTCGAGTGGATTCCAATGCGCCGAGTTCCAGGACATCTATCGATTCTGCCCATGCGAGGTCTCCAGCCCCAAAAGAACGACCTCTGTCTACAACGACCAGTCGCAGCGGGACGCCCGTTACCATGGCGGGAGCACCCGCCGGCCTGAGTCAAGGAACCGTTGACTATGTATATCTGAAGAATGTTCTACTACAGTTCCTAGAACAGAAGGACAAAGGGCACCAAAGGCAGCTAATCCCCGTGCTGGGCATGTTGTTACATTTTGATCGGTATGTTTTCTCCCGTTCTGGTCATTTTTTGCCGACCCCTTGCTTGTTGTTCTCTTTCTCTTGGGAGATATTGAATCTGACCGTTTCCAAAGGAAAGATGAACAGAAATGGATCGCAGCGATTTCGACACGGTGATTGGCTTGTTCTCTTTCAATTTATACGAGCACGGGAATTCAGGAACACGAATCAGGGCGTGTAAAGTAATGACCCAAACAATCTGGAGTCTATTGAATCTCCAGAATGGGAGGGCAGGATCGAAATCAAAAATCCACATCGACATCGAAACCTCTATTCCCCTGTCAGGGACTTTTGACCACGTCGATACGGAAAGAAGGGAAGGGAGGGGTCTACGATCCTGTTTGTATACAAATAATGCGAACAAATTGAAACATCCTCAAGCATGCAACCTTTGGAGACTGCTTGGTCTTGAAACTATTGCAAGACCTTTTGGAAAGGGCGGCTAGAGACACAGAGGGATATAGATTGTCAAAGTCTATGTTTATTGGCGGATAAGTCCTCTGCAGAGGAAACAGACATTGCAAATACCTAAGGTAGCCCTTGGGATTGTATTGCCCAACGAGAAGTGAACTCTTCTGGTCACAGACAGCGCATCGCTTCCCCCATGAATGGGATCATTCCTCTCCTGATTCCCCGAACCTTTCCTCCTCTGTGCGTGTCTGTCCTTCCATACTCTGTATATCCTATCCCACGTCGACTCACCCTCTAGCTCACATATCCTCCTTTACCTAAGTAGTAGTACCTTCTCTCGCCCTCCCATCAAAAGACGACCTCTAAGAGTAAACCAACAGTGCGCTACGCTTGCTTGTACCCAACAAGACCCCAGCCCCTCTACCGCCTTTGCTCACGGTCTCAACTCACACCGGCCACCCGGGTTGGAGCATGCCTCGTGGAATTTCTCGCCATGCGCCTCGCCTGACTCAGCGTCGCGAGTGCGAAGACGTGTTGTTCGCCTTCCGGCCCGATCTTATTGCTGGTGGTTGGACGTCTAGTGACGCGGACGCGGGGGCTATGGGAGGATTGTCGCCGGCGTACGACCTCAAAGACAAAGGCGGAGGTGTCTCGAAGACGCCCATTGTGTCTGTGAGCCTTTTCTCGCTAGCGTGGGAAATATTGGGGAATACGGAGCACTACTCATATTTCGGACCCGCATCGCCGTGGGATTGGGATTGTTGCCCCATCTTGAAGTTGTCGGTCTTGGCCTTCGTTCGCCTGTTGTTGTTGTTGTTGTTGTTGTTGTTATTATTGTTGCCAACGAGCTGGGTCTGGAGGATGTTGGCTGGGATTTCGTGCAGATTCGACGCCCGCACCGAGCCCCAAGGTGTCTTCACAGGCCCGCTTCGGTCGATGGGTCTAATGAGCTCGTGAGCAAATCCTTCATATCCTTCATCTGTGACGGCGGGGAGACAATCTGGATCTTGGTCTTTATCTTCACCTTCGCCTTCATCTTCAGAAGAAGAAAAGGAAGCAACAGCAGCAGCAGCAGCAGCAGCAGCAGCACGATCAATGTCCTCTAAATTTCGTCCAGACCAGCGAGTGTCCCAAAAGGTCAGCAGTGCCCAGAATTTGATGAGGGAATGGCAATACGCAAAGACGTAGCAGCCGGGGAGATAGACCAGATCCGCCGGATGCCGCAGAAAATAAGGCACCAGTTTCGGAAGCTTCGAGACCAATATCCACAAGACCAGCATTCTCATGGCGGCCGCGGTGTAGAAGCCCGTCCGCGTCAGCACCCACACCAGGGCCGCGTCGTAGAACAGGGCAAAGTTGACCATCTGGCTGATTTGGAGGGAATACACTGCCCATGGCTGTGATCGAAACACCGAGCGGTCCGTGACCAGCGAGCACATGTTGCTTCGGAAGGTGGTGCGCGCCCAGCGAAGACACTGCTTGAGGAATTTGGGGTACTCACCCACGTCACACAGGATCATCGCGTCCGGGGTGTTCTGGAACTTGATCTTGAAGCCTCGTTGGACGAGGGCCCGGGTGAGGAAGTTGTCATCGTCGGCGTTCAATGGGCCGCAGAGACCCCAGAGGAACCTCTCGTCCAGGTACCTGGCCAGGAGCGCTGGGTCTTGAAGGATGCAAGTCCGGTAGAGACAGGTCCGGCCACTGATGACGGCGACGCCGCCGTCGACCGCGTTGGAACTCGTGTGCTCAAAATTGTGTCGCTCGAGGTACAAGGCTCCCATGACGTTCCAAAACCCATCCCACAAGCCCGCGTTCGAACGGTGAACGACACGTTTGTTGGTGCCCACGCCGCCAACCCGCGCATCCGCTTCGAATGGGGCGAGTGCTGCGCGTAGTATATTTGCAGAAGGCCAAATCACATGGTCGTCACATAGAACCGTGATGGAAGTCTTGACTGCTGGCAGTGCAGCTGCAATCTGGTGTCGCTTATTTGCCTGGGCACTGGATGAGACTCTGAAGCAGACACTGTGAAAGCGATTGATGAATGGGCCTATTGTCGTCCATACCTGTTTCTCTTGCTTCTTGCCAACTGCCACAATGTGGATGACCGAAGGGGATGCTCTCGCGACTGACTCCACGCATGGACAAAAGGCTGGGTCCTCGGGACTGCAAGTTGGAATGACAACGGTACAATCGCTTTCCGACAGTGATGGAGACAGAGGAGGAGGAGATGGGCGGTAAAGGAAGAAGCTAACTAGGTGGACGAGAAACCTCAGGTAGCGGAACACGAACAAGAATAGGAAGAGGAAGTCCTGGTGTAGTATAGAAGTCCAGATGTTTGTCCAATGCAATTGAGCAGCCATAGTGTTTTCCAGTTCGAGGACTGACTAGGAAAGAAGTCCTGTGCACAAGCAGAAAGAGTTATGAGGATGTCTGTTGGAAAGGAAGACTGGACGAAGACTTGAAGTATGTAGACTTGTGCCATTTTGTAGAATGGAGACAGTAAGGCAGTTGAAGATGGTGAGAGAAAACAGCCTTGAGCGCAGGAACGGTGTCGAAGCTCATTCATTGTTCTTGCTTTGATTCAAAGGACGAAACATCAGGCCAACCATCAATGCCTTGTCTGTATATAGGACTAGGCAATCGAGGATGTCTCGGAAATCCCTTCTACTCAGAAGCGTGGCGTGGGATGAAGTGGCTCTCTGGAATGCTTGTCTTAACAGATGGAACCAAGGGTCGAGTTCTCTTCACCTCGATTCATTAACTCTGATAAATTGCAGCCGTTCGATTCAAGGCCCCATGTCAAAAAGAGCTGCTGGTAGGAACGTCGGGGAATCAATGCAAGTTCGTTCAGGAAAAGAGAGGGGGGCATCATGGAGTATGGCTTAACTGCAGACATCTTCAATCTGTGAGAGAAGCAAGAAATGTGCAATTCAGCCAGAGTCAAGGAGTCGCTGCATCAATATAATGCGGACAGTTGCCCCTGCCACTGGTGGCTGATGATTCGAAATATGCGAGCCAAAACGCTCAGTAACCGTCATCCCCGGCGCCTCGCTCTGCTCAAAAAGTCGCCTTTGACCGCCAGGTGGTCGAGTCCATTAGATCCTCATTCAAAGGTCATACTGATCTCACCGCGGCTCTGCCCAAACTCATCATCATCAGCCCAGGCGTTGCGTTCCAAATCCAGCCCTGGCATCGGCGGAGTAGTTGTATAGTCGGATGTAGTCGACGGCCGACCCCAGCTTGGTACGGAGGAATCGGTCGCATGTGGTTTGAGTTCCGGTCGAGGACCCAGAGGCGCGTTGTAAATGTCCGGTTTCGAAGATGCAGAACCCGTAGTGCTGAGAGCTGGTAATGTGCTAGCTAACTCCCTTGGCTCTGAATTCGCGCAGGACGACCGCCTACTCGGGTCCGGAGACCGTTGAGGAGATCTTTGTGGGCTGATACGAGGAGAGAGCTGGGGGCTCGCTATAGAGGCGGGTCTTAAAGATGATGACCGTGCAGGCCGAATCGCGGAAGGCTGCTGTATAGGGGCGAAGGAAACATCAATCTCGTCAGGTCGTGGTGGGAGGTTCAGCCTTGCGATTTCCTCAGGCTTCATCCCAGGTGGAAGGCGCAGGTATTCGACATGTTTTTCTCCGTCCTTGACTGACATTATTTGCATTGGAGGCAAGGTGCTGTCTAACTCTCTGACCTCAATCATTTCGCTTGCCAGCTCTCTTCGAATTGCATCAACGTCAAACAACACGTTGAGATCGGCGTTGGTACCGGGCTCTGGAGTATTGCTGGGGTTCCTCCTGTCGCTGGTGTCATTCACATTATACCTCTCCCAACCTTGTTTCTCAGCCAGTTTGCCTCGTTTGAAAAGCCCGAAGCGCTTCTTCTCGGGTTTCTCTTCGGCTTTCTTTCTGGCTTCGTCGATTTGCAGAATAAGCTCTCGCTGCCGTGCTGCGTGATTTTCCGGATCCGGATCTTCGATCTCAGTGAACTCATCGCTTTCGACTTCCCAACCCACTTCTCTCAATAGCCGTGGCATGGCAGTACGATAGGACATGTGGCCTTTAACCCATGCACTTACATTGACATTTTCCACCCCCGGAATTCCTTCTACCGGCGCAAGCCCAGCAACTCGCATGATACCACCAGATGTCATCCGAAACAAATATCCCAGAATCCAGTCGTTAGAAGCGTATCCATTCAAAAACCTCCCCGAAACAACGGAACGAGCTCGCAGATATTCGTCCTTGTTGGCAACCACAGGGGAGCCGAACATATAAACATTCTGGACCAGGCCGTATGCTCCACGGTTCGACAGCTCTTTCAGGCAGGAAAAGATGACCCTTGATCCAAGGGAAAAACCTAGCAGAGTGATTGGTCTTTGTCCAAGGTGCCTGTCAATCAACGAGTCCGCCAAGATAAGACCTGCAGCTGTCGCTCTATCGAGGGATACACTCCACGGATTGTCAATAAGATAAGCCAATTTAGAAAGCACAACCGGCAACTGTATTGATGCCATTAGAGTGATTAATATCGTGCTTCCGAGGACTTGTTGAACGGTTTGGGTCAAGGCTTCCGTGGCGAGGATATTGATAGTGTCACCCATCGACCGGAGCATTTCTGGCTCCCAAAGAAGGGAGTAGATGTCGCCCATGATAGGATCAACAGTGCTGTAGGGCAAGCGGACATCGTCAACCTTACCAGTCATCCAGCCAGAGATTGTCAAGATTAGATTCAGCCTTTTGTTGTTGTGTAGCGGTCGATATTCAAACGTCTTCACGCTACCCGTCCGCCGATCTGCAGCTCGAACAGCAATGGTTCCACCGGCTGCTGTGGCTGCGGAAGTGATCAGAGCTGCTCCACCGACTCCTCCCAGAAAACCCGCAGTACCAGTGACACCGATTGTTGTGAAACCAGCTGCCAGACCCGCGCCAATGAAGGGTGCAAGTAGACCTGCTGACAGACCAATGACAAGACCGCCGCCAACAGTCGCAAGACCCATGACCATGTATTTCTTCTTGAGAGAGCGTACACGTCGTTTCTCCATGTTTTCAGATTCATCCCAGTTCTCCTTGGCCTCTGCTTCTTGCATTTCTAGAGCATCAATAACCTTCTTCTCAAATCGACATATCTGAATCCAGCTAATATCCATGGTGGAGCCAACCCGTTCAAGTAGTCGTCTCGATCGAGAGTCATACTGGCCATCTGATATCAGGACTAGGAATAAGTCACATAAGACAGTCCATCGCAAGTCGAGTTCAATCTCCTTTGTGTGAGGCATATCTTCCGGTCCGTGGACTTCAGGAACTTCTTCGCCCTCCTGCACCTCTTTCAAAGAGACATCGCCTTTCAGTGAGGACGCGGAGGTTGCCGAATTTCGGTTTCGCGAGACGTCTGGCCTCGAGGTCTCGGTCGCAGTCTCATCGGCCATAGGATTCTTTACTTTTGCATTCAACATGAGGGGTGCAACGAGGTCAGAAGGCTGTACCCCGTGCTCAGCGAGTTGCTCGATCATGATCTGCTCGGCCTGGTTGATATCCATGTGAGTATATAACCGAACCATCATCTTCTGTCCCCACATATCCATACTCTCCAAAGATTTTACCAATTCTTTCCGCACGGACTTTGTCTTCTCTAGGTCGCCTAATGCTGTAAACATTTTGTGGATCGTCAAACGGACCACGCCGACATAGGCAATCCGCTGGCCTTCTGTCAGGAGATCTTTGGTCGCTTGCAGCTGGCTGGGAGCATCCCGCTGCTCGTCATCAGCATTGGCCTCTATGTCTTCCATTTTCTGCCCATTCCGAAACAGATAATTCGTATCTTCATCCAGACTTGTAGCAGATTGTGCATCTTCGTCGAGCTGCACTCTCGTATACCCCTTCCCAGCACCTCCAATGCCAGCATAGGCATTTGTGTCTGAGTCAGTTTCTCGGTGACCTTTCGCCACTAGACGACCGTTATCATCGTAGATATCAAATTCGTCAATGGCTGGCATCGGCTGCCATTCTTCCTCTTCGTCTTCGTCATCTGATTGGGTTGCAGCCGCAATTTGCCTTTGGTGAGACCACTCGGAGGCCGTGGCGGGAGCTGATCGTGGATTACGCTTTGGTATAACTGTCCCAGATATTCGGGACGCTCTTGGGGATGTAGGGCTATCCTCTGTCTGTTCATCCTGTTTCACGGCGGTGTCTAAAGGTGGAATATTCTCTGCAGGTTTCGACTCGACACCTGATCCCTCACCAACGACTTGACTCTCCTTGTGTGCCTTCGACTCCTTGAATATCGCCCCTCCCTCAGATGCAACATCCGGTGACGATTGTTTGTTACTCTTGTCAACTAATTCTAAAGGCTTCTCCGCTGTCTGGTGTGGCTTGCAGGTTGCTTGTTTAGTGTCTTCCTCACTTGCACCATTTATATCCGTAGGGACTTCGGCGTCATGAAACGTATCGTGGTCATCGTCACTGTCGTCCAACTCTGCGGGTCGGCTCGCTCTCACCGGTCTTTTGGGCAAGCCAAAGTCATCGAGCTCGGGCTCAACAGAAGCCGCCGAAGGAGTCGCCTTCTGATTCGAGGATTGTTCCAAAGATGAATTTTCAAGGGTGTTTTCCTCCTTGTTATCGCCTCCACTGGTCATAATGCCACATTTGCGGGACGGTAGGCCCGAGACATGTGTCTCGAAGCCACCTATGGGAGAGGGACTCGATTTGGACTGCTTTCAGTGCGAGGGACAAAGAACGGCAAAATGCTGATACGGTGGTTCAATTCAGAAGAAAGTTAGAGACAGGGATATACAAAGGCTGTCCATATGTCAAAGTTCAAACAGTCAGAAAGCAGATGCAAGCACGTTACTGTATGCTGCAGACGGTGTACCTCGTAATCGTCAAGACATTGCACGGAGATCGCAAAGAGTGGAGTCACCATCTCGCCACTTTAACAGGAGTCACGTGCGCGAGGCCTGGTACGGCGTCTGCTCGCTCACGTTTGTTTACCACATCCTCGATGATATATATCGTCAAGAGCTACGGCCGTTCAATGGAGTAGAGAGATGTCCTAGGCTAGACCGCATCATCTTAGCCCACCAGCGCTCCTGAAGGCCGGCTGAGTCTCGCAATGCGAGAAGCATACCACATCAAATATGGTTGAACCTCTTCCAACATGACATGAAAGATCTTTGGAGAAATGGCTGCCCGAGTTTGATCTCTGGCCGGCTATCTCGAATCATTGCGAGAGTCCATCCAGAAACGTGTTATCCAAGTTAAAGGCGACTCCCCATGAGATCCTTCGCATTGTCTAACAGAAAGAACGATTGAAGCGAAGAGTAGTCCCAAAACCTCCCAATCCCTAACTTACCTTGATACGCGAGACCCAGAGACAGTTCTTGTAATATCGAAGCAGATTTGCGTCGAAGCACGGAAGTCCCTGGCCGGCTGTGAGCATGCTCGACAGTGCTGCCAGTGGTAAATCCCTGCGGGCCCGTTGGTAAGATAAAGAGTTTGATGATACACGTCGTAATTGAGCAGACGGAGCTGCGATATACTGTAAAGAGTTGAGAGACATGTCCTCCTTCTGTGCATGCCAGTGCGTTTAATAACCCAGAGCAGCCTCCTTTTTTGAGCCTGAACTGACGAACACCACTGTCCGCCTTTTTCCCAGTCGCCGAGAATACGAACAATGGGACAGTGCCCCAATCCGCTTATTTTGATTTCGTAAATTGTTCCAGTGCTGAGTAGTCGCCCTCGTCGAACTTGGCCCACACGGATTCGATCCTCGCCCGCCGCTCAAGAGCAGTTTCCCGATTCTTCCTGCTTTTCTTCGTCCGTTCCCCTGATAAACATTTGTTTACTTCTCGCTTGATGTCGTTGCAGCCACCTATGGCCTTGTAGAGGAAGCCACGGGCGTGGCACTCGTCGAGGGCGTTCATGATCTCCTCGCACCCTATAGACAATCAGAATCTATTCGCAGGCTCACGCTCCGCATCCTAAGCAACGCATCTTCCGATGGGAACGAGTGTGGTAAAGATAATCGCCGTAAGAGAGACGGGTACTGCTCAAAGAGAGATCATGCGACTCGGAGCCAGCTCAATTGCCACTTACCGATATTATCTTTTGTATGTAGATGAGAATGCATTTTGGTAGAGACCCGTCTCCAGTATTGATCATGCGGTTCGAGCCACGCCCACATCTGCCTTGCGGTGACAACAGCGAGTCTAGTCGAGTTGTAGCTGGAGAGGTAGAGGGCGAATGGATGTTCTGCATCAAGTGAAGATCTCGCCAAGCTGCGGACCCCAGCCTTGCGGGTCCCACCCAGCCTTGCAGGAAGAGACTACTTCACCGCCCAAAAGTTCTGGGATTCTGCCGCTTTTTCTGTGTTTGGCATAAAAATGGTGCGGGACAAAACCTGCGAGTCAGTGCGAAACCGCTCTCCACATCAGCCACCACACAAGCAGGATGTCGATGACCCTGGCTACCACATGGGTGAGGAGAGGGGTTGCTGCTCAGTTTCCCACCAAATACCAGGTCGACGAAGCAGAACTTAGCCGCATTTCCAAACTAGCCCGGCTGCAACTGGAAGATGCACAGCAAGATCTTCTCGACGCGCAGAATTCCAAGGCGACAGAGGGATCAGAAGATGAAGAATCAGATGCCGGAGTGCCTACAGGCGAAGTCGCAGACGTAACCAAACAGCCTACCACAGATACCGATGACCTAAAGGAATACAATCTTGACGACTATGACAACGAGCCTGTGGACGAACAAGGCGAGAAGTTCTCCATGTTTGGCAATGTTGGCTCCCTAGCGTATCATGCTCCACACGAAGAAGACCCATATATCGTGTTGCCGGAAGGAGAACAGGAGTCCGAAGACGAAAGAGAAGAATTGCAGATTCTGCCTTCGGACAACTTAATTCTGGCGGCGAAGGTGGAGGACGAGGTTGCACAGCTAGAAATCCTCGTGTATGAAGATGAAGCCGACAATCTCTATGTTCACCACGACATCATGCTGCCCGCTGTTCCATTGTGTGTTGAATGGATCAATGTCCCGGTCGGTAAGGACGCCGAATCGAGGTCAGACGGGAACTTTGCGGCGATCGGGACTATGAACCCGGAGATAGAGATTTGGGATCTGGATGTTGTCGATAGCATGTATCCAAACGCGATACTGGGCCAAGAACCACAAGAACGTCCGGAAGAGTTGAATCAAACCGGAGAGAGCTCAAGAGGCAGGAAGAAATCGAAAAAGAAGAAAAAGAAGGCAAAAGCCAATGATGAGTACCACGTCGATGCGGTTCTAGCCTTGGCCGCAAATCGACATCATCGAAATTTGCTTGCTTCAGCGTCGGCAGACAAGACAGTAAAACTGTGGGACTTGAACACCGGCAAGTGCGCAAAATCATACACGATGCACAGCGGGAAAGTGTGTGCCTTGGACTGGCATCCAAGTGAGTCGACTATCTTGTTGAGTGGAAGCTACGATCGAACCGTCATTGCCACGGACATGCGAGCCCCAGACGCAGCGGCACCAAAATGGGTCGTCGAGGCCGATGTTGAGAAAGTGAGGTGGGACGTCCATGATCCTAATTTCTTCTTCGTCACCACAGAAGCCGGTACCGTGCATTATTTTGATGCGCGGGTAGTTCCCACTTTTCATGACAAGCCGAGCAAGCCTGTATGGACATTGCAGGCGCATGATGGGGCCGTCAGCGCATTTGATATCAGCCCCTCAGTGCCGGGTCTTCTGGCCACAGGATCAGAGGACAAGAGTGTCAAGATATGGAATATCGAGAACAAAAAACCTGCTATGGTTGTGTCGAGAAATCTCGAAGTCGGGCGGATATTCTCGGCGCAGTTCGCCCCAGATCCGGAGGTTGCCTTCAGGTTATCGGTGGCAGGGAGCAAAGGACGGCTGCAAGTATGGGACATCAGCACAAATCCGAGCGTGAGAAAGGTGTTCGCTGGCAGGGTCCAGTTGCCAGAGTCAGATGGTAAGGAGAGGTTAGTAGGTGCCAGTGTGAGTGACGACGAGAGTGAAGATGAGGAAGGAGACGAGGCTGAAGGAGGGCAAGATGGCTGGGAATCCATGGATGAAGATTAAGAAAACTGGTTCAAGGATAAATGAGGTACCTAGTATGACTGTACGACATAGCATGAGCGATACCAAAGTGCTAAAACGGCATGCGTTGGTGAATGATACCTAGGTATTTGACTGTGATGGCCACAAACTGTGAAGCGCGAGGCTGGTGGCTCAGTAATAAGCTCAAGGTCATGAGTCGGAGGCGGCAGGTGCCTCTCCAGGCGGCCAGTCACGCCTGGTGAGCCTCCACAGGCTGGAAACCAAGGACCCTGCCGCCCATTCAAGCCAAGTTTCGCCTCCAAACTTGTCCCCCAACTTCACCTACAACTGCCACAACCAATTGACAACAACACATTTCTCATCGTCCCTCCACCAAATCATCGTTAAATTGTATTTCCTTCGACAGAATTTGTCGCATCATCGATCCCATCCATATGGCAGGTGGAGACGGCAGTCAAGACTCTAATAGTACACCTGAGCCGGTGGAAAAGGGCTTCGCCACGCTCAACCAGTTGCAGTAAGTCCAGAAATTTTGCAGTTTTGATGAACATGGCCACTTCTGAATCTGAAATTTATACTGACACTCATTTTACAGGATTGGCGTGAAGGCCTTTGTTGAAAAGGTGAGTTTTTCTTCAGGTTCCCTCGGACGTCCACGTGACTTGGGATATATCAGATACTGACCTTGCCGCTGACCGAGACCAGAATGGAGAACCTAGAAAAGCAGAGATTTTGTCTATCAAACAGAGGAATGGTGCTCTGACCTTCTAGTATGTGTGTCCCGAGTCTCAAGTAGCTGCTAGAACCCAAAACTAACATATACGACAGCGTGCATTATGTCGAATTCAACAAGCGTCTGGATGGTAGGCATTACTAAGGTATATTATGCTGCAGAATCTTGCTAATAGGTCACAGAATGGGTCCCAGCTGAGCGCATCGACCTCTCTCAGGAAGTCGAATGGCCTGTCCCTGAAAAGCCTGAGAAGAAGAAAACCACCGTGACCACGAAAGGACCACCATCGAAAGCCGCCACATCAAAATCCATCACCACCAAAGCCGGTCGTGCAAGGACAGATTCCCGTGCCAGTTCTGCGACACCTGATCTCCTCATCTCCAAGGCGGGCAATGATCGAAAACGTCCCGTGCCTTCCAAGGCGAGTGGAAAGGAGAATCGCGATGAAGCGCTTGCACCCGACGGGGATGCCTCACTCGTGATCACCAAGGAGGGTACACCCTTGCCAACAATCGGCCATGAAGACACCACAGCAGGCGGCATGGACGTGGAAATGCCCGACGTGACCAAGACAGAGGAGAAGGTTGCTCCCATCATGGAGCCAGAGGAAGAAATCGAGAAGCTCCGTACTGGTGGCTCCATGGTGCAGAATCATGCTCAACTGCATCTGGTGCGAAACTTGAACAAAATCCAGATGGGCAAACACATCATCGAACCGTGGTACTTCTCCCCCTATCCGCAAGAATTCAGCGACGTGGACATGGTCTACATCGACGAATTCTGCCTTTCCTACTTTTCCTCCAAGAAAGCGTTCGAGAGACACCGCACAAAATGCGAGTTACGCCATCCACCAGGTAATGAGATCTACCGCGACGACTTTGTGAGTTTCTTCGAGGTTGATGGCCGACGGCAGCGCACTTGGTGTAGGAACCTTTGTCTCCTGTCAAAACTGTTCCTGGATCATAAGACATTATATTACGATGTCGATCCATTCTTGTTTTACTGCATGGTCACCCGGGACGAGTATGGATGCCATCTCGTTGGATATTTCAGCAAGGAGAAAGAGTCGGCGGAAGGGTATAACGTCGCTTGTATTCTTACCTTGCCGCAGTATCAGCGACAAGGGTTGGGAAGATTGCTCATTGCTTTCTCATATGAGCTGAGCAAACGGGAGGGAAAGCTGGGATCCCCTGAAAAACCTCTTTCGGATCTCGGATTGTTGGGTTACAGGCAGTATTGGAAAGAAGTGCTCATTGAGCTTCTCTCGGATCCTGCACGGTTGCCTCCTCCTGGATCAGCATCTCACACACCAACTTCGGAACAGCTTCATCCTCACTCATCCTTAGGATACGCGGCACCATCATCGCAATATTCCACAAGTATTGCGGAGATAGCGAGTCAAACAGCAATGACGGAGAAGGACGTCCATGAACAACTGGAAGTGCTGAAGCTACTGCGTTACCACAAAGGTGCGTGGATCATTGTCGTGCGAGATGAGTTGCTTGAGTGGCAGGAAAAGCGGAGGGAGAAGGAGAAAGCCAAAGGGATCAGGAGGATCGATCCCAGCAGACTTAATTGGAAGCCGCCTGTCTTTACGGCTAGTAGTCGGACATGGAATTGGTAGTAGAGTCGACCTTTGGGACTGTATATTAGCATGGCGTTGGCGATATTCTGCTAGAGTGGGAGACGTACAGCATGGATTGAACCTGAGGCGCTTTGGACTTTCTTCGATCAATGGTAGCATCTCGATGGTTTCCGTTGTATGAAACCGTTAAGGTCATCATTTCTAAATGCCGCCGCTGAAACAGATCTCTTCTTGAAATGCTCATGAGACGATGATGTAAATCTCATCATATGTCGGGAGCGATCTTCAAGAGGGTATATTCGTATATCGGGCCAATTCAGCATCGCCACTTGCAGCGTTGTCTTCGGACCCATTTTCTGTCATCTCAGTGTCACCGTTATGGCCGTTCTGGCTACGACTGGGAGGCCCTTCACCATCCAGGCCAAAACTGAGGTTTTCTGGCAGATCGATCTTCTTCTCTCGCGCGAGTTGTTCCGCCCATGCCCGAGCTCTAACGAGATATCTGATATTGGCTTCTCTTCTCTGATCTTGAGAGTGAAGGATTGCTTCGTTGACGTCCTTGGCAACCTTCCGTCTCAATGAGGGATCTACTAATTCTGCCAAGGCGCCGAAATCGTTTTGGATCTGTGTAGTCGCTGGGCCAGATGACCCCGATGCAGCTGCCTGAGTCCATGATTCTTTGGGGACAATCAGGAGGGCCATAGCCCGTTCGAGGTCTGTCTTAAATTGTGCATCCAACGGAGCGTAAGGTGCAAGGTTATTTTGGGCAAATTCTATTGCTTTGCCAACCAAGCTAGGATCTGAGGACGTGAAACTCTGGCGGATTAACTCGACCAGTTGAAGCCTTAGAAGGGAGAAATGAAGTTTTTTATCGGTATCCAGTAGCTGGTTCAAAGAAAGTTAGAACAGGGATAAATATAAGTTGCAGGTAGATTTTGTAAGGATAGATACAACAAATCATACTGAGGACTGAAGGTGTTTTTGCTCTCATCTCTGCCCGAAGGCTATGAGTGGTGCATGAAAACAAATCTAATCATGAAACATAAGGGTGGGAAGGTCGGGTCAAGACTCACTTCTGGGTTGAGCTCATTTATGAGCTCTATTGCTGCTTGCAGGTCTCCGCGGTGTATTGATTCCCGAATCTGGACCCTCTCTTGAATACAACTGAAATCAGCCTTGGGCTGAATGTTGGCTTCCGCCGCAAACTTTTCTGCTGCTGACGGGTAGCCTTCAGTGATCAGGTAGTCCATGATCAAGTTGTTGACATCACTGTAGAACGAGGTTCATCAGCCACGATTGCCCCAGTGCGCGTGTGTGTCGTGCATCAAGATTCTGCAATTTTCAGAAAGCAAAATATTCGCAGGCTCTTCAAATAATTTCAGAGAGATTCCCATTTTGTCAAGAATACATCCTATAAAGCGAAGGGTTGATCCGATGGGAGGAGACATACGATTTCGATATCTGGATATCGGCGACCTGTCGCTCGAAAGAATGCATTGTAGTAGCAGCCTTGTTGGGTGATTAGCAAACTGTCCAGCAAGGAAGTAGGCTGATAGCTCACCATGATGACAGGTCTTCGAGAAAGCTCAGGGAGTGGATGAACTCTCCGAGGACGGACAGTCCTTGATCTCCGTGATTAATACATAATCATTTCAGGTCAAGAAAGAAATAACTGATGGCAGAGGATGTTGGTGGAACAGAACGCAAAATCGGTGTTTGAAGGTGCAGGGAGATCCTGCACGTGATTACGACTCTACGAAGCCTTAGCCTTCTTCGAGGCTCCACTATGCAACAGCTACAGAAGAAGTTTCACGTGACCGTGGGCAAAATTAGTCGAGCGTCACAGGTCAGCCGCAGCTGAAGAGGTGGTGACGGCAAATAGGTCCAGACACAGCCACGCCAGCCAGCCCACTACCCAAGGCATATTTCATCAAGACTTCTCTTGTTGCCCATCCTATTTTCGAGGTTGCTATCCATTCTCCCTTCCCAAGTTACAACCTTCGTTGCTTGTCTGGTCTCCTCGACCCGTTCCCAATCGCCCGACCCTCCTAAGACTAATACCATTGCAAGAAGCATAACGAGGCTGGAACCATGGTCATATTAGGCGGCTTGGAGCTTGTCGCAGCCGGATACCTGCTCAAGGAAATCCACAACGACAGCAAAGAGGAACAAGAGAGGGAGCGAGAAAAACGAAGGAGACGGAGACGCCATTCTCGTGAAGACCATCACCGCCCTCATCGCTACGATGACCCGAGCCCGGCCCGTCCATCTCGTCCACCCCAGCAACAACAACTCCATCCACCCCAACAGCCTGGCGGTCCGCCGCGACCATACAGTGCGCCGCCGTCACAGAATCGACCGTCCATGATGCCGATGGTAGTGGCAAGTGCGCCGATGTGGCGCCCACCTCAGCAACAGGGTCCGCCACCTCAGCAAGGCCCCCCGCAGAGTTATGGAACATGGCCGCAGGGACCATCATCACAACAGCAGCGACCATCTCAATCCCGGCCTCAATGGCAAGGCAGCCCCCCTCAAAACAATGCAAACAACAGTTTCGTACCTCCACCCCTCCAGCGGCCCGCAACAGTGTATCCGCCCCCTGGGGTTCACATCGACCTGAAGACTGGCAAGATTCAGCATGATATGTACCCGCCGGAGATGCCTCGCCCCGGAGAAGCACGAGAGTACTACGAAGGGGCGCGCAAAGAATATGAGCGCGTACGAGAAAATTCAACGCCCTCCCAGCAACGGCCGCAATATCAGCAGCCTCATGGAGTAGAAAACGGTCAGCACAGTTATTCGCAGCCTCAGATCAACGTCACGCCAGCACACGTGCCTACACCGCCACCGCGACAGGGATACGCAGAACTCGACGCGGAGACTCCCGGCCGGTATCGCCCCTACGGCAATGAAAAAACTGGCAGAGGGAAGTCAAGCTCGTTCTCGGGGCGGTACAGGGATGATGACATGGATATGCGGGATCCCCCACCCGCCTACCGCGAGTGAAACAGGAAGGTTGTTGACAGGAACTGGAGTAATATTGCAGTGGCTTGATGAAATGATTTCAAGGGACCATGACCACTCATGAAACATAAGAAAATCTGCTTCGAAAGTACAAGAGCACTTGCTAGGATGATGATAACCATGGATAATATGCGGCTCACTAGCTGGTCTAACGAGCCATAACAGGAAAAAAAAAAAAAGATGCGCGGCTATTATCTGACGCCACATCGTCCATCTTGAGACCATGATATGGGGAATTCGAGATACTGGATTTCACTCCTGTCTGATGATATTGACACAGATATCTGCCAAACAATGGATGCGAATTTACTGTCGTATGGAACCGTTTATCTGTATTCGGAATGCGATGGCATGGAATCTGGCTCTTAGACGCTAAGGAAGTGCTTGATTGATGTATTGAACGAGAATCCCTCTCTACATACACACCACACATATACACCCATCTCCTAATCTTGTTAATCTTGTAAGCGTGGCAGGACATTTTCGCACGAATATGTACCACCATGATTAATGCCATTCATGTGCCACAGAATTACTTCCCAACTCTCCTGTCCAAACACTTGATGGATGATGATGATGCTTCTCTTCCCCTCTACAGCGCGAACACAGCAACTGCACCAGCAATGACCAACCCTGCGGCGCTGTAGCCGACTTGACCCGCGCCGCCAGCGAATGTGGATGCGCTGGCCGCGGGCGCGGAGGCGGCTCCCGAGCTCTGCCCAGCGGCGGTCGTAGCGGCGGTCGCGGTAGCCAGGGTGCTAGAGGCGATGACCGTGGTGCCTGGAAGGGTGCTGTAGCCGCCGCTGTAAGTCAATGACCCAGAAGAGGATGCCGTGGCAGTGGCCCAGCTGCTGCCGGTTTTCGTCGCGGTGGTGGCCCAGGTCGAGTTGCCCGACGAACCATACGTGTTGGTGCCGGTCTGGTATGCCGGGGGGCCCAGGATGATGGAGCCACCACTAACGGTGCTGGTGCCGCTGACGGAGGAAAGAGCGGCAGATGATGAGCCGGAGCTGGAGCAGCTGTCGCTCTTGAGGCAGGAGAACTGGGTCGAGTCTGTTCGATGTCAGCGCCAGATCACTTTATGCCTGTGCAATCGACCCGCAGATCTCAAAAGTCGGGGTAGTTCTTCTCACATTGGAACTCTCCAGTGCCGTCGACAATGATCAGCATTCCATAGCCGGTATCGGTGTTTTTGGTGCCTGGAGCCAAGTCGCAGGGGACTTTCCAGTCGAAGGACTTCTGAGCAGCGGGAATGCCTGATGCAATGGCAGTGTCTTGGGGCACGCAGTTGGTGCTGGGTCCCTGGCAGAGCACAAGGCTCACCGTGACGCCGTCTGTTGGGTGGTTCTCAGGGTCCCAGGTCACAGTGAAGTCTTCGCCTTGAGTAACGGGCTGCGTTCTCTTGTCAGGTTTTGCAGGCCACGAGTTGCTCTGGGACGAATCCAAAGACATACATTTGACAAATCTGGGGTGAGCAGAGGGCCCCATGTCTGTGCACCAGGCGCGGTATATGCCTGGGCCAAGGTCGCCAGACCGGCGGCGAGGAGGGAAGCGACGAGCGAAGGCATGTTTGGTCGAGGTTGACACTTTTTTTGCAAGTTTTCGAGTTCTTCTCAGAAATGTGTTCAAGTCCTACAAAGGCCGTAAAGAGTGACTGTAGTGAGCACAAAGTATTTCGAGTCAAGTGAGCGACGAGGAAGGGTACATAAAACTTAAACAACAGGCCAGCTGGAGGTGGTGCGAGAAGAACGATGGACCAAACGAGTACAAAGAAGGAAAAGACCTTCAATCTTAATATGAGCGGCGCAGCAGGGCTGAAGAAGAAGTGCAGTAGTCCAGAGTAGTCCTCGGTCCCTCTGTCGTAGACTCGTGTCGTGAAGGCCATTGACTTGGCTCAGCCTCCGCGTCCACCCCGTGTTTCATCGGTTTGGGAAATTGGCTGCGCAACACACGACCTTCCCCTGGATCCAGCAGTCCAGTGGAGGGCCATGATGGCATAATGGACCCCAATCTCAGCATGACTGCAAGCTCGATAGCCGACCTGGCTACCTCGGTGTTAGGCGCGTGAGGGTGACATTCGCCTGGTGGTAGTTGGAGGCTTGCCTTGTAATGGACTTCGCAGCCGGTGCTGGAACAGGAGCTGAAACCAGGAGAAGGAGAAGAAGACGCAGAGAGGACTAAGACATCAGACTGTCCGTTCTTGAAGATGAACATCATCATCATCATCACTCTGCAGTAGAATGGCTATTTGACGGAGACACAAAGTCTCGACGGGAACAGGATCCTGGTTGTTTTGATTGATTGGCACGTTTCCGTGGGTGTTGATCTCCTGGGCAGATCAGGTCAAAATGTGGAGAGAGAAAAATAACGGAGATTTTGCTCCGAGATTCAGCTGCGTTCCACTTTTGGGGGGGATTGGTTTTTCTTCTGGTCCTTAGTCCGCGCTATCCAATGCGTTTCTGTTTTTACCTCTCTCTCCTCACCGCTTTGATTCAGCTTTGTGTGTGGGTCTGTGCTGCGTCTCTGGGCTATACCTATCCTCGTATAGCAAGTAAGTAGGTGACAAGGGCTATTAATATGTCTCCAAATGCATCATATCGTAGACGAAACGAGTCTTTCAATGACGCTACCTCGTATTTGCTAGCAGATCAGCCCCTCTGTGGACAACAGTCCAGGTAAGCGAGAAATATTAGAACTCGAAGAAGGCTCGTTTATATGTAGCATTTTAGGATCAAGGCAGGGGAGAGTCACTTTCCAGCCGAGTATATGCACACTCCGGTGCCTCGAGAGTATTGAGTTGATTTCCGAGTCTCAGCATGACAGCAGAGGAGAAAGCAAATGCAAATAATCAAGTGCACAGTACTGTAAAGAGTGCGTCTTGTTTACTAACAAGACTCAGCACAAGCATAGCAAGAGGGAGCCTTACAAGGCTGAGGGCATAAGGAGCAGCCTTTGCTCCAACTGGTCGGCAGATGGCCGGCGATCCCCACACAACCCTCCGAGCCTCCTCACCGGTCATCACCATTGCCTTCTCGCCCTACGTAAGATCAGTAAACAGCTTCCATTAACCAACAAGCCAACATGTTCCAGCCCAGGCGTCCCAAAGCCGAGTAAGCCTGAGTCGACCTACTTAAGCTCGCTCAGACCTCATGGAGGCTCGCACGTACCCAACCGACTCTTCGCAATAGCGGCACGGGGCCCAGTTCGTGTGCAGCCATGTCCTCGTCTCCATCGAAACCCATCGAGCTACCATTGAGCTCAAGACATACTCCAGCCTCGACTATCCTGACTCCCGAATTTGACAGCGACGACTCACCCGTTGCACGGACCCGTACGTCCCGCGAAATCGAGTCGGAGGGGGTCGAGCTGCGAAAACTGCACCACGCTCCGCCGCAGGACAAACACACAGGGTCAGAAGATGGGTTCTCGGAAAACGACAGCGATGCCGCCGAGGAGGATGAGAGATATGTTAAACGGCGCCTCCGCAGGAGCGCAACACACTCCAAAGACTACACAGACGCGGAAGAAGCCGCTCTGGTGCGCAAGCTGGACCGCAGATTGGTCGTCTTCTTGGGCTTCCTCTACATGTTGAGCTTTCTCGACCGCTCCAACATTGGGAATGCCCGAATCGCGGGGCTGGAAAAGGACCTCGCTCTCTCGTCTGCCCAGTACGATTGGCTCCTCACGGCTTTTTATATTACCTACATTGGCTTTGAGTGGATGATTTTGCTATACCGAATCCTCCCAGCTCATATATACATACCCCTGTGTGTGTTGTCGTGGGGCCTCGTTGCGAGTCTCCAAAGCCTAACCACGTCGTTCGGCCAATTGCTCCTCCTGCGCGGCGTCTTGGGTATTACTGAAGCCGCTTTTGGCCCCGGGGTCCCCTTCTACATGACATACTTCTACAAGCGCTCCGAACTGGCCTATAGAGTTGGGCTGCAAATATCCGCTGCACCATTGGCGACCAGCTTTGCCGGCTCCCTGGCATGGGTGATTGTCAAGCTAAGCCAGAATGGACCCATTGCTCCCTGGAGAGCGTTGTTCTTGGTGGAAGGGTTTCCTTCAATCATCACGGCCGTGGTTGCATGGTATTGGATTCCGGACTCGCCGTCGAAGGCTCGGTATTTGACGGCCCGGGAGAGAAAGGTTGCAGTGATGAGACTCCGGGCGGAAGAAAGCCATAATTCTCATTCGCGCGATTCCTCTCACGCATCGAGCGTGACGTCGTTCGCCCAACGGCTCAACGTCAAAGAAATCCTCACTACAATCCGCGATCCGAAATCGTACCTCACAGCCCTCATGTTCCTCAGCGTAAACGTCTCATTCAGCTCCCTCCCCGTCTTCCTCCCCACTATTATAAACAGTATGTCCTTCTCGCCTCTAGCCTCCCAGGCTCTCGCCGCTCCACCGTACCTATTCGCCTTCTTCTTCGTGCTCGTGGTGGGTCGGTACAGCGATAAAGTCCCCGACTCGAGATCCTTGTTCCTCATGGGTGTTGCTTTACTCGGCGCCATATCATATGCTGGGATCGCCATCGCCGGATATTTACACGAGTCCCTGGGAGACGCCGGGAGTATAACTATCCGCTACGTCGCCGTCTACGGAGCGGCGATGGGACTGTTCTCGTCGGTGACACTCATCATCACGTGGACCCTGAACAACCAAGCCACGGCGACGGGGAAAGGCACTGGCTTGACCATCTTGAATGTCATAGGCCAATGCGGCCCGCTGATCGGAGTGCATTTGTTCCCCAGGAGCCAGGGGCCCTTGTATATTCAAGGGATGGCCGTTTGTGCCGGGTTCATGGCCTTCGGGGTCGCCGGCCTAGCCGGTGTCTTGAGATTGGTCTTGTGGCGTGCGAACAAGAGGAATGGGTTTGAGAACAAGGAGCCCGGGCCGGGCGGGGAGTATGAATTGGTGGGCAAAGAGGACGAAGATGGGGAAGGGGGAAGAGCAGCAGGAGGTGGTGATGAAGATGCCGAAGAGACTTTGATTGGCGGGGTGAGGAAGATTGGAGCTGAGAGCTCAGGATTTAGGTATATGCTCTGATGAGTGATGAAGGGACTATTGCGGGAGGGGAATATTTTCTCTCACAGAACGCCGGATATACACACAGACACAGTTAGATCAATGTGGAATGCCGTATCATGGCGGGGGATTTTGCCTCTACATTTGTTAAGACTGAAGGTTGGTGCCATCCAATCTTCTGAATTGTAAGCTTGGAACGGAAGAATGTGCGAGAGTCAGTTTCAAGAGGAACGAGAAATCTCGTTTTTCTTTTTCAATCCTTGACAGAGGTATGTACAGATTATGGAACGCCGGTGGATGTGTCCATTCACTCGCAGGATCCGGATCGGGACGATGTGGACAGTGGACACACTCCCCTCTCTCACCAATGTTTATTCTCGCTTTTTGATGATGGCTGTGCTGTTTCTTCCCCTTTGACAAGGACAAACCAGTGACAGTCTCTTTCCCTTCACCTCTCCTCCTACAACGCGTCGAAACTCGAGTTCGTGATCCGCACGCACTCATCTACGTATATTGGGCGGTATAGCTGACCCCTCCGCTTCTTACTTCTGTCCCTTCCCCTCCTGCTCGCCCTTCTCCTTGGCCATCTTTTGCATCTGCTCCATGGTCATGTTATGTTTGTCCCCACGGGTGGCTTGCTCGCTTTGAGAGGCTAGCTCGGGCTTCCATTCTCCTCGACCGGTCTTGGCCTTCTCGACGCTGTCGGATTTGTGACGCTCGATGTCGGCGGCTCGTCCTTCGTTGTCTGTTGCGTTTGTGTTCTCTCGGTTAGCAACCACAGTCTCATTGTTGAAACCCATCATGGGGGAGGGGGTATTCTTGACTTCAGCCACCCTTCCCCTTCAAAGGTTCACCTTGGTCGAAGGATATGTGAGGAGGAGGAGAGGTCCGTGATGGGAGGGCAGGCCAACGTACGTGCATGCTCTTCACTCAGTGCCAGACGTGCTGATGAGGTGTGAATGGCTACAATTGATCTCGGAGAGATGGCTCTTCCAGCAGTCCGTAGAGGAGCTGATGTGCGAGTGAGATATGACATATCGAGAGAAATCTGTAGCCGATGCGGGCGTGCAAAGAGAGATCTTTGAGCCGACCTGGGATCAGGCTGAACTGTTCGTGCAATACCAGCGCGCGCGCGCGCGAGAGAGAGAGAGAGAGAGAGAGAGAGAGAGAGAGAGAGAGAGAGAGAGAGACAAGGTTGATGTTCAGTGAAGCTCTATTGGGGGAGTGCTTCAGTGAAGAACTTCCCTTCGTTGCAATTGAAGTTCTGCCCTGGAGTGCACGTCCTGGTCGTCCTGGTCGCCATAATGACGTATGAAGGACAATCAGCGAAAACGTGACCATCCGTCATTGATCGAAGCGCTCGTCACGGCTATCATCGCCGAAATTATCGATACCAGTGCTAAGATCTCCAAATGAGAAATCGGATAAATCGCCATTGGTGGACGCCGCTTTTACTGCCAGCTTTCTTGCTTGACTTTGAGAAATGGATAGCGGCTGAAGCCTTCTTACGGCATCGTCAACTTCTCATAGCCCTTGTCGTCTGAATGGCTGCTTTGTCTCTTAACCCGAAATGCATTGGAGATCACATACTTGTACTTGTACTTGTACATCATCGTCTCGCGCCTGCATTGCTGGAGCATTAACCAAAATTGAACCATGACCGAGATGGTTTCCTGCATCCTCGGTGTAGCCATACTTGTATTTGTAGAGCAGCCAGACATTTGGCTTTTCTTGTGCAGCTGCATCAGGCGCCCCACTGTTGAGTAGCATCGGGAAGGAACTAGCGAGCACCAGCCGGAGTCGGCCAATAGGCGGCCCGTCCTCAAGCTGCGGCCCCCACTTGCTTCTTCGGACATGCTTGGCATTGGAGGCTCTACTACCCCACTACTTGTTGGAAGGTCATATCAGCCAATCATCGCAAGACTGTGACAATTTTCAGCTTTCGAAACTTCCTTGGCGCCAACCAGTTTGAAAAGAAAAGTCTTAAACCAACGACCAGTTTCGCACAAACTGGGCGTTGCCTCGCACCCTTGGCGTGGGCCATGGCTGCTATGGCAAGCTCAAGCGCGGGGGATACGGAGCTTGTTGCTGCATGGGGGGCACGGGCCTACTTGTTCTCGGTCATCTTTTACAGCATCTATGTAGCAGCAGATGCCTAACAGTTATCATGCAAATGCATGAATCGTCTTCTCTCTCAAACAATTCTCCCCGATTCTCCAGATGGACTTCTGCAGATGGCACCTAGCGCACTTCATCAAGCCACGCTCTTCATTCATAGCGGAGGCAAACCTTCAGAGTCGAAGAGGAAAGATCAAGTGCGCCGTCAACATCAACATGCTGCGAGTGTAGCCCATCAAAGGGGACAGAGGAAGAGATTGCCACGGTCGCAAACTCAGCTTGCCCCGGCCGATACCTCTACCGCTCTCACCACTCCGCCGCCTCGATCGGATCTCAGTGGAAGCCTCTTCGATCCCTTTGATGCCTTCTTCGTGAACAATCTGTCTGCGCATGCGCAGATGATGTTTCAATCCGGTATGTTTTTGGTCTGCTGTGTCCGCAGTCTCGGTCTGATTTGCAGCCATAATCGAGCAATGGCCGTCCTTCGCGCTGTCAAGCAGAAAACAAGACATCGACAGATGGCGATCAGTTACCGTAAAATTTGCACTTGAATCTCCCTACCTAGTGCCAGCGATCACCTATGCGGGATCTTCGTATCGTTACTTCTTCGGCTCGAGGGATTCGGCCGCCAAATTCCATCGCATCAATTTCTATCATGAGACATTGAGACAACTTCGGGAGGCAATGCTGAAGCCAGATAGTCAATGTGGAGATGCGATGCTTCTAGCCATTGCCATACTGACCATCCACGGCCCTCCAAACGAGATGCAAGGTCGGACTCTGCTAGGCTCCCAGCAGCTGAGGGATTACGAGTATTATGGCAGCAAAACATGGGAACCGACCCATTTTCAGGCGTTATTGTCCTTAGTGAAACAAAGAGGTGGATTGAACAAAATCGGGATCGACTCTCTAGCCGGGATTATTATGACGTGCGTAATGTTCCAACATCTCTCAGATACTCAACTCACAGTTTAGGATTGATATTGTCGATTCGATTTCGGTTCTCAGGGCGCCTGCTTTTCCACTGTTCTTCCCTCCGAGCCTTTTACTCCAGGATCTCCGTCGATATCGCAAATCGGACAAGGACGATTCATGCCAGGGCTTTCGCTTCTTGAGGAACAGGCACCTTGGCCGACGACTTTTGACGATAATTGAGGACGTCGATGCTCTACTCGACGCCTACAACACCTTTCTGCAAGATTCTGGTTCTAATGTAGATTTCGGTCAGTTAGTTGCGGCATGGCGCATTTTGCAGCATCAAACACTATCGCTGCCAAGTGGCGAGGATCTCCTTTTCAACCTATGTCGGGTCACAGTCATAGTTTTTCTAGTCGAATGTCTCGAACCCCTGCCAGTCATTGGCACTTTCCACCGGAATGGGTCACGGAGGCTGATGTTGTTAATTGACGAGTGTGATAGGCGGGAGTACTGGCAGACGTCTCCTAATACAATGCTCTGGGCAACTGTTGTCGGCGGTTTCGTCAGCCGCGAGACTTCGCTTCGCCTGTGGTACATCGAACAGCTTCGTGGCAGTCCGATAAAGACCAGTGAAGAGCATTGGGAGGAGGTTTTGCATTTGGCGGACACATATCTCCCATTCAGACATCGACAAGCGCAAGGTTGCCGGCAGTTTTGGAGCGAAGGATGCAGTTGGCTGGCTCTCGCCAATCCATATCTGAGAACCGGCTAAGAATACGACTTCACGGTGATACAGTGACGAGCTGCGTGCATACACGAACGCACACCTTTAGTCGGAATGTGTGGATTCCAAGAACTTTATGGCCAATATGCTAACACATAGGTTTCTGCTTCTGCTTTGCCTCTGCATCATGCACTGGCGGGCGGCGCACAAAACAACTGACGGTGCATGTCATGGTAGAATCGGCTGTAATACTTGATCGCAGCCCCATTTATCCTCTAAGGCGGAGTACATGAGGTTGGGAAGCAGCTCCCGAGAAGGCACTGGACGTTGATGCAAGTGGATGAAGGGCAAAAATAGATTCCATTCGTATACGGATCACGGTATCCGCCCCCATTGGAAAGGTTCACGTTATTCAAAGCAAGGCAGAAACACCTCTCCTGTTAATTCTTGGGATTGAGCTTGTACAGGACAAGACCAGGCCGGCGAGACGCTTCCATCACGGAGAAAGTCTTGGTTTCGCCCTAGCATGAAGACGCATCCATACAACCTACAAATCACGTTCCAGAAGATGGCCGGCCTCGACTAGCCTGGGGTCGAGAATCGAGATTTTGGGCCTTTAGCATTCTGCTCTTGCCCAAGCCAGCAACTTGGTTACTAGAGCCTCGTGTTCGCTAGTTGTCTTCCGTGCACTTCTCAGCCGTGGACGCACAACGGCAACAGTTTCCCTGTCAATTCCTCCAAAGACAGGAGCCCGGCAGACCCTTGCAGGAAGAAGTGCTGCCACAAATACAGCCCCAGCACTGCAAGAATGCCACATATCGTTAAAATGTCGAGTTCATCGTCCAAAACAAACATCATGCGCTGTCAATACTTTGACCCACCCTAGCGACGATGTTCCAGGCCGAAGAGAGCTACGGAAAGTATTCGGTGGTATCGGATACTGCTTGGAGTAAGTTTGGCCATTTAATTTTCTGAACAAGGCTGACGGAGGAAAGGCCTTCCGCCAAAGAGACAGGCGAAGCTCCCCAAATACTATGCACCATTCTCGACCAGATGGCCTGCTTTGACCCTGATCTTGCTTGTCGTCCTGGCTTGTATTGCTGCACTCGAGTATGGCCTTCGCTCAGGTCTGACACTGGAAGAGAAGAATCAGCAGCAAAACCACAGCAGGCTGAGGGTGGAGAGACAGGATACAGATGTTTCAAGCTCGCCAGCAACGACAGAGGTTCCTTCGACCGCGCCTTCTGTCCCCTCGACCAGTCCCGGCTCTCAAGATGTGACGACTCCAACGTCGGCTGCTGCGTCCCCGGCAGCAAGTACAAGCCCTGTCGAGGAGTCAACCATCGACTCCAGCTCTTATGTCTCTCCGACAGAGCCTAGCTCAACCATGACCACTGTGGTTACCGGTAGCGCTACTGCCGGTGCATATATTGACCCAGCTACACCACCAGCTGCAGACCAATCCTCAACGACACCCCGTTCCAGCAATCCAACATCATCCCCCTCGACGGCCTACATCACGCCTACCACCCCTCAAAACCCTGCGACTCCAGTAACATCTACGATTGTCCTTGAGATTACTGCAAAACCCATAGTGACCAGCAGCACGGCTCCCTACATCGTGCCATCTACAGCCACGCCTGGGGTGGGTACATATATCTCCACTACAACGATGATGGCAGGTAGCACGACTCCATATATTTTACAGATGAGCAGCACTACTCCATATATTGTGCAGTCTAGCATTCCTCCTACAGTGATTTCCTCAGGTAAAGAGACAACCAGTACCATTCGGTATAGTGCGCATACTCAGACATCCGGTGCATACGTGCAACAATCAACCTCCTCGATCAACAGCGGCGCTGCTGTCGTCAAACAGTCGGCCTCGACGAAGTCAACTAATCCCTACACCGTATCTTCCAGCAGTGCGGCCTCACGTATGCGAACCACCACGCCCATGACCGGCTACTCCACATCATCCGGTTCGGGTGGCATGAGGACGACAAAGCCTATGTCTGCTTCTATTTATGCCACGGGCTCAAACCCGGTTGTGTCCGAGGCTGATTCAAGCCCATCGAAGATCATTTGCAGCGATGGTCATACGGCATCCGCTCCAACGCCATCCGGGAAGTCCAACGATCAACAATTCACTGCATTGATTACTTATACCACGGAGGACTCATCAGGAAAGCCATTTACAACCGTTGCCACGGAGACATACGACGTTGCAGTAATAACTGAGACGGTCTACGATTCAACCGGCGGTGTCTCAACCATGGTGGCAACGTTAATGTCCTACAGCGGCACAATAACGCCCACAATCCTCGCTCAAAGTACCTCCCTTCCTACAGCTCCTCCAGACCATCAAAGGGCAGATGAGGTCGAGCTTGGCTTGGCTGTGACTGATGTGCAATATTTTCGTGCCACATACCTACCTGTCCTGATAGCGGTTATTCTCAAACTCGTTTGGGCCATCGTCTTCACCTCCACGAAGATGATGGAGCCGTTTTATCTCCTATCGAGGGAAAAGGGCGCAACTGCCAAAGAATCACTTTTGGCGGATTATCTGACCACCAGTTTTTCGGTTGAGGGCATAAAGAACATGTTTTTTAGCCACCCAGCCGTCACCCTGGTGAGTCTTGCATATATTTGCGTAAGCGCTGTCCCAGCGATAGCGACGCAATCCACAACTGTGAGAGCGATTGCATGGTGCAGAACCCCCGACCTCAAAGCGGCAAGGTGCAATCCGATGGGGTACCTCAATATTAACTACACCAGAGCTCTTGAAGCAATTCTTTCTCTAGTTGCTCTTGTCATTCTTCTGGTGATCATACTTTCTAGTCGCCGTCGCAGCGGAATCTTTTCTAACCCATCCTCAATTGCCACGATGGCTTCACTCCTCAGTAGTGAAGACTTTATGGAGGAGTTACGGAGAATAGACCAAAAATCAAGCCGTTCGTTCGCGGGACAACTCCTTGATCCTTACAGATACATATCTAGCCGCCATCAGACAGGCACGGGCTATATGAGGTACGGAATTGTAAGAGCACCTAGGCAATCGATAGAGCCCACGGTCAAGAACACCGATCAGCAGGAATATTCGGCTCTGGTGCAGCCACGTGCTGGTAGGACCGAAGTACACAACTCTCGCAGTACGCTCTCGAATCGTTTCCTCACCGACACTCTCTTCCTTCTTTCAATTCTAGCACTTCTCGGCGTGCTTATAGGTTACTATTTGGACGGACATGACGACCCTTTGAATAACTACTTCAACCACAACCCAACCAGTCGACTTGTCCTCACAGTTGCTGCCAGTCTTCTCGACATTCGCTGGAAGCAGCTAGAACGAGAAGTTCGACTTCTAACACCCTATCGACGATTGTTCCGCGGGTCTGCAAAGCCGCAGTCGACTATCCTGGTTTCACAGAACTCTACGCCTCTCAAAAGCATCTTCCCGGCGCTCTGGAGACGAAACTTCTTCCACGCTTTTGTGGCCCTTGTGGCCACACTGTCTGATGTTTTGATTATTGCCATCGGCGGCGTGCCATGGAATGCTGCACAAATTTGGCTCGGTTTCCTTGTGAGTATATATTCCAGTTGGGCAATACTGGCCTTGATGGCGCTTACAGTCATCGCCATCTTCCGATGGAGGGCATTGAACGAGAAAATGATGATGCCACATGAACCTACAACACTACTTACGGTGTGGCTTATGCTCTGCAACGAGGGCAACCAACTTCGTGAAGAAATGCACGGGTATGAAACCATGAGTGCAAAAGAACGAGACGACAGGGTCAAAATGAGGGCCGGATTGTATTGGGCTGGTTGGCTCACCCAGCCTGATGGCTGTCGGCGATGGTGTTTGGAAAAGGAAAGTGGTCAGGCGTCGGGGATGAATATGATGTACGAACATAATTGGTGATGATAGGTCTTTTAATGCCATCCATTCTGCCCAAGGCGTATCTTGATATTCGCTGCTGACCCTTAGTCCCGCAGTCTCATTCTTTGTGTCGCAAGTTCGTAACGAGGACCGAGTACCGAGTACTTAGATTACTCGAGAACGGGTTATGATAAGAGAACGGAGAGCTAGCAATCACCTTGTCCACATATGTCGGCCATTCATTTTTTTTCCTGTCCGTGCGTGGTCCCGCAAACATGACCCGCGTGATATCCACCCCTCTACTCGGTAGAGCCTTTGAGTTGACTAAGTAATGGCTGCAGGGTTTGCTGCAGGGGAGCGTCTTCGATAGTTCAATCGGCATGTTCTTGTCTTCAGCAGGGCCCCTCGAAAGGCTTGGAGATCCTCCGACGGTAAACGGCACCGTCTCCGAGGAGAAAGTGTCTGTTGGACTGACACCGATTGAAAACTGTCAAGTTGATTACGTAAATGGCCATCTAACCTGTATGTGGTCAACTGTTGCTGCCGAGCTATTCCTTCAGCGATGTCCTTTCCGTTTATCGGGAAATTTGGGCTGTGCCAGGAAATCCATTCCCGAACGTGCCGCCAGAGGCAAACAACCGTCTAGTGGCTCGATTGCGTGGTCTGAGAACGCCTCTATACCACTGTTCAGGCCACCTTGCATACCACTGCCGCGATCCGTCTACTTGTAGTGGCCCAGGCTAGACTAGCGCCTTGGCTGAGATTGCACAAGTACTCGGTACGAGGTACTTGATCATGATGTTCGTGGAGGGCAAATCGTAGCTCCTGGCGCTATGCTCAATCGAGCCAGCTACTACAAAAGGTTTAGCGCATGATCTTGATACTATTAATGGGCTCTGGCCACCATCGATCAGCCTCAGGTACAGACCTCCAGCCTCAGAGATGGAGTCAGACAGGGGTTTTGGCCCATTACAGTCTGAAACCATTACAATAGAGAAATGCAATTAGGAAAGATTACTTCACGATGTTGACCCTTCTACAGGCGCCCAGGTAAGTATTTCAAGGGCACGTATCCCGGTACCAGCTTGAGCCTCTTGCTCCATCCTTCAAGGCCTCGAAGCTCTCGCTCCAAAATCATCCATCATGGCTACCATTCATTATCCTTTACCAATGCAATCGTTTAACCAGTCCCAGTTTTCATCCAATTCCACTTCCAATGCAAAGTTCTTCGGCTCTAATCGTCCCTTTGTTCTTCTGGGCCATGGATGGATGCTGTTTACCGTTGCATTTCTATCTCTAATCCTGTACCGCATTTTCTATTTCTTTGTTTTCAAGGACCGACCTCCTAAGGGGCTTCAGCTGGTCCCTGGCCCCGGGAGCACCATTCCTTACATTGGGCGAGTCGACATTGATCCCATCGCGCCCTGGACCTCTATGAAAAAATGGTCCGATCAGTTCAACGGCTTCTTCAGGCTGCAGGCTTGCGGTGAAATGCACATCTGGCTGGGAGACAATGACATCGCACAAGAACTATATTGCAAGAGAGCCGCGATTTACTCCTCCCGTCCAGAGGTTGCAGCAGTTCCGGGCAGCGACTCACAGGGTCAATATCTCCCCCTGCTGGAGTACGGCGGTGAGCCTTAAAGCCACCGGATTACCAGATCTCTCTGACAATTCCAGATCACTGGCGTATGCAACGAAAGTTCGCCCACACCTCACTGACCTTGGCGTACAACAATCAGTATTATGGCTACATCAACCTTGAGGCCAAACGATTCTTGTTCAAACTACTTCAAGACCCTCTCGACCACTTTTCACAAACAGACAGATTCTGTGGTCGCGTTTCTACGAGGCTCTGCTACGGCTCGCCACATTCGGCCGCAGCTCATTGCAAGAACGCCGCCGAATTCATTCCACAGATCTCGCCTTCAGCAAGTGGACCCATTACAAACATTCTTCCTTTCCTTGCAGGCCTTCCCGAATGGCTAAATCCAACAAAAATACCTTGCAGACAACGGAGAGAGCGCGAAGAGCGTCTTTGGACGGGACTCATGAGACAAGTTCGAGAAGAGATGGAGCAAGGCAAAGCAAAGGTTTCGTATGCACGGTCATACTTCGAAAGGAAGGCCGCCGCTGCCGACCAAGACGATCGGTCTTTTGGCTTTGATGACCACGAAGCAGCATATGCAGTCGGAATGCTGTGCACCGTGGCCATTTTCACCATCGGAGGTCCCTTGTACTGCTTCTTCCTAGCGATGACCCTTCATCCCGAGTGGCAAGAGAAGTGCAGGGCCGAAGTTGATCGCGTGGTCGGGCAGAATCGCATTGTCGAGCTCAGCGACTCCCCCAACCTTCCGATCCTTCGAGCATGCTTCAAAGAATGTATCCGCTGGCGCCCACCAGTTCCCCTCGGCGTTCCTCGACTCGTGCAAGACGACGATAATTATCAGGGTTACTTTATTCCTAAAGGAGCTGTGGTTCATGCGATCGACCTGGCAATTGCGCGCGATCCTAACAGATATCCCGACCCCGAGACATACAATCCGGGCCGCTGGCTGGAACCGGAGTTTCCCACTTATCAAGAACCATTGTCCGTTTACCCCCGCTTAACAGGGCATCATGGTTTCGGCCGTGGTCGGCGTATGTGCCCCGGTATCGAGATCACCGAAGCCGAGTTGCTGGTGGCATGTGGTTCTCTGCTATGGGCTTTTACCATGAAGCCCAACATTGGACCTAACGGACAGCCACAATGGCCTGACTCGAAAGCATTCACGAGCAATGTCATTGGAGGACCTCTGCCGTTCAAGTTCGATCTGAAAGTCAGAGATGAGCAACGCAAGGCTAAGATCGAGGAGCTGTACGAGCAGAGCCGGGATCTGCTGGAAGAGAGATGATTGGCGGGGGCAGTATACTTATCGCCCAGCATCCCATCCTCTTCCGAGTAAGGTGAATACTAGGATGAGAAAGTTGCCTGTCCTGGGAGGAATAATATCACTTGGCAATTTCTTGAGTTGAGGTGTCCCATCTGACGATCGATGCTGTCGTTACAAGCTGCACAAAGAGAGGGACAATCCGTAGATACGGCAGGAAGAGGTTGGTTGGGTGGTTACATACCTGGTTAACGTAATAACCTTTCGTAAGGATGCAATTTACATGATCTACGCACGAGAAAGACGAGAAGTTTATGCATCGGAGCCCGAGCAGGCTGAGGAAATCACGCTGAGGCTGAGCCTGTACTAATGGCCTGTATTGCATAGTTATGTCCAAAAAATTCGGCTATGACTGATGAGAGTGATATCCGCTAATACAACTTATCCTTGACATGGGGACGCCAAGCCGAGCCAGATCACCTGATAATTTGTTAAAGCGGCAATGCCAGGCTGAAGCCGAGAACAGTCGAGGCGTCTCCGTCGCTTTACGCTTGACGCCTTTTCTCACACTTCGACGTATGCTGCTCACCTTTCACCGTCCCATCTAATTGCTTAGATACGGGGAGTATTGTTCATACAATCGAGATTCAGCTTTCAGTAGGTGCTTGGCTTGTGTTAGTGTTCAAACATGCCTAGTTTCGACGTATGGGTGGCCTTATCAAGGACCTCGCTTTGCAAAATGGCTGATATCTACGTTTCCAGAGCGTTTCAGCAGATTCTGGGGAGAAATTTCCCTTGATATCATACATCATAGGAGCACTGTCCCATTGCTTGAAAGAGGGAGAGAACTGGATCAAATTGGCATTTGCGAATTGCGATAATCGCTTCTATTAAGCTGCAATTTGTCTTGGGATGCCAGCCTTACAAGTATTCCCTAGGGGGATGTGAGTGCGACCTCGCTGTGTTTCGACGAAAATGTTTCGGCCCCTTCAGTTCCTGGCGCCGATATGGCTGACTTGCACCATTTGGAGGCCGATCAGCACGACTGGGGTATGCAAGCCTCAAACACATGTTTTGTTCTCCTCAGGGGGCCGAACGTATCTTCGCACCCTATCCTTCTACTTTCATGCGCCAGACGGCGTCTAAGACAGCGCACCGTGCTTATATGAAGGCAACACGGAGCGCCTCCACCAAGATTGCCAGAGCTGTATAGGATTTCCCCCCAATACCTACGGCTTGAATGCCCTTGCGGAAAGCCTCCATGTCTCGAGACACTTTACCAACCTCCAAGGAGCAGCATTCGTCAGTCGCCTCGCCCTGTCTGAAGATATCAAAACAATGGCAATGGCCTGCCAAGCATCGACGCATCCACTGGCGAGCGCCAACAGTGATGGTTCTGTCGTTTATCGCTGCCATTGTCAGCGCAATTGTCCACCATATCCTCTACTCTTCTCTGAATGGCCGCTCGGTCACATACGATTTCGAACAGCAATTGGTTACGTCAGCTGGAACTGCCCTGGCTTTCTTCGTTAAGGTGCTCTTGGCTGTCTCGTCCGCCTTAGCATTTACTCAATGCCTGTGGTTCTCTTTAAGATCTCGCTCTGTGAAGATTCGGACTATGGATTCGATCTTTGGTGTGCTCGGAAACCCCCTTGAGTTTCTTGATCTGCGATTTTGGCTGGGTCATCCCGTGTTATTTCTTACCGCGGCTACCACTTGGTAAGATCCATACACCTCTCTGTGCAGTTTATACAGCTTGTTAACTATTATCTTCGAAGGTTGATACCGCTATCCGCTATTTTCACCCCAGCGACTATCTCCGTTGGCCCGAAAATTCATACAACCGCAGTCATTACGAATATCACCCAAAGAGATCGCTACATTGCCGAAAATATGAACAGACCCACTGATGGCTTGTGGCAATATCCAGGCGTCTCGACCATGCTGTTCTATATGACTCAGCTAACTTTGTTGGAAGCTGCTATATTGTCCCTTCCTGGCGGATCCCCAGCCCAGAACCTCTCATACCACCTAACCTTTTGCGGCCCTGCGATACAATGCCTCCCACCTTCCAACCAAACAAGGTCTTTCATCTTATCCGCGATGGCGGAGTACATTAACGAGTTCGAAGAGTTTCCCTTCTTCACTTCATTCTATCCCGTTGACGGCTTCGGACCCGGCATCAATGCGACCTTTTTCGACAACGTCGTCAACGTGAATGTTGCCGATACCCATCAAGGCTTAGATCTGGTATCCAGCGACGCCGCAAAGGTTTATTTTACTTTATGGGTTGACGATAACATGACCGCAATTCCGGATGCAAGTGGTAACATGGAGATACTTGAGTGTTCCCTCCATAACGCCTCATATAATGCGCAGGTCGAGCTTCGCGGCAACGGGCAACAGACAATCTCGGCAGCAAGGACTATACTGAAGCCTGTACCGGCTGTGGCATCTCTTCCTGACAGTGTGTCGGAGTCCGAGGCTGCCAATCTTTTCGAATACTTTAGTCTCATGCAGAGCTATGTTGATAGCGTGCTTGGGTCGACTACAACATCCCCTGTCTATGCCTTGATTCAAGATTCACAGCCAGTGCAATTTACCCAACTAGGGACGAATCCGGTCCTCATGCCGTACCTACTTCCATCTTCTGCGCCTGTTGACTTCAATCAGTTTACGACGGGTTTGGAGGACATGTTTCAGAATTTGACTCTGAGTTATCGTTTTGCATCATTACCAGAGTAAGCGCCCCAAATATCTACTCCCCATTGCTTGCACACAGCATATTGTCCCTTATCTCTTCTGTACGCATCGTGGCCACTAACAACAAGCCTCTGAATAAAGCACAACCTTGGTACCTGGCACCCCAAAATTCAACTCCCATGTGTCTACGCTAGGGACACTCAGCTTCTCCCTGAACACATTCACCTACAATCCTCGAACGCTGATGATCGCTTACGGTTTAGCAATCTTCCTATCCGCGGTATGTCTAGCATGCGGCCTCGCAGCCCTTTACAGCAACGGTGCCAGCTATACCAACAACTTCTCAACGGTGTTGCGCATGACCCGCGATCACGGATTCGGCGAATTTATCCAGGACGAACGGGATTGTACAGGGGCTGACCCTTTGCCGACAAACATTGCGGACGTGGAGGTTACATATGTGGGAGAGGGGACGACAGCCGAAGGCGATAGAGGCTTTGCGGGCGGGATTAAGGTGCTTAGGTAAGGATGATAGGAAATGAGGCAGTTAGCACGCCTTTTCCATTGGCCTCCACAGCATGTAAAGCTCGGAAAATTGTGCTCAACATAAGAGAGTCTATTACAATCAATACAGAACGCCCCAAGTGCTTATAATTGAGAGTGCGGAAGCAAGCGGCGAGGTTTGCAGATTTGTTAGATTTCAATTGTTTAAAGTATGCGTTTTGTCCGACTCCTGCGAGAGCCTGATCGTTGAACCATTGCAACCTTTACTGTCGTGTTCAACGGGTGTGAATACGAGACTCACAGATAGAGCTCCCCTAAGGGCGCGTCAGCAAATGAAAAAGGATGCGGCATTAGCATGGGTAGGCTCGACGAGTCCAAGGTATAAAATGCTGCTGCCTTCTCCTCTTCCTTTCCTCGCTTCATCCTTGCGACATACTATCCTAATTTAACCACGGCAGAGCTATTTGAACCATGTTAAGCTTTGTCCTGACAAATGATAAATGGTAGACTAATTCTCCATTCAAGTGGGAATGCTCGTTATCTTCTCGAAACTCTATTTGCTCTTATACTTAGTCGAACTTTTAGAGACAGAGCGTAACCAATCCGACTCGCTTCGGCGAGAATGAGACAGGCTCGTTGCGGAACTAATTCACGGCCCCAAAGCGCCAGGACAATAACAGGGGTAATAATATATTATTGTAACAGTGTAAAGCAAGTGATAGTACTTGTATTTACTCTTCCTACGCCCTTGGCAGTGCCTGGCCGCCTACCCTCTGAGCCCGGTTATATTATCAGAAGCTAAGCCAGATCGGGTTAGGTTTTATCTAAAGCATAACAAGCAGACTCGGCAATGCTGCTTTGATGGTGGATCACGTTTTCATTGGTAGAAGTCGACATCATGCTCTAGCCTGAACAGGATAAGCCGCGACTTGGTCCTGCCTCGCTCGGTCGCGTCCAGTGACGCGCTTTCCTTTTCCAAAGAGGGCGAAGGAGCCTCAAATGAGCAAACATTGTCCACAACGGCAACCACCGACCACCATGCTGCAATCCCCTCCAAAAAGACGAAAGATCGAGCCAACTCAGTCGCAGACAAAGAATGGCGCCACTGCCGATAATGGACAACCCACAACTCCCACCAGAGCCTCCTACCTCTCTCCCACGAAAAGTTCCTTGGCGCGCTCCCATCCCCATCTCATCACTCGAGCTTCTCGTCGCTCAGTCACCGAACCAAGGGGAAAACTCTTGAGGGACGAAATCCTGGGAAGATCTGATCACATTCTTGAGGCACCCAAGACAGCATCCCAGGTTGCCCGCATTCAGAGTGCCGACCTTTTGGTAGAGGCATCCTTGACCCCCGCAAACCAAAACCCGTCGAAGGGAGATCTCGCTGAATTGGCAAAGGGGTCGACCACAAATATTGGTCAGCCCACTGATAAGGGGAGTCCGGCACTGAAGGAGCGTCAGCCTGCAAAACATACGGCTTGGGAAAGAAGTGCACCTAGTGAAGAGCCCGCTTCACCAGCAATCCTGCCCAACCTGGTCCCAAGAAAAGAGACGGATGGTAGGCCTGTTCCACGGAGTGAAAGCGGTGAGCCTGATCTACCTCCGACGCCCGTTGAGCTGGGTCTCAATCCTGCGCCTGAACGACCTCGTGGTCTTGCATTAAGCAGTAGCCCTGGGAGTTCGAAGATGAGTAGGAGATCGGGTAGATGGAGAACCGAGTCACGGGGCCTTCTCACGAGCAGTCCTCTCAAACCCAGGGCGCCTCCAGCTGTGGAACCCTCCGATGAAGAGAATGAGAGCATGCAGGATGACGTTCAAGAAGCATCGGAGAGCGAGACTGAAGAAGCGCAACGAAACAATGAAGAAATGACCGAAGAGAGTGGAAGGCAAGCGTCAACTCTGGATTCATTATACAGAAGATTACAACAACTGAGAAAGGAGAACGAACAACTCCAGGCAGCTATTGATGATGACAATGATTTGAGCGAGGAAACTGTTTCTATGCTACAGCAATCACTCCTCGAGGACAAACTCCCTCGAAGCTTTGAGTTTACCGATGGTGGTGGCAAATTGCTCTCCCACTTAACATTCTTTGCACCTGGCAACCTGCAACTGAATGCTCAGACAGAGACCAAGGCGTTTAGGGATCGTACGAAGATCATCCACTTATTGAAGGTCGAAGCGCCACCTCCATGGCCTCCAGATGCCCTTTCTTGTGTCTTTGAAGTGGTTGTGGACGCCCAGACTGCCAAAGTCGAACATGTGGACCTGAAGGAGCCAATGGGCAGAGCACGGCGTACCAAGTCCACAAAAACCGAGATCTACAAATGGGTTAACGACCGTTTGGAGCACCCTCTGCATCGACTTGATGTAGGTGGCCTGATCTGGGGCATAGGACGATGGTTCAACGCTGCGGTCGAACGTGCCAAAATCTTTCACTGGATGGACACCAAATACAACAGATCCTCAGCGCACGTTGAACATCAGAATGAGGATGGCAAAGACCAACAGTTGACTCAGGAGAAAGCCATTGAACTAGCACGATACCTGGACATGACTGAAAATACGGCGGTCGACGCAGAAGTCACCGCTACTGCAGGCGGCAAGAAATTCAGAAAGAAAGTCATGCTCATATGGACTATGAACATTGACTGGGCAGGTGGACTTAGGTCAGACATCCAGACCACGTTCAGTGGAATTCCGCAAAAAGCCGAGCCTGGGTTGAGGACCGTCTTCTGCAGCTTGATCCCGACCTTGGGCGTCAAGGGAGCATTTGAGAACATTTGGACACTGCTCCATGGAGACGGTGACGAATTCAGATTCAATAGTGAGTTGAAGGGCAAGAAAAAGGGGTGACACTGCTGCTGCCAGATGTGCTGAATCACGAATACATGAATTGATGAACATTGCAAGATACTCCCTAGCACTATGCAGGACCATTGTTTATACGGCGGTGACTTGGATGGGCGTGTCAGAAGCACATGGCTCCGTGGTCTACGGTTGCTCTCAGCTCATCGACAGTTGCAAGTGACAAGTCAGAACCATGAATTCATCCAGGATCTTTACAAGGAGCATTTACTGCGTGTGAACATCATTTTCATTGGCGCTGCCTACGCTTTTTCTCCATGCATTTGATCTCGGGGCTTAAGACGAGACACACTTGTCAAGCGATAGATATGGACTTTATGCATGGTCAGGAGCCCAAGGCCCATTGATTAGGTAGGCTTCATTGCATTCAGTGTGTGCTGTCTCTGAATTTTTCCTTTTGTTTTTCAATATTTTCTATGCCTGCCCTTGTGCGCCTCTCGACTTGTCCTCAGTCCGCAAGGCCATGGAAGGCTGGAGACGAGGGGGTTCCTCTCCTGATGGATGAGTGCACGACCACGCCTCCTGAAACAGAAACCACTCTTGTGCGGAAAGGGGGGACATGACATGACGTAACATGCTCTTCTGCTCTGCTCCGTTCCGTTCCACCCTGCCACACTCGCTCACACTCGCTCATACTTTGTCTCATGCCAGCCTCGCTGATGGTTGGATTTTCGTTCCTTCCTTCCTCGCTCCAGGCTGTCTCTTCCCCACCCTTCTAAAATCATATCAAGATCAGACCACATGCTCCAGGTCATGTATTCATTGGCCTAGCAGCCCGTGGGTGCATGCTTGGAGGGTATGTTTATTTCTTCTTGGCCTCCTCGGCCTCCTCCTTGGCCTTGGCTCTCTTCGCACGCACGCCGACGAACCTGGCCTCGCTCCTCGCGTTCCTCAGCTTGCGGTACGCGGCCTCCTCGCCCGCGGGCATGTCTCCCTTCTTGATCTCCTGGAAGCCGTGTTTGATGCCGACGCCGGCGTCAATAGCCATCACGCCCTGGACAGTGGTCGCGAGCTTGCCGTCCTTCTTCTCCGCCGACTCGGTCGCCATCTTGACGTCGGCCTCAGATGAGTCGAGCTTCTTGTGCTGGCCACTCTTGCGCGGGAACAGGATCAGCCTGGCCTTGTAGGCCTTCAGGCGCGACACGTTCAGCGAGAGTGTCTCTTGGTTGGTGTCCAGGCGGCGGGCGTCGACGGCGATACCGATCGTAGGGGCAAGTTTGCGGGGGATGCCTGCTTCCTATTCATCGAGAGAGAAAGAGAGAGGAGGTGTTAGTGACATGTTCTAAGTTTTTGTGTTGGAGATTGATGATTGGGACTGGAGACCGACATCGGCCAAATTGGACAACATGGAATTTTGTCTCCCCTCGCCTCCTCTTTCTCTTGTCCCTAGTTTTCAAACCCATTCCCTGAGCTCTCCACGGCCAGACTCAATTGACCTCGCAGTGAGAAAAAAAGAGACGAGACTGGAAAATATCATACCTTCAATTCCGTCAATGTAAAACCCCGACCGGCCCTGGCGCGGCGATTGTACTTGATCGTAGGACACCTCACCACCGGTCTGAGTTTGTCGACAGGTCTGGGGGCAACTGCAGCGGCTTTCGCAAGGCGAGTGGCTCGGCGTCGAGACTTGCGGCCGGGCTGGTCAAAGTGCACGCGGACGCGGCGCTGCCAATCCTTGTGGAAGTGGTTGTTTGGGAGCTGTTGGTTGTGCTTGATCGCCATTGTTGCGAAATGGACGATCCCCTACTACCAACGATTTGACGTGAGGAAAAGGCTGAGGGAGGGGAAAAGAAAATGAAGTTGTTGTCCGAAGCCCGCAGGTGAGGTCGAACTTTTGGTGGAGAGGACGATGCAATTTCGAGGCTTGGCGACGATATTTTGGCCAAGATTTGTGTAGTCACGTGTATTTCGTTTTTGGACTAGCCTCAGCCTTGTAATTTGCCAGCCTCACGGTCATCCCTCACATCCACCCTACCTATGATTGGAGAATGGGAACCACTATGAGGGAGTCTGAGGTAAATCTGTCCTGTTCACACAATTTGTTCGACGAAGCTTGGACGACATTTCTTGAGGCAGTTCGAAGTACATACGGAATACTGAAGCTGAGAATGTTCTCCATTGATAAGACTGAGTATGAGGTACCGGGGTAGAGACATCCTACTGGCACATTTTACGTCCGAGCCTCCTATCTCAACGCCTGGTCCGAGAGAGGGTATCATTACAGGCATATCTCCAATCATCATTCATTGATCATCTGCACTCTCCCTCTCAGCCTTGACTCCAGGGTCCAATCCCAAGCCCAACGCCTTGTGAAATTTTCGCCTTCTTCATCTTGATGTCGGTGTCTCCAAAGCTCGCCCCTCGCTTTCTGAGCTGACCAGGTTTCTTGATGGGACCAAAAATCTTGCTTTGAAGAAGATTGCTCGAGCGCTCTGCACCTTGCGACAGCCTCAAGCTTTCTTGACCGCCTGGATTTCGTCGCAGCATATCGCTCGCGAGTGAGCTGGCCAGAGACTCTGGAATGCTATCGTCATTATTGCCTTCCTCGGCATCAGATATGGAAATGGTGCTGTCCCGGTCATGGCGCTCTCGTTCTGCCGATTCAATCACCAATTGAGAAGCGGGTGCAGAAAGAGGCACCATAGCCTCTGGATAGCCATTGCGAGTGGCAGGCCTAACTTGTACAGGTGTAGTCTGAAGGGAGGACAGAGAATGAGCTCCACGAGTATGACCGTGCTTGAGTTTGGAAGTATGAGTTCTTGTGGGCGTCGAAGGAACGCTGAGACTCTCTCCACTAAGAACTTCGCCAGCTGCAAGAAGGGCAGCAATGTTCGAATGGTTCGGTGGAGCTTCAGGGAAGGGCGGCACGGGCTTCCGGTGAGGAGTCGTGAAGGTGTCGCGAGGAGTGTTGTATGATGGCGACAGACTTTTGAACCTGGTGAAATGCTCTCTGTTCTCGCGTATTCGCCGCCTGAGTAGAGCATTTTCCTCTTCAAGCAATTCTATTCTATCACTTTGCAACCCGACCAACTTCTTTGCCCGTGCCAGTCGTTTCTCTGTCTCGTCGCGCTCATCCTCTAAAGCACGACAGGTTTTGGTCAACGCCTCAATCTGAGGTTGTGGTGGGGGAAGTGAGTTTCGAGAATGCATTGCTGCGCGATGCCTGTACTCAAGGGTTTGGAGAACCTCAATTTCCCGGCGACTCATCTGTTGTTCAACTTCAGCTCGTTGCGCAGCCTGGTCTGCCTCTATGGTTAGAAGATTGTGTTGGAGTTTGAAATGAGCGGCCGAGGTTCTCGCTTCTCGGACAGCTGAGACCAACTCTGTAGCCATGATTCGTAATTCTTCCATATCCGCTTTCGCGATCGCATCTGGAGTGGGCAAGGCGCCAAGTACATTGGATCTGATAGCAGTCGGTGGCGGTGAGGCAAGCAAGGCCTCAATGGGAGCGGCACCTATGCGATTGACAGGCGATTGGAACCGAGGAGGCTGCGTAGACGGAGGGGGAGTCATTGAAGCAGACATTGGTGGAGGAGACGTATAGGAGGATTTGTTCATACTGTCTGTTGAGCGGGTGCGAGCAGGTGGAGGAGTAGCAGGAACCGTCGAGTGGTCCGCAGGGGACTGTGAGTTGGCCATGTGGAAGTCGGCCTCGAACAGATGGCCAAACCCTGTTGCCTGTGGATTTTAGGCGGCTCCAAAATACGCAAGGTGGCTTCGCAGAATCGGCGCCGTGTAGAGCGCTGTCACCTGGAAGTTGAAATAATGTTGATGTGAGGTAAAGTATAGAGTTGGGCGGGAAGGCTCCCGTAGCAGTGCGCTTTCTGTCAGTTGTCGAGTGAGACACTGACAAAGGTCTCGAAACGAGAGTGAGAGAGAATGGGTAAAGACAGAAAGTTGCACGGGGCGCAGGATGGTATTTGACAGATTCGACTGGGATAGTGAAGAAACGCGAGAGGAAAAGAGGGACAGCAAGGCACTGAGGGGGGGGGAGGCTGGGAAGAGGTTGAAAGAGGTTGAGGCGGGTGCTGGTGAAGGTGGTTGCGGTGGAGCGAGCTGAAGACGGGACAGTGCGCGTAAGGAGGGTGGACCGGCGCTCGTCGAGGCTAAACCCCTACAGTTTAGGCACCGCGGCCCCCAGTGTCACCTGGAGAGTCGCGTTGGTGGGCGTCTTCAGCAACCAACAAGGGCCTGTAGGTGGCCCGTGGTGGCCCAGACTCTAAATCGAGGCGCCAGACGCGTCAAAGTGGCGTCACCGTGGCTTCCTCTTAGCGCGGTCGTGTAGGACAACCACAAGCCCATCTTTTCCTGACTCCCCCCTGATCCAATGTCAACATCCCAGATCCTTTTTACCGGGTTCGACACCCTCGAGCTGTCACTCCGAGCTTTTGAGTTCTCAGCATATCCAGCAGCTGCCCCAAACAGAGCTTCTCCGTATAATAGATGATACTGCTACCCGAGCCCATGTCCCAAGCAAAACTCAGTTTTCCAAATTCTCATCTCTGAGAAAGCATGGACCACCTCCAGGAGCAGGGGTCTCATCTCCCCGTCCGTGGTAGCATTCCACGGCTATCCAAACTGCCAATGCCACGTGCAGTGGCCTCAAGTGACAACTTGAAACTCTCTGCTCGCTCGTCGCCTGTGCCGAACATTCATCACGATGATTTGCGAAAAACCTCGCACATTCCTCGTCCGCTCGGGGAGAACGTCAATCAATCAATTCGCTCGAGATATGGTTGGTTGGACAAACCTGTACAACCAAGGAGCGAGTCTCCTGTGAGAGACGCTCTCCGCGATGTGCAAATAACGGCTATGGACACGACTCCGCCTGGCTCCAATCAAAATCCCCCGGTGTTTGAGACTGGTAATGAGAATCCAACAGCAGCAAAGCCCGGGACAAAGGAAACGAATCGGCCTCAAGAGACAACCCCGACTCCTTCACCGACAACATCTAGACCAGATTCGCCAACTAAAAGGCCCTTTCGGCCGCCAGGGAGGATGTCTCCGACGAAGGATATCACGACTCTACCACCGGTTGTCTCGCCTGGCGAAATCTACACACCACCAAAGGCGTTCGTCAAGGGTCACCACTCACGGATAGCAAAACCACTTCGGGATGTCAGGAGGTCCGTCAGTTCAGCCTTTGATGTTGCTTACAAGGAGTCTACTGGAGGACCACGGTCAAAGATATCAGCTCAAACCTTGAAACATAAGCCAACCTATGGGGACAGGGGAACAATGACGCCCACGCCAACTCCGAAGCAACCACTTTCTTCTATTTTCCGACCCCCTTCTCCTATCACTAGATCTAATAGCAAGCTTGCCGTCTCTAACGTTGAATCATCGCCGGCGCTCCTCAAGCCACGGTTAAGAGGCGAGAATACACTCGCACCATCGACTCCACCGTCAAAATCAGCGACGAAAGCAAGAAAGGACGCCCCCGCTCAGCAAGCCGCCACTGTTGCTGTAGTGAAAGAACTCCAGGCAACAAATTCCCCCAAGTCATCGGCGGCTTTACGGGAGACGATTGCAAAAGCAAAAGCTGCAAAAAGAAAAGCTCGCGAGAGTAATGGGACGACAGCCCCGCCATCATCTGAAGCCTCTTCCTGGCCATCGGATTTTATCGACGAAGCGGCGTCTCTAGGTGGCGATAACAAAGGGCTGCTGCGGAAACGTATACAACAGGCTGTAACGTCTGGTCATCTGAATATCGCAGCAATGAAACTGAAACAAATGCCTCCAGAAGTCATGCAAATGTATAAATCGGAGAACAGCACGACGAGTTGGGCCGAAATGGTGGAGTTAATAAAACTCAATGCGGCAGACAACGAGTTTAAGGAATTAGAGGATGACATGTTTCCCGATTTTTCAGAATCGGAATTGGCTGACGATGATGAGAGCACAAATCAATTTGGCGGCCTCGAGACAATAGACCTGCGCAGAAACCGATTGCGGCAAATACCCATAGGAATGCGAAGGTTGGAAAGACTTCAGTCATTGAACTTGAGCGGCAACAAACTTATCAACAATGCTTTCAAGGTCATCGGCCAGATACCCCATCTCAAGGAGCTTATCATGGCGGACAATCTCATCGAAGGCACTTTGGAACTTGGCGACTGCAACCTCGAGCATCTTCAAGTTCTCGATTTACGCGGCAACAAAATCCAGAGCTTTGGTGCCGAAGGTCTATCTCGACTTGGGAGCATGAAGGTGTTGAACATTGCTGGCAACAAGTTTGCAACACTCCCGTGGGAGAGTCTACCTATTTCAACTTTGACCGAACTAAACGTCTCCAGAAACCGTATTTCCGGTACCCTGCTGTCAGGCACGCTGGCTCTCCTTGAGCTGCGTACCTTGGACGCGTCCTTCAATGAGCTGGAGAAATTCTTTGACAGTGACAATGCCCCAGATCTCCCAAATCTGCGTTCAATCGCTCTAAACGGCAACAAGTTCATCAACCTACCCCCATTAACGAATTGCAACCAATTATATACCTTGGAAGTTTCGGAAAATCAGTTGGAAGAGATTCCCGCAGATTTAGCACAGTTGGATAACCTAAAAACGGCAGATTTTGGAAACAACAACATCCGCCTCGTTCTGCCCGAGATTGCGTTGATGACGAACCTGTCGACCTTGAACATCGTCGGAAATCCACTTCGTGAGAAAAAGTACCTCACAATGAATACTTCGGAGCTCAAGGCGGACCTCGAGAAGAGACTTGAATTCGAACAATCCGAGAAGCCTTCCCCGGAGCAAAGCGATAACCTCACCAGCTCAAAATCTAGCGGGGAGTACCGTTACACCCCTTCCAATGGAATCCTCGACCTTTCCTCCCATTCACTGGTCACCCTCTCCGTGGCCGAAATCGACCTGTCTTCACAAATCCACACCCTCAAACTCTCCAACAACGAACTCCCATCCTTCCCGATTGACCTCCTTTCACACCCTTCCTTGAAATACACTCTCCAATCTCTCGACCTCTCTCATAACCCTCAACTGCATCCGACAGAGTACCTCACCAGCGAACTCTTCCTCCCAAACCTGAAATCACTCTACATTGTTTCCACAGGCCTGACCTCTCTCGACGCGCTCACAACATACCTTAAAGCCCCCTGCCTCGCGGAAATAAACATCTCATGCCATCGTCTCGCAGGCCACGTCCCTTGGGTCCGGGCCTGGTGGCCGAACGTGAACACTTTGCTGGCTACAGATAATTGGTTCACTTCCGTCGACATTGAGGGCGTCCGCGGGCTGGAAGTCCTCGACATCAGGAACAATGAGATCGAGAGCCTACCACCAAAGTTGGGGCTATTGGGCAATCTCCCTGGCTCCAAGGAGAAGGTGGAAGGGAGGCTGAGAGTATTGGAGGTCAGTGGGAATAGATTTCGCGTTCCACGGATAAATGTGGTAGAAAAGGGCACAGAGGCTGTCCTGAAGGACCTGAGGAGGATGGTCAAGGAAGAGGAGCTGACAGAGGAATGGCGAGACGCGGTATAATCTCCTCCTGTGTTCGGGATTGTTGGTCCTCTTTCACGCCAATTCGGTACGCGCATCTCAGTCCGATCCCTAGCCTGTTTCTGCAACTCGTTCTCCGCAGACCCTGAACCTGTTTGCCGCGTTCCAGCCTTGCAGTGTCTCACCCATCCTTGCTTTCCTTGATCACGGTATGATGGCGGTCCTTACAAGGGCTTGTTGGTGGAGTATGCCAGCGAAAGGAGCTACTTACGACACGGTCAGTTCCAAAAGTCCATTCTTCTTCTCCCCTACAGAATTGGCTGGGAGATGTGTTCGTGTGTTTTTGTGTCTGTGTGTTGTGTTTGATGTATAATGCAGATGTATGGATCTTCACTTCTTGTGCATATATATATGTACATAGATAGAGCTTTTCGGTTGGCATGCCATGGCATGGCACATACGGTAATAATGGTATAAACTACGAAATGTGTTATAGGAGCTTTTATCGTGCTTGATTAGTCCTCGTTTGAGCTTTTGACTGAGCTTTATTCGGGTAGCTGGCTATCTCCAGATCCCATGTATAGCCTTGAATCAAGGTCTTCCGGATCTCCTTCTACAGGAGTCGAGTCTTCAAGCAGCCGTGTATCAAGCCCTGGGTCGAATATCGTTGAACCCATGGTGCTCCTCTGGTCTATCATACTTTTTGTGCCCGGTCATCCATTCTTCATTCCGTTGTGAGCTCGATCATCACCCATCTCATTATTCGTCACGTCGACTTCTTCTATTTCTGCCACCGGAGGACCCTTGTTCAGTTCTCTCAAACTTTGGCGCAATCTATATCTGTGTTTCAGAATTTGAAGACCCCAGACTTACTCTTTATCCCATCGAAAACGCAAGTTCCATTGACAGGGACATATTGCCTTGTCAGCAGCTTGATCGCCTCCTGCGCCACCATGCCTCCGACTACACTGGAAATGTTATGCAGCTCACCGCCCTCCACACGCTCGGCTTCCGTGATAGCATTGGTAATGTTCTCGCGCATCTCAGGGTCGGATGACAGTGAATCCACGTTGAGCTGCATGTCCGACGAGAAGCTTTTGTTGTTGAGCGCGACGAAGACAGGGGAAAGGGACTCCCAATCATTTTCAATAATGGATGCGAGACGGGAGAGGACTTTGGGGTCAGACACCATCAGGCGGAGTGAAGGGATGACCTCCCTGTTCTGGTTCGTCAAGACGCGTACATGAGAGGCATTTTTGCAGAAGGCTTCAATCTCCGAGTCTGGAACTTGCGAAGCCGTTCTTGAAAAAGACGCTTCGATTTGACGAACAAGCTTAGTTACTTCCGCCACGTCAGCTCGTGCTTTGGACTTGTAGATGGTCTGAAGCTTGACGTAATCTGCACTGGTGGCTTTCATATCTGGTAGAGCTCCAGGGAGCGGCAGAACACCGTGAGTGTCATAGAACGTTTTGATAGCGTTTGCGACAACCCAGAAATTTGCCGAATCTGTGGTTAGGCTGGTGCAGGAAGGCATAGACATCATCTCCCTGCACCCACTGCCTATTGGTGGCGGAGCGATGCTCTTGAGCACCGCGGCACAGGCTTCGTCAAAGTTCTCTTCGCCGCCTTCGGGGTTGTTTGTTCTTGCACCAGACCCGACAAGGTCCCGAAATTCGGTCTTCTCTTTGAACGACGAGGGATACTTGTTATCGTGATCTGTCTTCCACCGTCTGAGGTAGTGTAAGAGAATGAGAATGTATGGGATGTGGCCGTGGTCGTGATCTGACAACGATGTGAGGTCTCCGAGAGAATCGGCTTCAGCGTCGAGCTCAGGCCAAGGCGCAAGAAGACGGAGATCTTGGGTGCTCTCAGGATCAGGGTGAGTATCCACAATGGGAAATTCAGTAGGCAGTTGAATCGAGAAAGAGGCAAAGAAGCCGGCTGACTGGACATAGATGACTGGTATTGAGTTCTCTAACGCATAACCACATATCTTCTCGAGCGGTTCCCGAGCCACCGGAGCACAGAGGAGGATCAGATTGTAAGGCTTGAGGGACCCTTGCACAGGGAGCCATTCCGCCAAGGGAGCTGAAATCGCGTGGCCAGTGACGTCGGGATTCAGCTCCTGTAGCAGCCGTCTCATCTCGTCTCCTCTTGATTTGTGAAGACTGTCCGACTCGAGGAAGAAGTTGATTCCCAGATCTCTTTCGGTGACTTTGGCCGAGTCTGCGATGGTGAAACTGCCGACACTCGGTAAGATGAGGTTCTTTAGAGTCTCAGCGCCAGCAACGCTGCTGTTGGAGCCGAAGGCATCATCCCCTATAACTAAGAGAACATGGGATTCTTCCAGGGCGCGTTGTCCTGAGGCAGCCCATAATCTCAATTGGCGGTCATATTTCTTCTCTTTGGCGGTGGGCGCTTGGAGAGCAGGCGGAGTGACTTGGCGGGGCGCAATCTCCGTCATGATTGCGGCAACTCAGGTTCGATAGGAGAGCACGACATCGCCAGAAAGCTGGCTGCGGTTCCTGACATTCGTCAGCGATAGAAAAAGGTGTTCCAGGTACATAAATGTTCCTGAATGAGAGGCAGACTGCGCACGAGGGGTCCTTGCCGATCTTCGGGGCAACTCATCCGATCGACGTCACCCTAACTGCTCTAGTGGGTGTCGACTAGCGAGCCACTAACTACTACTTGTAGTCATTGAGCGCCTTGCTGCGAAGTGTTTCCCCCACCATAACAGGTCCCCGCCGTGTTGTATCTCAACTTTGTTCCCTCTCCAGGAGAAGCTTCACTCCAACATTTTTGATCATTTAGGAACTCGGTCTCTGCTCCAATCGCGGCACTGGCGGCGATGTCTTGGTTGAGATAAGTCATCTGTCGTTGCGTACGTAATCCAGTTGGACGTTTCCGATTTATGCTGTTCAAATCCACCTTTATTTTTTATGGTGACATCTGTAAGTGTCTAGAGTCCCTCCCCAACCATTGCACCTTGCCCCTTATATTTATTCAGCTAATTTCCTATAGGTAGACAAGCTAGAACCCTTTCCCTTATACTCCGCGGTAGATCTGCCTGCGCTGTTCGGCGCCATAACCTCACAGCTGTTCGCAACTGCCAGAAAAAACACTTCCACAGCACTCGCACCCCCGCCAACGGTAGCATGGCTGCCGAGATCGAAGCTGCCAAAAAGGCAGCCGCCCTTGAAGCTGTGAAAAACCACTTTCCTCCGAACCCGCGCTTCGTGGGCATTGGCTCTGGTACAACCATCGTCTACGTCGTGGAAGCGATCAAAAACTGCGGCGTCGACGTCTCAAGAGTCGGCTTTGTGCCAACGGGATACCAGTCCAAACAACTTATCATAAACGCCGGTCTGGTGCCCATTGAATTCGACGCTCTGCCGGATGATGTCATGATTGATGTTAATTTCGATGGAGCAGACGAGGTGGACGAGGAATTGAATTGCATCAAGGGTGGGGGTGCTTGCCTGTACCAGGAGAAATTGGTGGCTATGAGGTCAAAACAGTTCATTTGCGTGGCTGGTATGTCGGTCCCCTCGATTATTCGGGGAGCAGCCTTGCTAACCAGCCGCAGACTATCGAAAGCTCCAGCGGCGTCTAGTCACCAAATGGCCTACCATCCCCGTAGAGGTCGAACCAAAGGCCGCTCGACAGGTCATGAAGAGACTACGAATGCTCGGTAGTCGCAGCACTGCAGGCGTTGGCCCGATGATCAGAGAAGGTCACCTCGCAAAAGCCGGCCCTGTCAAGACGGACCAAGACTTCTTTATCGTCGATGCTCCCTTCCCGCATCCACTCCTGATTGCTGAGGATCTCACCCCCGAAAGACCGGGTGACGGTGAAAACGGCTATTGGGAGGTCGAACAGCTCGCTCGAGCTATCAAGGACATCAATGGCGTGCTTGCTGTAGGCCTTTTCTGCGGTCCTACCGGCCCCGAGGCCGCGGCAGCTGGTGTTATTGGCGGCCAGAGACCGATCGCATGCTATTTCGGCATGACCGACGGCACTGTGTCGGTGCAATCGGCCCGACATAAGCGGCATTCCATCATTGCAAAGTACCCGCCGTTGGTCCCTGTGCATAGCTCTGACCCAAGTGTTGTGGCCGCAGCAACCTCATAGACTTGGTCTCTGCTCCAGCGGAGGCATATTGTGAATATATCCCCGCGGATAGACGGCCCACATCCAGTTCATTTTACCTTTCTCTTAACCTCGTTCTCGCCGAGCTCGCGAATGAAAATCCCCACAGACCCTTCCGCGATTTCGTCCTTGCCATCTTCAAAACCCGGGCTAATTGCGGTGGCCAGATACTTTCCATTCGAACTGAAGGAGAGGGCAGCAACACTCGAGGCGAGCTTGGGGTAGATACGGATTCTTCGTTTCGCAACAGCATCCCAGATAGCCACCACTCCGTCGCCACCGCCTGTCGCAAATGTGCCATGGATAGGATGGAACGCAATGGCATTGACCGGGTAAACAACGTCCACATCATCGACTGGCTGGCGATGGCATTTGAACGCGTACTTACGAGCCTGCGACTCGTTCGAAGGATCAAACCACTCCACTGCAACTCGGCCTTCAATACTCGACGAGGCATAACCTTCGTCATTCGGCATGCAATCCACCGCCCTAGTCATGAATTTCAAACTGCTCTCTCTCCTCTGCCATGGCTCAATGTCGAGTCTGTTCTGTAATGAATTCGCCGAACTCCTGCATTCGCTCGCTAGTGTCTTCAGCTCGTATATGTGGACTGCTCGGTTCGCCATGGCGACCACCAATTTGGAGGGTGAAACGGCCAGGGAGAAGGGTTTTGATGGCAGGTTAATTGTGGCAGTTGACCACCCTGCATCTCCACCGGGATGGATGTGCACTGTCGAGTCCCATGCCGCGGAGACAACCAATGAATGTTCTTTGCTGTAGACCACCGACCGAACTCCGTTATCGTGCGTGCTGAGAACGGTCTGCGTCCCGGACGCCACTTCGATCCTACAAAGTACAGTCAGTTCTTCGTGTTTCCAACGTTCACATCCAAGAGTCAATTTTCGTTTCGCACCTCCTCACATCCCAATCCAAACACGCTGTATAGATTTCATTGTCATCCTTGCCAAAGCATACATCAAGGACGGGGGCACGGTGCTCGAATTTCGCAATTTGGGTACATGTTTTGCCATCTGTGACTTCGTAGATGTAGGCGTGCTTGTCCCACGAGGCGACGACGAAGCGCAGAGAGTTCGGATGGGGTGAGAATCGAAGGGCTGAAATCGCGTCGGCTGGGAGATTGGAGAGGGAGAGTTGGCCTACAATGCAATAAGCAAGATATAAAGGAAGAGTCAATGGAAACGCCTACCTGACATCTTGAAGTTGCTTTTCTACAAGAACAAGCTCCCGATGGTGCGGCTGTCGGACCATGAATTTGGTTGGCGAAAGCAAAACAAATCAATCGTTTGCGGAAGATACTGCCACCCGTCACCGCCTCGGTCCCTGCAGCCTTATTGTCTCAGCCCTGCCCCGCACCATTCACAGCCTCGTCGTTATCGTTCTCACTGAGCTGGTCCAACTTCAATTCCCTTAGCCTGGCCTTACTCTCGTTTCTCTCTGCTTCTATCGGCTCAAAACATGACTTGGCAAGCTAAGAATCTGTGAGACTGCCTGCCCTGTTCCGAGTGCAAGTTTTTGCCGAGCCGGCTGATCGGACTAATTTGACCTACGATGAGCGCGCTTTCGTCTACGGGCCCAGCGCGAAACAAGTGCGCCAAGGGGCCTATTAGGGTGTTTGATTCAGGACGCAAGGGCTGCGCCCTCAGAGAAACTGGACGAACAAGTGAGCAATCATTCCAATAGCTTACGATCATCCCCGGTACGAGGAGAGTGAAAACGACTGACTCCCCGGGCCGGCCAGCGGAGGCGATCTCTCATTCATCCGTAGGACGTTCACCCTTACCCGAAATCCCGGTGACTGTCTTACTTCCCCGTTCTTAGGATGCCCGAAGATCGAGCCTGCGTCAGGGCTGCTGACGGCAATTGGCCCTTGGTGGGATGGTACGTCCCGACGGAGGCACCAACAAACGGTCCGTACATCTAAGCGCAGGTCGAGACTGTGGCACAGGTAAGATAGAGATAGTACGAGATACAAAGCAACCAACGACAGATAGTAATGTAGCCCGGGAGAAGAGACCCAGCGACGCAAACCGAGTAGTTGACAAAAATGCAAACAAGAACGAGTAGAAGTTCTCGGAGCGCGTTAAATAATTCGAATCCAATGGTTTTCATCCTCCCTTGGGAGACCACTTGCATACCTAGAGACAAACCTGTTGGTTGACAGGTTCAATGCACTCTCTTGATGTGTTCAGGCAATATTAAACTCGTCTGCGGTTCCTCCCATCATCATCTTTCTATTCATCCTGATCTTCTCCCTCATCTTCCGCGCCGCCTCGTCAGTGTCACCAGTATTATCCATATCTGCATCGACATCTCGTGTCCTTGTTGCCCTTTCGGCATTCTTCTTCTCTCCATCGCCGCCATCACGATGTCGTAACTTACCATCATCAGTCGTGCTACTCTGTCCTCTCTTCGTGCCACCCTTCTTATTATTCCTTCCCGCTCCCATCCCGCTAGGCGTCTCTCTCAAGCCGAAACTCTTGCAAAGATGGCCCAAGTGCAGCTCCTTGATATCAAACCACTTTCTCTCGCTGGCGGTATGCGTCGCGTAGGCTCTCACATGACTTTGAAAAGCCCTTTTGGCCCAGTCCTTGTTTTGTGGAGAGGACAAAATAAAGCGTTCGAGGGAAAGTTGGAGGTCGGTGGCGCGAGATTGCCAGTCCGCGGCACCCTTCTCGTTCTTTTGATTCTTGTTCTTAGTGGGAATGACGCCGCTAAAGGGTGCGAACCCCTTCTTAAGAACTTCCTCGGCGGACATGGAGGAGACGTTCGCCACGGTATCGGACCCCGTCTTGTACGAGCTTTTCAGCACCGAGACGTAGCCTTCTTCTTTGCCCGGTAGGAGGAAAATAATCGCCCTTCCATCCCGTCCCAGACGAGCTGTGCGCCCGATCCGATGCAGGTGGTCCTCGGCACTGAACGCTGGATCGTACTCAATCACAAGGTCGAGGTTGGGCAGGTCGAGGCCGCGGGAGGCGACGTCCGTGGCGATTAGGAGGGATGGTGAGGTCGTGGCAGCAAAGTGTTTGACGATGTTTGTGCGGGTGATTTGAGGAAGAGACCCGTGTAGTTTGTAAGTTGTCACTTGGTTGTGTGAGGACGAGAGGGTGGGGGAGAGTAGGATTGAGTCGGAGACGGAAGGATCGCGGGTTGAGGTTGGCGAGGGTTTGCCAGCTTGAAGACCTTCGACTTCGGAGTCCGTCTCAGCATTGTCACGCGACAGTTTCTTGTTCTCTGAGGAGCCCTCTTCTTCGAATGCTGTGGTGAATGCCTTGAAATGGAACTCGACGGAATCGGCGCAGGAGACGAAAACGATGGCCTTCATGACTGACCCTTTCCGTGCGAAAGTTCGCTTTAGGAATGCCATGAGTGTGACGAACCTCAGCTTCGCCGCCGCTATGATATAGGACTGCTTGAGCTGCGCTGGAGCCAGGAAGGTGGAGTCTTTCGTGACGTTGCCATTCGTCATAGTGTCTCCAATTTCCTCTCTTTGTCCTGGCCCATCTCTGTCTCCAGAGTCACCTTTGATCAAGGCTGCATCTTTCAGACTGATCTCCCCTAGCTTCTGGACGTTCATCTTCAACGTCGCCGAACACAGTACCGTTGTTCGCTTCTTAGGTAAGCCTGGCCACTTGCTGCTCCCTCCCGGCCTCTTTTTCTGATCCAAAGTCTTCACAATCTTCGTAATATCCTCTTCGAACCCCATATCCATCAACCGATCCCCCTCATCTAGCACAAGCCAGCGGACATTACTCACATCAAGCGCTTTTGTATTTTCCAGGTGATCAACCAATCGGCCAGGCGTCGCAACCAAGATGTTTAGTCCCTTTCGCATGCGGGCCTTTTCTGATTTCTTCTTTTCGCCGCCTAGTACATGACCGGCGACAATATAGTGCGCACAGCCAAGTAAACGCTCGAGAACGACAGAGATCTGTTTGCAAAGTTCGCGTGTCGGGGCGAGGATTATGGCGAATAGGCCAGAGTCGCGATGTAACATTAAGAGATCTTGTGCGTAAGCCTTCCTTTCTTCTGCCACTTGTTCCGACATGATCATGATTCGCTGCACCAGAGGGAGCAGATATGCCAGAGTCTTCCCCGAGCCGGTCTCCGACTGTATGAATGCGTCGCTGTCGTCCTTCAACATTTGCTGAATGGCCGCCTTTTGGATCGCCGTGGGGTTTTTCAGGTTCATCTTGGTCAAGAGATGCGTAGCTATCGTGGGGGAAAGGCCGAGGGATGTGAATGTGTCAATACCATCAATCAGAGGGGCATTAGAAGGAGCCGTTGGCTTCTCTTCTCGATTTTCCTCCTTCGGCTCTTCCACGGCGGTTGATGGCTTCGGGTTGTAGGTGAAAAGCGAAGAGATGACCTCGCGAGGGCCTCCTACAGGTGGTTTGTGCTCATGGCTTCGTTTCTGCGCGGGATATAGAACTTGGGCTGAATTCGGCACATGCTCATTTTCACGCCTCCTCTTTGCCAGTCGAGAGGCTGGGAAATCACCAGACTGTTCCACGTATGTATGTGCATTCCCTCGGCCCTCGAAGCGTCTCTGCGATATAGGGACTGTGTTTGCATCGTGTCTTCCCGTCTGGTCTCCGCCTCTTTCTCGTCTCTGTGTAGACCTCTTCGCTCGCAGACGGTCTCTCCACGACCCACCTTTGAACTTCCGGGTGTTGTTGGCAGCGGTAGTGGAAAGATTCTCATCGATGGAGAAGTTCAAGAACATGCCATCCTCGGCCATTTTCATCGCTTGGTCGGTCAGAGGTGCAAAAATGCAGACTCGAGGTTTTTTTGTGCCGACAGAAGTGCGGCGAGGCGGAGAAAGGCCTCCTCCGATTGGCTGGCCTTGCTTGCCTCGTTCCGTTCGGCGTTTCTCAATAACTGCGCACCTCGATTCGGCTTCTTCGCTTCACTTCTACGCTGCACATTGTATCATGAGGACTTTGACTCACCCTCAAGCGACGGTGAGCCCAACAGCGTCAAAATGAGGCTGATGTCTCTGCGACCTCGGAATAAAACTTCGTCTCGTCACCTCCTCATCAACACCTCCACCACTCGAGCTGGCAGCTATGGATAGGCTCGTATTGTGGTTGGCCGGACTGAGAATTTCGACAGCGACGAACTCACTATGGCGGCGACAAATATCCTCCCTAGCGACTCTGCAATCCTCACAGAGAATACGATGGAATTCTACCTCCACTCCGCCTGCCTCTCCCTTTCCCGTCTTCCGACACATAAACCAACTCCGTGCTGTTCGCAGGAAGCTCTGCCTTCAAGGACGCACCTTGGGCTTTGTTCCAACTATGGGGGCCCTACATGAAGGTCACCTCTCCCTCGTACGCCATGCTCTTCAAGAGAATACCGACATCTTCATTTCCATCTTCGTCAACCCAACCCAGTTTGCCGCGCATGAGGATCTCGATTCCTACCCCGTGACCTGGAACGAAGACATGGCAAAGTTGAAGAAAATCCAGGAGGAGCATATCGCGACTGTGGGCCAATCGAAGAAACCCGGAGTGATACGCGGTGTCTTTGCACCCACCGTCAAGACCATGTACCCTACTCTCCCACCCACTTCTGACATCGCTGGCCACGGCTCTTTCGTCACAATCACACCCCTTGGATCTGAACTCGAGGGAGCATCGCGGCCGATATTTTTTCGTGGCGTCGCAACGGTCTGCACCAAGTTGTTCAATATCGTTCAACCCGACCGTGTCTACTTTGGCCAGAAGGATGTTCAGCAGTCAATCCTCATCAAGCGTATGGTTAAGGATTTCCATATTCCCACCCAAGTTCGCGTCGTGCCTACGGAGAGAGAACCAGACGGATTGGCCATGAGTAGCCGGAATGTCTATCTTGGTGACCGGAGAAGGGAGGATGCTACAGTCTTGTCTAGGGCTCTTTTTGCCGCGCGTGACCTGTACAACTCGGGTGTGTTGGATGTAAAGCGTCTCCGCAAGGCCGCGTTCAACATCTTTGAGGAGGATGCCACAAGAGTTAGAAGCGATGGCCGAGTGGGGCCCAGCGGTCGAATCGAGATCGACTATATTGCAATGAGCCATCCAGACACAATGGGAACTCTCATGGACGATGAGAAACTTAATCCGCGCATCGGCGCCGTCCTCAGTGCCGCAATGATTGTTTCCCCAGTCGACAAACCCAAAACTCAGGAGGAGCTGAACCAGCGCAGCGTCAGACTCATCGACAATGTAATCCTAGAACCTCGCATAAATCGAAAAACGAGGAAGCATCTCAGACAGCATGCCGCGAACCCTGGGATGTTTCGTAAGATTCCGCAACGGAGCATTCGGAGGGTTGTTCAGGGGAGCGGAGAAGCTAAAGCCAGAGAACCAGAGCCGACCATAGCTACAGGAGCGGAGGTCGAAATATTGAAGGAATGAAGCCCCGGCGAGCAGGATTGAATATCGAGAACGTGGAAAAGCGCTATCAGTAGAGATCCCACAGTGAAATTTTACCGTCTTTGCCGCCAGCGGCTAGCCAATGTGTTCGTTGAGCCTTTTCTTCCCGCTGTCGCTTGATCATGTCGAGCGCATTCAGCGGTTTTGTAAGGTCGTTAGGGGCGATATTGTTCGACAATATTAGGTTTCCACCAGGATCAGCAGATGATGAGGGAGGAACACCATCCGCGCCGCCAACATCATGGGTGATGATCGGATCAACGTCCGCAAAAGCCGTAGAATAGCAGCCTACTTTGTGCCACTTGAGCACGGCCAATTCCTTCATCGTCTTGCCCGAGTACACGCGCACGCGGCCGTCCCAGCCTGCCGTAGCGAAGATCTTGCCGTCGGAGCGCACGCTGAGGCCCTGCTGGCCGGCGTGTTTCGTGTTGATGGACTTTTCGCTCTGCAGCTGCTCTAGCTTTTCTTCTCTTCCTTCTTGTTCGAGGTCTCCCAGGAAAGAAGGCAGGCAGAACTTGGAGATCAGGGCGTCGGCGCTGGACGTCAGGAAGTGCGTCTTGGAAGGGAGCATGGCGAGTGAAAGGATAGGTTGCGTGTGCGCTTTGCTGCTCGCGACTCTCTGCCACGCCCCCGACCACCCGTTCGGATTACTCAGATCTCCTTGGTACGCGTGCATCATGACTCGTCCGTCCTCGTAGCCCGCGATAAGGACGAGTCTCGACGCTGAGTCGGTCTTCTTGTGGAAGAGGCAGACGGCCATCACCATCCCCGTCGGGTTACCCTTGTCCGACTTGATCTGCGACACCCGCCTCTCTGATGGGAGTTGGAAGATGTCGATACCGCCGGAGTCGAGGCCGTTAGGCGAGGCGACCAGTTGGGGAGATGCTTCCTCACTTGCGGGTCGTTGGGCTTCCTGATCGCACATGGAGAAGGCGCAGAAATTGAGGGCGTTGACTGATATGGAATGAAGCAGCCATGGCTGCAGTTGATCTGGTGATGATGCTGAGCCGTCCGAGTCGGTCGGCAGTTTTGTACTCAGACCTGCAAGATCCTCCTGTCGAAGTTGCCAGACGCGGAGTTTATGGTCCCTTCCATGGCTTTTTGACGCCGCGCGATTTATGTCTTAGTCTGGTTTCTTCACCGAAGGAGATGATCAAGATCTCCGGGATTTGATTGACATGCCCGCTCACCTTACAAGTCTATTCCTCGCCCAATGCTTGATTTGCATGATTCCCTCCCCGTGGGCCTTCCAGACCGCCACGGCTCGTTTGGATGAGAGACTCCATATGACTATCCACCCGTCGCTGTCTCCCGAGGCAAGCAGGGCGTTGTTTTTGTAGAAGTGAAGAGCATGGATCGCGGCGTCGTGGCCTCGCAGGATGTAGGCAGGCACTGCGGGACCAGGCTCCATGGTGTCCGGGACGATTTCGTTTAGATTGGCATGTTTGGATGAAAAATAAGATTCAAATTCTAAACACCGCGGAAAGTGAGGTAGAATTGAGTCATTTGAGGTACCATTTTACCATCTGTAATGTATTGTCGAGCTCAGATGAAATATAAATGGCGCCGTCAGACAAGACAGCCTTGGTAGCAATTATAAAGCTTTCTTTCGGGCCTTGGATTGAAGGTGGCCTTCATTTATAAGTGATATTAGGTTCACCTTTGGAGATATCGGTGTTCTATGTATCCTTTATCGATAAAAAAAAATTGGCTCTATTTGACACAGCAGCCACTTCGTCGAGGTTGGGTACTCTCCCACTACTTACGTATGTACAGCGTCCGGTCTATATTAGACTATCTTTTTTTTTTTTTGCGAAGGCGAAGATAGCTATTATTGCTGTTGACTGATTGCTCTACTATTGTACTACTACTCTGCTGCTCTTCTACTACTCTTCTACTTCTCTTCTGCTTCCTGCTGCTTCCTGTCGCTTCTTCTACTACTCCTTTCTCGTAGTCCTAAAATTATTAGATGCCATAGTTAAAGGAGACATAGATTGAAAGTCCTTGATCATGGTATTTACCCGAGCAGCACAATCAGCTAACTCGGGTTTAACCACGAAGATCGAGCTCGCTGGACAGCCCTGAAATAGTTAGCTATTATAATACCGTTACTAATGCGTCCCTTACGAAGAAGAATTGCTGCCTGGATAAAGCCGCGAGCATCTTGCTCGCTGAGCCCTTCTAAAGAAAGGGATTTTGTCTGCGTCCCATGCTGCCTAGGTCTTTTTGCTGCGTTGCTGCTTAACTTGTTTTTGTTGTCGCTGCTGCGTTTCGAAGACACTATATATAATTATTAGTATAATACCCCTCAAGAAATGAAAGACTCAGTTGTGTACTGGTGCTGGTGCTGGTGCTGGTGCTGGTGCTGGTGTTGTTGTCAGTTCTGCCGTGTAAGTTATGTGGACTTCCTCTTGCGTGTGAAAGTCAGATGGGAAACAAAATCATCGCAGGGGCTGATTGGGAACAAGCATTCGGAAACAACGGCGGGAAGTTGGCCCACTGTGTCCTGCTGATGCTGTACAGCTTGTCGTCTTCGAAATCAATGCGGTGAGAAGCTGAAAGGATGGGCAGCATTGTGGTAATAGATTGACCGCGCTGGGTGGTCATTCTGATGGATTGGAATGAACAGGGAGTGGTCGGAAGTCAGGGCAGCCTGTAACAACGTAGCGTACATCAAACGGGTTCAAGGGGATATGAAATCGGACACTTACAACTTTGTGCAGTCTCCTGTCTGAGAGAGAAAAGGGACGAAAAGAGAGTGAAAAGGTCAAGCGAGAGAAAATAAGAGAAATCGAGGTTCGGCCGTGCGCAGTTGCCAGCCAGACCTTGCACCACTTACCTCAGTTCTATTGCGCACTTCAACCAGTCATATTTCAATGTGCTTTATTGTCTCTGGAGGAGATGGAAAGCTCGTTCCATCGAACTTGAAGAGTCCTTCCACTTCGACGAACCAATTGGCACAGTCCAACAACTTCTGCTGGGGCCGGTGGCTGATCTCGATGCCCACAGGATCTGAATTGCGACCCGTACGCTGCTCAATGCTGCTTAAAAACCAAGGATATAACCTGAATGACATCGTAGAGGTCTAAACATGGCTGCTAGTCAATCCTTTGCTTCGTCGGCTATCACATTCCACAAGCCACCTACAGCCAAAATTGACCCTCTCGAGCTGCCACTGTCATGCCTCCGTCATGAGGTGTAGCGGTTGTTGCTGTGTCATTCAACTTGAGAATTGGGACACTGGGTTCTCGACATCTCTTCACAGCCTGGTTTATTTCTTTGTGCAGACTCTAGCTCTGGAATGGCTCCTGCACTCTGAATGGTAACGAGGAGAAACTCGACCGGAGAAGAGATAAGAGGCACGGGCAGACACGATGGTTGAAGAGACGATACAGGTGAAGAGATATGGTTGAGGTTAAATGAAGGTGCGGCAAGCCACTCTTGCTCTGGGGAAGCTGGAAACCCAGCCCCAGTCTTCGTCCCAGATGAGCATGGGCGGTATATGTGACAGCCCAGTATCTCCACCGTATGACAACCCCACGCTCACGGCACGCCAAAAATCGCAGTTACAGCGGAGCAGCTGCCACTTCTTGCATTCAACAACTTCCAATGAATTCAAACATGAACACCCTGATGAAGTGCTTAGGGAAATAGCAGGCCACGATAGAATTCCCGCTGACGCGGTGTTCGTCTCTCTCCTCACGATACCAAATCCGAACCACACCCGAAACGTACCGTGCTCGCACATTCTACCTACCTCGCTACCTACCTACTTGGGTACAGGAGGCACTGCGCCGCGGGAGATACCTGGCAAGAGGGTACGAAGGAAAAGGATGTTTGGATGATTGTTTCAGGGAACATGGGGAGTGCGGCAGCTAGGTAGGCTGGCGGCCATAATCTGAACGTTGGTCATTTTGACTGGTTGATGAACAATGCAATGTCTCCTTTGCGCGCCTCCTTCCCTCCTTAAACTGTGTAATGGTGTGGATCTACTTGCAAAAGGACGGAGATGACGTTAAACCGATGAGACCGGTATGTATCGTTCCCAAGAACATTCTCGGAAGCGGATTGTATATTGCAACGTCTTAACGCGCCTACGAATCTTCGATTAGATCTCGGAGATGTGATAGCGGAGCGGTTCTACGATGATAGCAGCTTACAAGAGCCTCCCGATGAGGTTCCATCACCGTTACATACGTACGGAATCACGAATATACCGGGCATAGAGGTCTAGTTGTCAACCAATGTACCCATGGGTAAAGGCCTCGAGGGATCGATCGTGCCCACAGATATCCCACCCGCCCAATCCAACAGTAATAGGCCTGGAAACAAGCACTGTGAGGTCGTTTGGAAACCCTCGATTCGTTCGCAGTTTCACGACCGCCGTTCCTTGGAAGACTTGAGCCCGAAGCACACATGAAGAATTTTTAATAACCAGTTCCCCAAGGATAATGACATTTAAAGACGTATTCAAACATCACGACATGATCGCCGCAGCACGTCGATAAAGGGAGCAAAACCTTTGATGCACAATGGTCACGGTCTATGAGTAAGTCGGCAGCGGCTAACACTGGAGATAGCAAGGAAATGTTTGCAAAAGTACTATGGTGACCTAGGTAGCTATTAGTTCTAGGCAGATGGCATAACGGGACTGCTGATGGCTTCGGAGGAGTATTCACGGTCAGCACTAATTAGGAGGGAATTACGTCCAACAACCAAAAGGCAGATCATCATGAGTGTCACAACATTAAGATGCGACCAAGCATCTAGTTTCAGCTACATCATTGCCCGCAAGAAGCACTTTGACGAAGAAGTATATTCGATCAGCCTCCTAGAACAAACCTGTCGCTCGAAGAGCCAGAGAATATCACAGGTCCCATACCATTCACACAAGCGCTGAGAGCTCCGTCAAAACATCCAATGAATAGAGACTCGAAATACTTTGGAGGAAACCATCACCGTGCTGGTGCTTTTACTCGCAAATACCAGAGCTCTTACATATCAGTCGACCAAGTCAGAGCTCTTGCGAACAACGAAAACTACATTCAGAAACATGTCCTCAAAAGGATGTGTCTGATATACCCGATCGCAAAATCATCAACTGCTACATCGGTCCGACAAATATGGATCACTGGGACAGATGTTCGCATGAGGCTCTTTCAAATGCATCAATCTCCACAGTCCAACATCATCGCACCAAGGACATGTGTACGACTCCGGACACGTCTTTCAACGCATGTATTTGCAAAAGCTCCCTTGCCACCGCACAACCTCGACCAAGACAAGGTGGACGCACAGCCAGATGGCATTAAGAAGAATATCTGACAGTGCTTAAGACAAGCTCTATTATGTTAGCCCATGACCGGAGGCTCAAAAAATATCTCTCCAGGTGTCGATCGATAATCATAGACAAGTGGTCGGTGAAAATGAATAGAACACATGTTTGTCCATAGCATCTCTTCACGGTCCAGGCATCCAGACGGCCTTCTGTGGCTGTCGGCAATCCTAGAAAAGTGGTTGAGGTACAACTGACAGTCCGATAGATTTTGAAATCAATTTAAGAGCATTCGTTAAGAAGACAATGATTGTGTGTTTGAATCAGCATCAAGTCATAGACCCTGGAGGTGTACTTTCACCTAGGCCTCTAGAGATCTCGGGACCCTGTTGCATGAAGTACCATGTGATCTTCGCTAAAAGAAGAGAAAAGAGATCTATACAATGACTCCAGTGGTATTTAGTGAATCGGACTATATTAAAACAATGTGAATAAATAGATAGACATAAGTGGAGAAAATGACCAAGAGTTAATTAACGCATTCAACGTACCCTCATAAGTTCACACACACCCATGTGGATTTTGGGACAAAAAAAAAAAAAAAAAAGAGAATCGGTGCTTTCGGTTGCCTACTCTAAGGGATTGTTAGACTCAGATTTGATTTGAAGGACAGGTGATGAATTACAGAGGAATCGAACCTCTTCCAAATCAGGTTAGAGGTTGGCGTTGTAATGGTTGGATTAAACCAAATACCTGATCTTCTCATAACGAGATGCAAAATCTACGAGTGAGACGCTGTACCACTTAGCCAAGTAGGCGCGTGTGTAGGATATTTGCCTAAAATTTTGGCCACTCAAAATATAAACTCAAAGTGATGATCCCGTGATTCAGACCCAGGGTGACCGATGATTATGAATCAGCAGAGTCTGCCTCCACCGTGTCAAATGAGTCCGTTGCTTGGAATTCGGAGCGCACTCGCGATATTACGGGATATACTACGGAGAATCCTAGGAGACTAGTGGGCTCAGCTACGAAGTGCGCGCTGAGCCGCCGCTCGGTCCGTAGTTCAGCACTTCCATGATTGTGACATTAGGACACATTCCATACACATCCCAACAACAGGCAATCATCAACACAAGTATCCACCGATGATCAACCACCTGTTTTTCACGTAAAAGATGTCTCAAAGGGGGGCTGTTGTCGACAAAAACTATCATCCGGTTTGGTTCAAGGCCCCCTTCCCCTTGTCTCTAGAATCTTACAGGCCTCGTGGAGCAAGGTATCTTCATGCTTAGGTAGGATGTTTGATGCGGTGGAGTGAGGACCCGGCGGCCCGGTTGGGGCTGCCACGTTTCTCCTAGAAGGCCTCTTATTTTTTTTTTTTTTTCTTTCTAGGTGAGAGGTGATGAACGAAGCTTGACAGGGGTAATCTTCTCATGCATAAGGCGATTCGTTCTAGAAGCGAAAGAACTGGGGTCCGGAAGCCTTTTCAAAGTACGAGTGTTTCTGAGTCGACACGAAGCGACACGAGTTGAGCTGCGCAGGGGTTGCGATGCGAAATATTTCCATCCGAAACAGCGAGAATCATGCGATGAGTTCGCCTGGAGAAGATTGGCACAGTCTGACAAGGACGTCTTTCCCTATGGCGACTGAAAGTTGCTCGTATATCCTACCTCTTAGCTATAAGGTCCAAGAAGGTCAGGCCTATCGCAGTGGTTCACGTACTTTATATTTTGGGCGTCAGACGAGAAGTTGTTCTCAAGGTTTCAGAAGTGGCGAGGACACCGTCTCACTTCAGCCCGCAGAAGACTGAGCCACATCACTCGCATGAGAACCGACTTTGTCGCACTATTGCCACGTGGGATTAAGCCTCATCAGCCACAGTTAGTCTTGATCGGGCCAGCATTCATTTCGAAGCGAGTCACTTTCGGCTGAAGCAGTCCGGGCGAGACGCCTGAGGGACCCAGCACAGCCAGGGGGTGTGGCGGTTCGGCCGCCCCGAAGGTAGGGTCAGCCCGGAGAGGTCGCCCAGACAGGAAGATGTATGCAGAGGAGCAGCCGAAATAGGCAACTCGAAAGCCACAGCGCATGAATCGAGACTCCAAGTCTAGAGTCTTTGCCTTGGTCAGCAAAAGGCCAAGGAGGGCAAGAGGGGCGCCAGGGCTGTGAGGAGGGGGAAAGGGCAGTTGTTGGGGCTAAGCGGGCGAAGGCAAGGAATATGGGAGAGCATCTCCGGGGGCCAAGTGTTGCTGAGGTTTAGAGTTCCCTGGGAGACATAATCGCATTGGATTGAAGCGAGGGGCGAGGACAAATGCGGATAACGGTTTATGTTCCTCGTACGAAGCGCAAGGTGGAAGCAAGGAAAGGGCCTGCAGCTTGGAAACCAAAACCGATCTCCGGGGGAGTGAATAGCGTACGAGGAGCGGAAGCGATGCGAGAATCATGGGCTGATTGAGTCTTGACCTCGGAGTCTGAGGCCGGGGTTGAGTGATGAAAACAGCAAAGGAAGCGAATGAAGCCCGAGAGGCAGGGGTGTGTTCGCCGAGTTGGGCTTCGAGAGAAGAGAGAGCGGCCCCGAAAGAGCACAATGCAGTCATCCCAAATGAGATTCGCAGACGTCAGGCAAAGCAATGGTCGAGAACGGGTCGGACGGATGAGCGAGTGAGGATCTATTGCGAGCGAAGGGACAAGCATTGATACTAGTAGACAGGCGCATTACTTACTGGGTACTGGGTTGGAGAAATGGCGAGATCTGGTCTAGAGGAGGAAGTGGAGATGGAGGGGGCGGTCGGCGGTGATGGAGATGATGATGATGATGATGATGATGATGTTGATTGACGATGAAATGGGCCCTCATGGGGAGGAGGAGGAATGGTCCATACCTGTACGGAGTACCGAGTCCTCGTTATGGTCGGTGATGGTGGTGATGAGCCGGAGTTGTCACTCGTCAGTCGATCGTCAATCGTCAATCACTTCCCATCAACGCCTAGTCGGAGCCAAGCAACAACGACAAACAAACACAAATACAAATCATCCGCGACGATCACCCTTGAACTATGATATTGCCCTGACAGTTTCAAACTCTGAAGCACATGATTGGCAACATGTCACCCCGATGTAGATGCGGTGATGGCTTTTTCAGCTGTCAATGGACATCAGGCTGGGGCAGCCAGCTGTCCAGTGCAATGGCATGGTCATCCATCAGCCCGCGTGAGAATGCGCCGCCCATGACGCCTACGAATACCTACCACGCTACCTAGAAAATAGCTGGAGGGGGGGATTAGGCTCTACAAGTAGGTTCTAGGCACCAAGAGACCCCACTGACTAGAAGGTCGGCCGCCCCCGGCAGCCTTAGGTCAGTAGGCCAAGGCCCACTTGGCACTCGTCCACTAGCCCAGCACCTACCTACTTACAAGTACCCAGTACACCCAGCCCAACCCTGAGCCCTGGGGCCCCCCTCACCTCCCCTGGTCAACTATTCTGAGGGCAGCAAGATTAGCCTAAGCTAACGAGAGCAGGGCCCAGGGTCAGCAGTGATCCCTGCCAAAAGCCGCATCTCCCACCCAATCACGCCTGCAGCCCATGTCGCCTTCTCCGTATCTTGGAGGGCGGAGTCTCAGTTAAGCTGATCCAGCATCCCAGCAAATATCTGCTGCATGGGCACTGCGAAGGTTTCTGGTTTCTGTTTTTGCGAGACGAAACCAAAAGACAGGCGAAAAAAGCAAAAAGGAAGAATATGTCAAGCCACACTCTACCTAAATTGTCAGCGTGCCAGACTCCCGGAATCAGGCTAGCGAGATGACCCCCCAGCACCACCTGCACCGGCACCGGCACCAGCACCAGCACCAGCACCAGCACCAGCACCACCATCACCAACACCAATACCAAGCTGCTTTTCCATTCATGAATTCAGCAAACATCGTGCATCTTGTTCAATTCCAATTCGCATCACCCATCAGACGTCTGGACCCTCGCTTCTTCTTTCTTTAATTGCACCCATGTCCTTCCCCCCACCACCACTACACCCATCACTACTATCAACACTACCGCTGCCACTCCTACAATAGTATCAGTCTTACCTGGCTCAGTCCAACGTCCATTCGTTGACCTGCCCCGAACCTCAAGTTTCCTTCAGACAACTTTCCGTCAAGGTATGTGACATCTCATTTCTCAAATGTGAGGCGAGAGTGGGAGTTGAAAGACTCGAGGGGGATTGTCTGTATGTCGTCATTCGTCGCAAAAGAGCAGGAACAAGGCGATGTTTTGGAGAGGAATTGTATACAACTTGCGCCTCCTCCAGAACTCGGGTCGCAATCGCAGTCGCAGTCGCAGTCGCAAGCGAACCCCATGGTCCTGCAAATCTCATTCGAAGCGAGTCTCAATTTTCATGTCGTGGACGTTTCACATACTGACTTGCCGACCATACAGATCAGTCACTCCAGTCCGTACATCAATTCGAATATCCAAGATACAAACTGTCGTCGCAGCACGACTTCACGGCCCATCATAGAGAGGCCCGCCCATTACTTTGATACCCGGCCCTTCGAGCAAGGCAGGCACAATTCCGACGGACGCGGGTCATGAATTCTGGGCAGACTGTTCAAGCTGGCGAATAACTACTCTTCCTCGCATCTGCCCTCTGCGGCTCCCGGTCCGTTAGAAGCTGCAGATATCAGATCCATCACCGGCATCTCTTATTCCAGGACGAACCACAATCCTCCGTCGTTGCAAACAACGCAACTGTCTCCCGGGCCGGTTCCTGGAAAGAACTTTCCCCCCACTTACGCGCTTCTAACTCCGCCATACGCGATCACAGATGTAACGGTCCATCATCCACAGTATTCCATGACCCCAGACTCGTCGACCAAATCGACCCCCACCTCCCAGGCTCTCCAGAATAGCCCCCGATCCATGACGGAGCCCGAGGCTCCTCCGCCACAACCCAAGTCGGACAACGTCCAGTCGACGAAACAGAAACGAGTGAGGACCGGATGTTTGACCTGTCGTGAACGGCACCTCAAGTGCGATGAAGGGTTACCGAACTGCCAGAATTGTCAAAAATCCAACCGAAAATGTAAACGCGGCGTCCGCCTAAACTTCATCGACATCCAATGCGAGATGCCCCCACGTTTAGTTCCGCGGACGCGCGATTGGAAGGTCTCTTTTCAGGACGACTCCCGCGACATTGCCTCCGAGTATCAAGGCGGCCGGGAGAAGTATCATCCCCTTGAACCAGAACCCAAGCGACAAAAGTTAAGCGTGTCGGAGGGGACTTACGACTATAGTCAGATAGCGGCTCCAACCGTACCTCATCAGCAGCTCCCAGCTCAACAGTCCTACTCCCCTTCTTATGCTGAGTCGGCACAAGCTATGTACTCCAGCTCCACCACTCAAGCATATGACGATGCAACAAGTGCCATGGGGCCTTATCCAGAAGCATCTCAAGGAGTTAGACAATCCTATCAGCAGACAATGCTTACTCCCATTGAACAAGAACAAATTCCGCCTTGCCTAGAGGACCGGAACGAGGTTCTGTACATGCAAGTATACGTGGAAGAGGTGGGTTTATGGATGGACTCGATGGATGCAGAAAAGCATTTTTCTCGTCTTATTCCCTTCCAGGCGCTCAAGGAACCCATGTTGAAATATGCTTTGCTGGCCTGTGGAGTCCGACATCTCACCTTAGTCAACCCCATCTATCCAGAAGAGCATGCATTGAATTACTACAACAATGCCACGCAGCTGCTGCTCAAGGCGCTACAGAATCCCGATCGAGACAGCGTTTTGTGCGCCACCACTGCCACCATTCTCAACGTCTACGAAGTTATGTGCGAGAAGGCTTTGCAGAGAATGAACCATATCGCTGGTGCCCGTGCCCTCATCAAGGAATGCCGGTGGAACGCGACAACAACAGGCATCGGATCGGCTTGTTTCTGGCTGAATGTCGGACTGGAATTATTTAGCTGCCTGCATTTTAATTGGGCGGTTGCCTGGGACCCTGATACCTGGGGCATTGACATTGACATGACTCCTCAGCTGGTGCCCGGACACGAAGAAGACTGGACACACAGAATGTTGTGGATATTGTCCAAGATCACCAATTTCCGATCCGAGGCACAGCGGCGATACCATGACAGCAGTGTCCATCTAGAACAGATGCGCTTGCACCAGCGAAACAAACAATGGCTGGGTTTGAAGTTCTTTTGTGACCGTTGGCACGAATGTGTACCGCCGACAATGCATCCTCTAGCATACGTTCTGCCTCAGATGACGTCGTCAAAAAGCGCGTTCCCTGAGCTGTGGTTCATCAAGAGGACCACCATCGTCGCTAGGCTATTCTATCACACGGCAATGGCACTGCTCGGGTCAGTTCATCCTTTGGCCAGCCTGCACCCTCAAAAAGCAGAGGAGATGCAAGATATGAGGATTCACCATTCGCGACAGATCTGCGGCATTGTAGCCCATACCAAGGACAGGGGTGTGGCTTCGGCCTCCATCCGCTGTCTGGCAGTGGCCGGCGAAAACCTCACCGTCAGACGGGAACAGGAAGAAGTTCTGCAGATTTTTGACCGCATCAAAAAGGAAACGGGCTGGCGCGTCGACTCCATCCATGATGACCTTAGGGAGAAGTGGGGCTGGACCAGCTCTGCTCAAGACTATGACAGCATGAGCTCAGTGTCTACATATTATGCGCCGCCCAGACCTTCAGCCCTTTCGAGTACACCGAACGCAACGCCCCCTCGTGCAAAATACCCTAGCGGCATCGTCAACCCCCTGTACCAAAATGCCGATTTTTCGGCCCAGAATCCGCCGTATCAAGGCAACTACGTCCCTCCTGCTCCTGGACATGTCATGCATAATAACACGCAAATGTATGGGTTTTCCGGTATTACAACCATTTGACGTTGGTCAGATTTCTCTGTACAGGGTGTCAGGGCACTACAGGACCTGACATCAAGTGCTTCAGCTCATTGCATCACAATTTAATGGAGTTGAAGGCTATTGCACCTCTCCCGGAGACGGGGGGAGAGTCGCCGGGATCTCTCAAACCTCTCGTCTATGCAATTGGGGGAATTGGGTTTTGGAGTTTGGGATTTGACAGTTGAATGACAATAAATATGATCAAGACGGGCCAAATACGGGACTTGAACAGAACCTACTGGTCCTTGGAGGCAAAAAAAAGAGCGTTTGGTAGGAGTTTCTCTGGGAAACAAAAGGTCCAATTTTCTGAAAATCAGACGATATGGGCAGGCTTATTTAATAAGATGGCTATATGACGACGTGTAGGTGAATTGCATATGTATATCCCGCCGCTTGCTCAACTTGTTCCGTCTCTACAAACATTTGGCTAGACCACAGAAGTCACCAGAACAATGACTGCAGTGGATATTGGAGGCCCTCCTTGCCTCGTATCGGCAAATTCCTTCCTCGCTTGGGCTTGTAACCTTATTCAACGTGGTCTCGATTGATTTGTTCGCCGGGTCTCTCTTACTTCAGCCGCACGGATTGCACCTTAAGGCGCCAAAACACGACCTCCAGGATCTAAAAGCATATGTTCTCCGAGCCTCGACCATGGAGCTACTCAGCCATCGAAATGGCGGTCCGCGACCTGTGTCTGCTCTGCCTCATGACGCTCTTCGCTCTACCTGCGCCGTCTCTCGGAGTCAGTATCCAATCTGATATAATTTCAAAATGCGATAACGCGACTGGCGCCGATGATAACTGCAGCATTGTTGGTGATGGTGATTTCTATGGGCTGGGGGTCAGAATCGGCATATATGCATCATGGTTCGCTTCTTGGGTCAGCAACAGTTTCGTTCGCGATCCGAGGGAGATCTGTCAATCTCTCGACACAAACGCCAGCTTCCTGTTCGCCATCGCAATAGTCGTGGCCACGTTCTCCTCGTCAGGCAACATTCGAGTCATCGACGCGTTGATCCTCTTGCTGCTATCTTTCGGCTATCTACTTAGCGTGATGAGCCTGTGGGGATACAGGACCCTGCCCGAAAACCGCAAGCATTTCGGTGGCTGGGGCACTCATTTCCGCCTCATGCTCATGAATGCCATATGCGCCTACGGCATCTGGTTCTGGAGTGTCGGTATGACCGACAAGCTTCCTAAATGCAATACGAGAGAGCAATGTGGCGGGCTGAAGCTGTGGATTCTCGTTGAAGTCCCCGTCGCCGGTACCGGCATCCGAAATCTGTTCCTGGCCTTTTCCTGCATCGTTGGTGCCTTCTACTTCACGATGTTGCTTGCGGCCTGTTTGGCTCTCATCAAACTCCTGCGGGAAATGATCGATAACGACTGGAAAGGCTGGCGTGTGCCGTTCAGCTGGAGATTGCGAGAGAAGATCGCAAAGGCAGAACCTTGGCCTCTGAATTTGTGAGTTCGCCGTCCTCATTTTATTCATCTTGCATGCAATGTCCTCGTTTACTAAACCGTCAAAGGCCGAAGAGAGTTAGGTGGTCAATTACGATTTCCACCTTTGTATGGCTTGTCTTTGCTATCGTGTCGGTAGAGATGACCCTTCAGATCAACCACGTCACTGGTGAGCGCGTCCAGACATTCATCGCCACTGCCGGACAATTTATCCCGCTTGTCATAGGCGGCTGCACACTTCTCCGGGTCCTTTGGAAGGTTGGCCTACTGGGACTACCTTTCAAGTTGCTTATGGTGTTTCTGTTCCCGGACGTGAAACCAGAAGGTTCAGACACTACCTCTACTAGTAGCCATGAGACGACATTTTCGGAACCGGATGAGCGAAAAGGGTGGTGGACAGCCATCACCACGTTCCTGCCGTGGCTTTGCGTTTTCAAGTATTGGAGACATACTGGCCGAAGATATCCAACGAGAAGGATGCGCCACGAATCGGGTGCTGGAAGCCGCACCTCCTCGAGCTACGCATCGGATTACTATGGATCCGGTTCGTCGCCATTGTCGAACCCAAGTGTGGACTGATCAACAACCTCGAACTCCATTGAAATGGCAAATATATCAGGCATACTCTGTGTATGCCTACCACCGTCAATGACACAAGCACCAGCGAATGCAACTTACAAGTTCCCATTGGCTATTGGATAGTATGTCGGCCTAGGATACACCGTTTCAGGGCCCCCATCTTCGAGATTTCTAGGGTTGCCGCACCTTTAACACTTCGTCAAATAAGCGTTGAGACTTCTTTCGGCTCCGAAGGGGTGGAGTCTGTCGGGCGTCTGCTTCATCAGTCGCAAATCTCTCGCACGGCAACGTCTCTTTGGCCATCTATCACAAAGTAGCCTGTAGCTCGGCAATCTTTCAAAAAGGTCCCGTGAGCATACTACGGTCGTAAAGCGATCGACAAACGAGAAGCGGCTGCTATGGACATCGATGCGGACAAACAATTGCAACCTCCTCGCAGCATAACAGCAGTCTTTCACAGGAAGTCTCGAAACCAGTGCCAAACTTGCCGGAGACGTCGGGTCATAGTAATCAAACCCAGTCAGAAATATGACACTCGTGGATTGCAGCATGATTCCGGCGCATATCGTTCCATCATACTGAGGCCGAGCATAGAGCAATGAAAGACGGCGCATTTTCGCAGACCGGCGCTATTTAGCAGCTACCAATACTTGCCCGACACCAAGCCCGGCAGAAGAATCAGATAGTGTTGGCGACGCCGACTCACTCACCAAATTCAACTATCAACCCAGCAGTACTCCTTGCTCTAGTCTCGCCGACCTCAATGATATCAACAACATATCACAGACTCCCGAATCCGGATCCCGACGACTGCTCGAACTACGGCTTCTGAACCACTGCCCAGAGCATCCGATCAAGCAGTTTCCAGAGGCTGCAAATTCCCATCTTAAACATCCTCTGCACCTTGGCCGCTAAGACCAATGGAAAAGCGCCGGCATCGCCCGTCCTCTATTTCTTTCCCGTTAGATTTATATGGCGGAATTCGCGAGCCTAACCTCGCCGCTGAGGAGTTAGCGAGAGCAGTACCTGTCCTGCTTGCTGTATTATGGGTGGTTTGAAGACCTGTCAACTGTAGACAGGAATAGTGCCGCCTTTCCACCTCTTTCACATACTGTGAGTTCATCCAAAACATAGCCGAAGCTCCCTCTTCCGCGATAAATTTGCTGCGACAAAAGTCCAATCAGATGCTGTGATGAAGCTGCGAGCCTCTGCAGTATCCTCAAGCCAATTCAGCAGTCGCTTCACGCAATTGGTCATGAAAGTTCCGCCCGCTTCACGAGGCGTTGGAGCATTGTCAGCACTGGCCCCCGATCCGGACAGATTCAGGCTGCCAAAACTCAGCCTCATGAGCAACTTTCCTCTGCACCTTTCACACTTTCTCTTCACTGTCGCCTGTATCTCCCTACTGTCGTCCATCAATTTGCGAGCAGTTCACCACGTAGCAACGCGCTTCCCATTACTAACTTGCCAATCGACATGGCTGAGACTGCCGCCATCGCGTCGATCGTTGGTATAGCAAGCTTCGGCATTCAACTTACTGGGGCACTCTATCACTTCGGCTCGAATGTCACCAGCGCCAGGGAGGAAACGAGCTATATTGCCCGCCACGTTGACCTCTACGCTAATGTCCTTGATCTCTTGATGGAGCGAATCGAACAGGATAAGCCCGAAGTCACCAGTGCAGCCATCGACCTTCTCGACGAGCTACAATATTAACCGAAAAGGTTATTCACTGATATCAACAAGCCGCTTCCGCCCGTCAAGAGACCCAAAGACGGCGTTGCATTCATTCAGAAGCTAAAGTGGAACTTTACAAAGCCCAAAGTTGCGCTCCTTGTGCGAGAGCTTGACCACTTACGCAGCATAGTTCACCTTTTGGTGACGATCATCTTCACAGGCAGCAAAATTCGCTCTTACAGGCCAGTATGGCATTGCTGCTGCTGGGGTCTACTTGTACGCTAAAATTCGCGTCGCATTTGCAGGCGAAGAGCAAAGTTTCAAGACGATCCTGTCACGGCACTCAACAATGATATGCGCAAGCAATAAGCAAGGTCCAACATGCTCTTCTTGCCCAAGTTGAAGCCAAAGCCAGGCTATCACAGCTCGAGAAAGAGTTCGCCCCACAAGCGATGGAAGTTTGCATTTCGTAGAAGACAACGGGGACAGATGTCGTTCACATAGATGCTACGGCCTCGACTAGTCTGCAACAAACCCTGTGTAGCTGCACCAGCCCAGAGCAGAGAGACGAAGGGCAGTGCTCCAGCACTCAGCTTATGTGGTACAGGATCTGTTGCAGCTATGGACCGCGGTGGACAATTTGGAGCCTAAAGACTCCGATGAACAGGCTGAAGCAGCAGTTGAACAAAGATCTATAGCGTCAAGTCGCTTGATCGAATACAACCACAGTGTCGCATCTCTAGCATTGCCTCATAGAGACAACGCGCCCACGGCTTCTTCTTCGGAAGAAACTCGTCACGCTACGCAAATCGGAAGCCAAAGCCCCAGTTATCCGCCATGGAAGGGAATGTTGGATTTTTCGGTCGAGCAGTTGGTTGATGATCCATGGAAGGATGTCCACAACGGGCTTTCACGGCCATCCCCCAACACCCCTATAACCCTATACTTGACCGAAAAGGTTGATTTATACCGAGAGATTCCCAGATGCATCAAAGAAACCTTGTACAGTCTTCAGAACTTGAACATCAGCTTGCCTCGACAAAAGAGGGGTACATCTTTGAAAAGCGTGATGGAAGAAATGCGCACAGGCTGAGGAGAAAGTAGCGTGGGCTGACAAAGAGTTTGAAAAGCTTGCAGCAGCCATGTGGTATTTGATCGATCAGAACACCGGTCTCAAGAAGGAGGTTGCCATAGCTGAGCGCAGACTCATTTTCAGGGGCGAGCGCATTGTAACCTAGAAGAATCTTCTGGATGGTTTCCAGGAGAAAGTCATGGCAGCGAACCGCAGATTCAAAGCACACTCGACCGATGTCAAGGAGAGACTTGAAGAAGCTAGATTAAGAAGTCGGGATCCCATGTTTATTCGGGCGAGTTCCCAAAGGTTGAAACCTTGAAAGAGCGATGCAGTTCGAACAGCGAAGGCGGTGTAGGAGACGAAATGGCGGGAATTTGAAGGAGGCGGCAAGGAGACGGCAGGGCACTGGGCCCCGTTGAGGCTGAGAGATGTTGAGGATCTATGTAGAGTACGGCAACTGTGCTAGTTCTCTCTACAGATAGAGAATATGTATTCCGAGCGCTAAAGACAATCGAAGCGCTTATGATGAGGCTATCATAGTAGTGATTACTGGCAACGAAGTCGGCCAGAGAGAGAGAGAGAGGGTTTATCTTTCACATAAACAATGTCAAGTCGATCCTTTTCGGCATCTCGGGACATGTTTCTCTGGCCCATCAAGACATAAGATATTGCTCTACAGTGTTGCTCGTAGTGGGCACTCTTGAATATTGGCCCGAGGTCAGTATGGGAACCTCCCCGATTGCTTCCACTCCGCTTCACCCTGTCTAGGCACTGGTCCTGATAGGGCTAAGGCGTGTTCCCCTGCTAACTAGATTATCAGTAGAATGCATCTGCCTCGGAAGATCAATAGGCTCTTCTACAATGCCAGATCGGGAAGGAGAGATATTATGGCTCGACCCCGTGCCGTTGGGGTTTCGACCGTACTAGTATCCTGTGATACAAAGAGTCTAGTCCTTTTGTCTGGGCGATTTAAATGATTTGGAACAGATACTCTCAGCGTGGTCATTGATCTCCTCAGCTCGAAGGCTCTGGTCCTAGCGTCAAGGCTGAATATACCACACATCCAAGATGGGTAAGAAAGTGCTCTGTGGCTACGGCATCGATGTGGATGCTGTGAGTGCTTGGATGATGCCTCGGGAGGGTGGATGTTGCACCGACAGAACCAACATGTCTCGCGGCGTGTTTGGGGCAACGGTTGGCCTCGATCGAGTCCTGAAGCTATTCCACAAGTACAACATAAAGGCGACGTTCTTTACGCCGTGCCATACCCTCGAGTCGTTTCCGTCACAGCTGGCCAAGGTGCGCGACGCCGGTCATGAAATGTAAGTAAGAATACTCAGCCATGTGTCTACACATCTTGACCTGGAATATGGGTCCTGACAAAATGCGAAAGTGGTATGCATGGCTACACCCATGAGTTCGTCTCGGACCTCTCCGAGGAACAGGAGCGCGACATTCTGACCAAATGCATCGATGTCATTACCAAATTCACGGGGAAGAAGCCTCGAGGCTGGACAGCGCCCGCGTGGACGCCGTCAACGAAGACGGTCGAGATCCTGGAGGAGGCCGGCATCGTCTACGACCATTCCTTCATGCATCACGACTGTCAACCATATTGGCTCCCGCACAAGAACAGCGTCACCGAGATCAACCTCAAGATGAAGGCGGCTCACTGGATGAAGCCCATGACGGCACTGCAGCCTTCCAAGATCGTTGAGATCCCCGCCAATTGGCACCTGGACGACTGGCCGCCACTGAACGTGGGCCAGATTGTCGGGCAAGGCTTCGTCGACCCGGACGTCGTGCTGAAGCTCTGGAAGCGACAGTTTGACTTCTACTACCGCGAGTACGACTCGTTCATCTTCCCCATCACCTGCCACCCGCAAGTGACGGGGAAGGCGCAGGTGATCTTGATGCAGGAAGAGATGATCGAGTATATCAACAGCCACGAGGGCGTGCAATGGGTGCCGCTGGAGGAAATGGCGAGACAATTCAAGGACGGTGAGCTGTCGGGCGCCACGGTATTCGGAGGTGTAGACGTGTGATGGCCTTCCATTCCGCGAACAATCTAATTGCTCGTAATAGATTCTTTCTATCCAAATGGAGCCTTGGACCACCCCTGGCGTGAGTGTCGGAAATGGGCTCCGGTTAATCGCTGCTAAGCATTTCGGGGTTTATGCAATGCTATTATCGTGCATTCCTTGTGTTTTTATTTTCCACTTACTATCAACTTCAACCTTCATTCGTACCCTGTGCGCCCTACAAAATAATTGGTACGTGTGCTTCCCAGCGGCTCAGGATACCTAGCTTCATTCCCGCGCCCAAGAGACCTTATCATCGTGACTCGACGCCATCGAGTTCGGTCTTGGGCACGACCAGCCGGCGACTCCCCGATGGACCATCCTGAACAACGAAACTCAACTCTCGCCCATCATGCATGCCTCCCGTTATCTCAAACTTGCAATCGAGACCCTTTTCAGCCGCTGTTCTCCGACTGAATGCAAAGGGCAGCAGGTTTGAAACCAGGCGAACGCAGGTGCAGGTTGATGCTCGCACGTCAAATTGAACAACCAAGGTACCACATCCTGTACTGACTTTGCTTAGCTCCGTCGTGAGGATCGATAACCTCAATTTCCTATTACTTCTAACTAGTTTATATTGATCCAGGCCGCCCCCAGCTAAGGACAAGAATTGTCAACATACAAGTTTGCCAGTCTTATGTCTCCCCGACGAGTGGAGCAGGCCTGGACTAAGATGCGGCTGCGGTTGAAGATCCTTTTACCGCATGCCTTCTCATGTGCAGGGTCTTCCATTCCCGGATTCCATTGATTATCGTCTGCAATTCGCAGGAAACCGATCAGGAAGGAGAGATAAGCATGGCTTTTCCGACTTCCCGAATTAACAATGTTGGCAAAATGGCCCCTTGTGGAAAGAGAGGCTCCGTCCTCTCTTCAATTCGATAGCTCTGGTATACATCTGAAGACCGCTGCAGGGGGAACCTGGGACAATTGGCTCCTGGATCGCGGCTCGTGTATCTATACGCCAACCTCGTTCCAAGGACAACCTCTATCTGGATTCGATCGGGCCCCTCTCAGCGTCTATGCTTTTATGCTAGACCCAGTCCATGACTCGCTCGACATAGGGTCACTAGGATATCTGGCGCTGGTTACTGGCTCACCTCGGACATTGAGAGCCGAGATCCCTGGATAAGAGATCAACATGAATCATCCAGGGCGACTCATATATAAAGTAGTCCCCTCGCTGCATGATCGTCACGGTCTGTTTGTTTTTTTCCTCTGCCATAACATCTCTCTGTCCCGACCACCTTGGCTAGTCGAAGTTCAGCACGCCAAACCAACAGCACCATGGCGTACGGTCTGGGTATCCCCCGGTTTAGGCTTAATAGTCCCTACTGGTGAAATAAGCCCCTAATGGCGCGGCATTGAGACTTGATTCTGACGTATGAACAGGCAAAACTTCATTGGAGGTATCCTTATCGGCCTTACCGGAGGGCTGTATGCTGCTCTCAACCTCTTGGGTGCTGGAGGCGGAAAACCGAATTCATTCCAAGTTGTTCAAACCGCCAATGCCACTCTTTGTGCCGTTTATGCTGTTTCAGCCTGGTTTGGAGGGACTGTGTTGAACACCATCGGCCCAGCCTTGACTGCTTTCGTACGTAAGACAAGATTCTTGATGAATGTCGGTGGTCAAAACAGTCTGACCGGTGACCTGTACAGTTCGGTGTCATCGGATATATCCTCTATGTGGGGAGTTTGTGGTATTTTGACCAGCATGGCAAAGAGACTTTCCCCATCATCGCAGCCGTCTGCGTGAGTTCCCCGCTCCTTTGGAAGACTATTTCGTTTTCGTTCTGGCAAAGCCATTGGCATTAACGCCGACGCGATCAGCACATGCTAACCAAGTCTCACAGATCGGTGTAAGATCGAATCACGAGTGTTGGGGCTGGGGGTTTTGCTGATTTTTGCTCCAGATCTCTGCCGGCTTCATCTACGTGACTTCAGGGTACCTTTCCATGTCGTATTCTGAGGAGAACGAACGTGGAAAGTTCGTGGCAACGTCTATCAACCTTCAGGCCACTGGCGCTGCAATCGGTGGCTTGATCCCTCTGATCATCAATCATGACAAGGTACCGTGTACAATATCACTTTTATTCTTCCCCCAATACTCACGACAATTTCAGGCAACCAGCGCTGGAGTCCCTCCAGCCGTCTACATCGTTTTCATCGTCATGGATTTTGTTGGCTGTGCGTTGGCTTTTCTCCTGCGCCCGCCCGAAAAGGTAGTGAGAGATGATGGAACCAATATCGCCGTGGTCAAGGCCCGTCCATTCTGGGAAGAGTTCAAAGGTAACCTCGAGGCTTTCAAAGATTGGAGGATGATCGTGATGGTATGCTGAGTGCCGGGTTGCAAGGACATTTTTGGAGTGATGGCTGACTTGAATGCAGATTCCTGCCTTTGCTGTCAGCGAATGTTTCCTCGTCTACGGTGGTAGCGCAAACGCATTCCGCAACAGTCTCCGAGCTCGAAGTCTGCTAGGGTTTTGCTCTGTGACGCTCCAAATCATATGCGGTTGGGCTCTGACGCTGCTCCTTGACAACGAGAAACGTAAGTGGAACCTCGACAGTTCACTACCCAGCCTTGAATTAAGACAAAGGATTCCTTCTCGCGGCTTTCCGTCGAGTGCTAATGGATCGAATCTTCAGTGCGTCGTAGAACCAGAGCCCAGATTGGTCTCGTCATCACTGGCATCCCGGTCATGGCCGCGTATATCTGGGAGATGATACGGACGCGCCATTACGACAGGAATAACCCTCCGTCGCCTCCCCTGGACTGGAACGAGCCCGGATTTGGTCCCATCTTCGTCCTGTTCATGTTGAACTGGGTGTCGTGTTCGCTCTTCCAATACATGATTCTTTACTTCTTGGGTTGTTTCACGAACAATCCTCGAGGTGCTGCCAATAATGCCGTGAGTTTCTTCTGCCACTGATGTCTCTTGAAGATTACGTTCTTTGGTTGGTGTCGAAATCCTATCCTTACTGACACCATGATTCCTCTCCTTATCAGGGCGTTTTCCGAGGATTCATGGCCGCAGGAGAAGCCATCGACTTTGGCGTCGACAGTATGGGCGTGCCTTTTCTCAAAGAATCCGGGGCTCTCTTCGCGTTCTACACCGCCGGGGTCATCGCGATGGGATACCTGGCGCTCTTCCATATTGACGAGACCAAGTACTTTACCGAAGAGGAAGTGACGATTCCAAAACATGTCCAGGAAGAGCACGGCCAGACAATGGTCATTGAGGGAACGACCAAGGGCACTTCTGAGACCACCACGGATGAGGAGGCCGCGGGGGGAAAGGAAGCCACTGGTGTCGCGGAGGAGATCAAGGTGTGAACAGAGAAAGAAAACGGGCGTCAAGCGAAGACTCCCTCCCTCCCTGCGAGATGCGTGCTCGCATATTTATAGACGTTTATATGCATGGCATGTACGATGACGCCGGTCGACGTGGGCTCATCTAGAGTGCATCTATAGAGCTAGATAGTCAGTCTTTTCCCAAACCCAAAGCCCAGGTTATTGGATGATTGTGATCTATGCGGTTGGTAGTTCAGGTAGGTTTAGGTCGAAGTGGATCCATGTGAGCTACCTGATACTAGCTACCAAGTACCGAGTACTTGTTCCAAGTATTGTACTTGTAGTATGATGCACGAATTTAGTGCCGAGGCTGCGGAGGCATCCCGGCCACTCAGAACACGTCGTTGCATGTCTTGGACCTGCTGCCGCCGTTGGCCGTACCCCGCCGACTCGAATTCTCCTTTGATCTTCAGCCTCGCCAACCCCTGCGCCTCCCTGGCCTCCCTGGCCTCCCTGGCCTCCCTGGCCTCCCTTCCCTGCGCTACCCTGCCTCCACCCAACGAGGCTAGAAAGGTGTGTGTGCGAGCTTCCCAATTGCACGCCTAAAAGGGCTGTTGAGGAGCTCACCCCACCTGCGCGGCTGCGGCAGTCCTGACAAGTGCGCGATACATACAGTCTTCTTGTTCATCATGCCCCCTTTTGTGAATCGGGCGGGTGTAGACCGCGAGGATGATACCGCTACCCAGCCAATCGCAGCTGTTACGAGTCATGACGGACACGCCGGTGTATTGTCACAATGCTAGGTCTCTGCTCCCATTGGACGGCCTTGGACTGTCGTCAAACCGGTCCGCACCAGATCGGAACCACGACACTCTACGATATATATCACATCTTGATCCATTCCCTGGTGTGTGTGTCGGAATCAAAAACAGGCCTGCTAGACCCGGGCGAAGTCAGTCTCATGCGACGGATAGAAACTTCAAAGATAGCATGAGTAGCAAGGAGGCAAAAGCATACCCAGTATGTGGCAAAGCCCCGAAGTCGTTGCAGCCAGTCCTTCTGATTTTACTGAATTAAAGCGCTGTCCATCATCCCGTGTCCTGACTTTGGATGTTGGAATTTTCGGTAGGAGTGGCGATCGGGGCTCAGCATCCGCCACAGCCAACAGAAGGACGGTAGTGTGCGCAACCAATAATCTGCTTCAGCGAACTCTCATTGTTGAGCGAAAAGAACTTTGTGAAAGGTATTGGCTACTCTGGATTGCCCTCAGCACAAGATTCCAACGGGGGTGGCAATCGATATGGACAACCGGTTATTGAGTGGCTTTCGCAGTTCCGTGCTTGACGTCTATTGCCAGACCGCTCTTCTTCTGTTGCTTGGTTCCCTCTCCCATGACCGATGAAAAAGGATTCATTTACGAAGGTGACCCCTGTCCACACCATTACCGTGTGGACGCTATAGCACTCATAGGCATGACCCCCTGGACTCGCCCTTCCGCCTTGCGATCCCCCCGCTTATGTGTCCTTTGCGGAAGTGCTCTTCTCCTTGCGCTCCTCAGCGTCTTGAGTTTGGAGGTCGCTCCCTGGATTGTTATGGATGGACCAAGTCTCCCGGGCATGTATATCCTGCTCTCTCGTTTTCAGGTCCCAGAAGAAGGCGCCGAAGTTTCCTTTGCAGAACATTGAGCCACCGAAGGGACCTGACGTTATCCGGGACGCACCGTTCTCAGATATCATGGCAATGTATCCCTGTTTTGATGTCGAAGCACTCGAGGCCATGACGAAGTGGCGAAATTGACGCTATGACGAGGACTGGTCTATGTCTGTCTTGCTGTTGGATGTAAAGGTCGATCTCGGAGGTTCCAGACTAGTTTGACTGCAGATGGAATGGGGAGCTATAGAGGCAAATGGGCTCATTATATAGATAAATAGAGGGCAAGGGCGGATGCGGTTCGAAATGGGGAGTCAAGCATAGGGCTTCTGCAGAACCCTGTCTGTCGTTGAACTCACCGCTGAACACTTTGGTTGAGCCACACACAGGAAGGCTGCTATCCCGCTGCGGTGTCAGGTCGCAACGTGCATGTGGTCGGATACGAATAAGCATCAGGGGGTGGGATGTTGTACTGGAAGGCGCACTCATCTCAGAACAGCGCCCTGTTCCGGCTGGTGACTTCCAGCGGTATGGTCCCCGGCGGAACAGGACTTGCGTCGATGTTGGCTTTGGCCGACTCCTGGGAGCATTGTCCAATGTCAGTGATCTAGAATGCAACGAATGCCGGCCCGAAGAGTTTCCCGAAGCAAGGCTGTAGTCGACACGGCCACATGGACTAGTGACGTCGTCATTTAGCTCCCATCGTGTGCGCCAATAACGACCGTTGCCTTGGATATCTGAATTGAAATGTCACAAATAAACGTCCCCATACCGAGATAAATGGACTGAACGACGCTGAAATGACGGTATCGTAGTGGACTGGTATACAGGTGAGTATAAACTCTCGGGTACCGTACTCGCGAATACTGTAGAGTTTCCAGCGCATGGACAACAAAAGCGAGCGCGCCTTGTTGGACCTACTTTGCCCACTTTGCCCCGCTCTGCCCGATGCAAATACGAGGTACAGCCTGCCAAAATTGGTGCTCGATCAAGATTTGGACATCAGAGACTACAGGAAGCTTCCTCTGTTGCCCGTGCGGTCAATTATACATGAACAAGGCCGCCCCCTCCCCACCTTGCCAGCCGAGTTAAAGAGAGGAAAGCGTACTGCACATGTAATGCAAGACCCAGTGCATATGCAATGCAGTGCAATGCAGTGCAATGCAAGGCAAGGCACGGCAAAACTCCTGTTCCATCCCCAGCGCCTGGTCAATTTCCAGCATCCTTGAAGCCTTTAGAGACCCGTTTGATTTCTTCTCTAGTGTAATTTGATTGAACGACGTGGCCATGGGCCGCACAAAACGCTTTCGGCCGGTCCACCTTAAGCATTCTTGCAATCTGCAACCTGTGGGCTCTTTGGTTTGCCATCCTCGCCTTTGCTGTCTGCCTGGAGCGGCTCTATGGGGTCCAGTGGTCTCCCGCTCCTTGAGTTTCTCCCAGGTCGACTGCACTTGCAGGGTAATTGTTCATAGACCATGATTGTTGGCTGCCGTCCTTGTTCTTCGTTGATTCGTTCCGAAACATGCTTCGGGCTAAGTTTAGCCTAGTCAGGGAGGAAAAAGAATCACGAAACGAGCTGGGGTTGGGGAGGATGTTGCATCGTCCGACTAGGCGTCACATTTCTTGGATTGCTGCAATACGCCAGTCGCCAAGAGCGGCGCACCGACTTGGGAACAGAATGCTAATTTTCTATAGCCCTGAGAGCGTCTTCCCTGCTAGGAAGAATCTAGTCTTGGGCCCTAAGAGGGTCTGGTCCAATTGTTGCGCAGGCTGGATACGGATTTCCAGGCCAGAGCATGGCACGGTGAAGCAAACAAAACAACCAGCTGCCTTGTCCAAAGATTTTCAGGCTGCACAAGGGAAACTGGCCCTGATAACGTGAAAGATGTTGTTGATGACAAGGCAATTTGGATCACTGTAGCACACATGACGCTACGCAACCCGGTCCGTCGCGGAGACTATCACTCACTAATCTACTTGTAGTGGCCCCTACCATCCCTCGCGGCCACGCCACTCGTACTATCTCACTGCCGGTCACCGACCACTATGGCTCTGGAGTACTGTGAATGAGTACGAGTGCTGGGGCTGGTGAGGTAATTGTTCTTGTAACTTGGTCGTGTATTCCCTGCGGACTGTTGGCTTGGGATGCACTCGACTGTTGGAATGCTGGGTAGTGGAGAGGCTATTGTCGCTATACCCATTTTGCCGGCAAATGGATGCACTCTGCTTCTGGAATAGTGTGAAAGTCATTCACACTATGAATGTTCTGGCTGAAAACCAATGTCTCCTTGGTGAGTTGACAACGCTGCTGCTCCTCCCAAACGTATCCATGCTGACCCTCCTTTTTCTTTCCTCCCAGCAATCATGACCTCCTCACCGCGCGGCACCGTGCCAGCTCCGCTCGCGAACTCGCACTCCGCACACACGCTGCTCTCTCGCGCGCACTCCCCCGACGCAGCCTCACGGATCTTCGCCGAGAAAGTCAAAACCAAACCGCTCCTTCTCCAGCCCACATCCTCTGCCGACAGGGACAAGCGCGCCCTGCGCCGCCGCATCCGTCTCCGCAAAAAGGAACACTACCTGCGCAAACGCAAACCGAAACCACTAAGTGCCCAGGAGAAGAGGGAGTTGGGGGTCTTCAAGCTGAAGAAGGAGGAGGTCAAATATGACATCTACAAGGGCCTGCATGAGCTGTGGAAGGGATATATACTGGAGGTCCTCGGGTTCGTCAAGGGCGGCCAGACCGTACAAAGCAGTTTGGGGAGAGTGGTCAAGGCGCAAAGTCACGGCTCGCTCCTTGCGAGCGCGGACTTCCATGGCGCGGAACTCGAGGTGGTTCGCTGCTCGGATGCCGGCAAAATAGGCATCAAAGGCATTGTGGTGAGGGATACGAAGTTCACGTTTGTGGTTGTCACGGCAAGGGACGAGGTGAAGACGTTGCCAAAGAAGGATTCTGTGTTTCGGTATGCGATCCCCGTCCCAGAGGACCGAAACGAAATTGGGAACGAAGATCCGCACAAAGAGAAAGACGAGGGCAGAGAGGAAAGTAAGCGGAGGAGAATGCTGGTGTTCGAGCTACACGGGAACCAGTTCGAATTTCGGCCAGCAGAGAGAGCAAACCGGAAGTTCAAGTGGAAGGCCATGGATTACTTGTGAAGATCCAAGGTCGAACCCAACGACCAATATCTATCAGTGGCAGAACACAAGCCTGCGACATGATGTGACCGAAGGCAACACGTATTTGACGCTGCGGGCTGCGTCACATCGCCGCCCACTCGACGCTAAAAGTTCTTACATTCCCCGTTGGACTGGCTCCGCCTAACAAGAAGCCTTTCTTCACCCCAGTCCCCAGTCTTCCTCCGCCTACAATATCCATGAGATCAATCTCTTCATCCCACTGAGCGCCCACAGCGAGAAAATGGGAATGGAATCGGAGAGGGTCGCCTGGATAAACAGTGTATTGGCACCCGAATCGAAGACCAGGTGTGATGAAGAAGCCTTTATCGTGGAGATGCCTGTAAAGAGGGTAAGATGATGGAAGGTTCTCTACTGTCGACCTGGGCCCAGTTGAAGGTGTCGCAAGGAGCAGTCGAGATGTCGCCGGGGTGACAAAATAGCTGTTTGACGTGGCAGTGGGAGGCAGAACCTTGACCGGAGAGTCATCCTCAAGGAGCGCGGTTTTATCCAGGGCGGTATCGTCAGCATCATGCGCCGTCTCACCGTCGTCAAAGTCGAATAGCTCGGCACTACGTCCGTCCTGCCTGGGACCGGATGATGCGGTCGAAGTTTTTGACTTCTTGTCCAAAGCCCACCTCCGAGACTGCTCCTTCTCCTGGTCTTTGGCTTGCTTAACTTCCTTAGACTGCTTCTCTATTTTTGCCAGGTAATCAGCACGTCGAGCCAGATCTCTCGACTGGACAGCTTGATCATGAACTCGAGCATCATCAACAACCACGGCGACCCCTCGTTCAACCAGCAGTTGAGCTTCTTCGGGCATGATCTCGATAGGCACACCCAGAAATAAGTTCTGAGACGGACTCAAGGGTAGAGTGCCGATTGCGATGCCACATATGTGATGCTTGCGGCGAAGGTAGGTCGCAATTTTTATGTCGAAGAGTAGGTATCGACCGCCTACTAAGGAGATCGGGACTGGGAGATCGGGGTTATGGTCAAACCCTAGATCTACTGGAGAGTCCATCATGAAGTAGGTCTGAAGGACTAAATATATTTTGATTTGTCAGTCAAGGTGTTGACTGTATGTTTTTTTGCAAATAATGTGAACCTGAGAACCAAGCGATCATATTTCAACAACGATTTTTCGCTTCAATCACATGGCTTCCGGAGAAGCTTCTCAGTGGATTGACAGATTATATAAAGTGGTCTAATCATGCAAACGGCTCGGAATTGATTGTAAAAGAGAGGCAATACTCACGCACGGATTTGCCCCAAGAAATTGATGCCACGGGTCCTTCACAACGGGAAGAAACCTTCAACCACTCGGCTGTTAAGAGGGTCGTAACCTTTGGGAGTCGCGGAAAAAAAGAATGAAGAGGGCTTGAAGACCAGCCTTCAAGCGAGGTGAGATAGACTACATGATTTGGTTGTGGTGTCTGGAAGTGAGAAGACAGATGTTTCTGGTGAGAGCACAATAGAGCTGGAAAAAGTGATATTGATGTGTCGGGTGTTTCTTTCGCGCCTTTGAAAATTTAATTATCCCGTCTGACAGGACCTTGCTGCGATAAATCCGCCACTTTTTATTGTCAGACTAGAATATTTATTCGTGCCAACCAACTTCTGCCCAGGCTGCCTCCTTCAAACACCCCCCCCCCCTCCCCTTTACCTACTCTTCCCGCTCACCGTTCGAGGCGAAGGTGTCGCAATAAATCGTTCATCCCGACGAATTACTCTTCGATAATGGGTGTCCTCATGCTGCTGTCGTTGCTCCTCTTGGTTCCTTTTCTCTTCTTTCTAGGTATGTCTCTGACTCAAATCTGCTTACGGCCCCTTGCTGAAGAGAGGCGGAAAAAGCATTTCTGGCTCTCTCGTCGTGTCTGGGCGAACAGTTTCGCGCGCGAGTATCCGGCTTCAGCATCAATCCGCGCTATGGGTCTTATGACCGTACGTATTTTCGAACCATGACCAACCCGGGTCCTTCATCCTCAGAGCATATTGAGCTGGAAACCATGCTCAATGCACAAGGACTGCATCCCGACGACGATGACGTGTGAATCCAGTCCCATGGGGCGGTTTAGAATTCCATGTCAGCCTTCTTCCCCTTTTGTTCCTGGCCGGCGGCCTGCTGAGCACCTGTGTCGCCCTCGACAGGTGGCAGATTAAACGGCTTGATTGTGAACTTTCTCCGGCTCAGGGTGAAGGTCCAGTCGGTCTCAGACGTGCCGACGCCGCTACCACGGTCATGGAGCATTGGGAGGCGATGCACTTGCAACAACCCCTGAGGGGGCTCTTCAACTGCACCGGAAGGACCGCGAGAAGGGGTCGTGTCTCCCTCCGCCGAATGTGGAAATGGGGATAGTTCGAGAACGCCGTCATTCAGCAGTTCGACCCACCGAACCAGCCCAGAAGATCGCGGGTACAACGATAGTGGAAGTGACATGAGTGCAGTCAGTCGATTGGAATATGCAGCGAACAGTGCACGAAGACTCTGCAGGAACTGGAGGATATTCTGCGGTTGACTCGACCAAGGGGGATAAAGCGCCGGGGAAAGCAGTGATGGGATGACGATGCGGTGAACTGTATCCGGTGTGGAGTTCGCAACAGAAGCATGCAGCCGTTCAAGAGTGGATGCGAAGGGCGAATGCGTTGGATTCATTTCTAGCTGAATGAAATCCATTTGGGACCCGGCCGGATGAACGAGTCGCTTCGTCAGGTCGAACGTATGGCAAAACGCTATCGGCGGTCCCTGGGCTGCTCCTCCGTTCGGACCTGGTTGTCCAACTGTCGGCTGCGGGCGTTCTGCAAGAAGAAGAAAGAATCGTCAGTGCCAATGCGAAGGCTGAAACGAAGAAAATATCAAGAGAATAACATTTGACTCTAGCTAGGCTACAAGGACGAATATGCCCACCTCTTGCAGTTGTTGCGCCTGCGCCGAATTGTCCCAGGCTCTCGTATCTCCACGCAATCTTCATCCTCTCTGTTTCAGCAGGTGTTGTCTCTTTCTTCTCGCTTTCACCGAAGACGCCTGGAAGTTCTCGACCCCATTGCTCCGGTAGCGCAAGGACGTGGACGTGATGGCCCTGGAGGAGTCCCTCTGCTGCGTAGAATCTGAGCAGCGCGCCCGCGAAGTCCGTCGTCCCACTCTCTTCGATCAAGATGGTGCTGCCGAGGACGAGCCCGGAATGTCCTGCGAGGAGGGCGTCGAGGCTGGCGGTGCCCGTAGAGGTTGTTGGCCGTCCGTCCACTGGTGAAGGCCGCACGCCAGGCAGTTGAATTCGGTCTTTACTGTTGGTTTGCGCGGGGCCTTCGGATCTCGCAGAGCCTGAGAGGCCTACATTGCGCTTACGAAAGGACATTGATGCAAGGATTTGCAACTCGTCAGATGGTTGGCTGGTTGCATGTCGGAGTTGAAGAAACTTGATATTGCATCGATTGCCGCAAAGTCTACCGTACCTGCGCCACCGTAGTTTTCCTTCCCCGAACCGCAAAAATTTAATTTCTTGCGCCAGAAGGCGAGCCTCCTTCACATTTCGTCCTATTGCGCCCAACACTGCGAGCACTCACCGGTCTCTTGGACAAGCTGCAATTGCTGCCAAAATGTCTGAGAACGTCCTGTTTGAAAACAGCTTCAAAATCACGGAGCTCAACGACACCAAATACGACAGAGTCTCCCGGATTAAAGCCTACAGCGAGGGTGAGCAGGAGATCCTTTTAACCCTCGACGTCAACACCGAACTGTACCCTCTGAATGTCGACGACCGAATGACCATAGCGCTGGCTCTATCGCTGAATCTTGATGGCAGCAAAGACGACGGGAAAGGGTGGAGAGAGATCGGGAGAGGGGAACAGACGCTGGCTGATGAGTTCGACTATGTCTGCCACGGAAAAATCTACAGATTCGAAGAAGGCAGTGGAGACAACATGTGAGTTTTGTGCCAACAGATTTTCGGTGGTGCTTGCTCAGACTAATTTGATTCCTGTAGCAAGGTATACGTCTCTTTCGGCGGCCTCCTTCTCTACATGGACGGCCCCTACGCCATGCTCAACGCTCTGAGAATCGACCAGGTGTACTTGCTGATGAAAAAATGAGCTGGTCTATCTGCCATGTTGGCACGACGTCTGCTTTGATTATCTCAGAGAAACAAAAGGTCTATTTTAGCGAGGCGTAGGTGGTGGGCTCGGCTCGCCTACGACAGGACTACGGAGTTGGGAACTCCAGCCTTCTATGGAATCTTGCGACTATTTCAATGTAGTCCGGTTCGTTCTCGGCGGTCAAGAATCCATGCCTGACTAGGAACTCCAAGAGCAAATGCGCACAATTCGGCTTGAATCTACCCTCCGCCATCGCTTGCCGGACCTCGTCAACTGTCAAAAGCTGGAAATCGATGGCTTCGTCGTCGCCTGGCTTGGGTATGACGTCCGGCGGCATCTTGAGGTCATAGATGTACTGGCACTCGGGCTGACAGAGTCCCGTCTCTCCTCCGGCTCTCGCGTCTCGGACATGGAAATATGTCAAGGTGCCACAAGCCCGAGCCGCCGCGCGCACCAAGTCTGCGGGCAACGAAGCTTCCTCCTCGCATTCTCTGATCAAGCACTCAAAGGGCTTTTCTCCAGTGCTCAACCCTCCAGCGACCGTGTTGTCCATCATGCCCGGATAAGTCTGTTTCGTCAAGGCCCTCCGCGGCGCCCATATCTTCATACCCTCGCCTGTCATGACATAGCCAGTCATGTGTACACCATAGGTGACGACTCCGAACAGAGGTGTCGCCGAACGTTCCATGCTGAGCAACAGCTCCCTCTTCGGGCCGTATATGGGATACAGCTCGTTCCGCCAACCGTCAAGGACACCAAAGATGCGCCGTTCGCGAACGTCCTGGAGATAGTGTGCCAGGATCCGGCTGCGCGCGTCGAGATCCGTAACTGGGTTTCCAAGGTCGTCTCGCGGTTGGAATATCAGGCGTCGGTTGAGTTTATCGAGCCTCCAGTGCGGGGTGAGAGGCATTTGCTCGGCGACAGAGGACGTCATATACCCCAGACACGCTCCGCAACCCTCTAGGTAGAAGTGGTAGTACTCATTCCAAAGGACCTTGAACTTGTCCGGATCGTCCGAGTAATAAGGAAAGCTTTTTATTCCCCGGTATCATTATTAGTCAGTTAGTCTTTTGGGGAGCCGGGGGAAACAGTGGTTTCTCAGCTTTATTTCGTCTTTTCGCTTCTATTTTTCTCTTTCTTTTTCTTTTTCTCCTCCTTCTTTCTCGCTCTTCCTTTCCTTTTCTCTTTCTTTCTTTTGCTTTTGATTTTAGGATTCAGACATACTTATCACATTCATTAACTAGATCCAGATTCGAGAGGAGGCCCATGATCCCAAAACCCCCCTCCCTATCTCCCGATCTCCCTTGTACTCGAAAATCCGGAACCCGATATCCGAAAAAGCGCTTGGTTTTGCTGAATGTGGGTGGGATACGCGTGAACTGGTTGAATCTGGGGACGGAATTTCAAACACGACGAGGCTTCGTTCAACGTGTTCGGCAGTCACGTACCCGTGTGCGGAGGGAGTCTGGGAACGGACGATGTGGTATATCCTATGTACGGGGTATGGACCTAGGTAGGTACTGGGTATATTTACGGCTAGCGGAGAAGATCGGTCCGAATACCGGCTAACTGAATTTCTTGGCGCGGCTGGGCGTCAGGAGGGCTCTTTCCCAAATATTACAAGTACGGGGTACATACTCTATACTTCTTTGCTCTATCCTCATGTCAGGTCTCCCTCCACCATCATCTCCCAGAGAAATCCTTTTTTCCGCATCAACTCCTCAAAGGTCCCAGACTCGATGACCGTCCCCTTGTCCACCACGAAGATCGTCTCGGCCGACTTGATCGTCTCCACCCGGTGCGAAATGTTGATCATAGTTCTTCTACTTGGACTTGCACCATTCTCCTCCTCCTTGGTGCCGGCCGCAGCAGCAGCAGCAGCAGCCTTGTCTAACGCGTCTCTGATGATTGCTTCATTTTCCACATCCAAAGCACTCGTGGGTTCGTCTAGGAGCAGGATCTGTGGGTCGCGCAGAAGAGCTCGGGCTATCGCGATGCGTTGCCTCTGGCCGCCGCTAAAGGCCTGTCCGTGTGGTCCGCATTCCGTGTCATAGCCACTCGGTAGGGAAATGATGAAGTCGTAGATGTTTGCGATGCGGCAGGCCGCTTCGAGTTGTTGGTCGGTTATGGTCGAATCATCTTGGACAGCCAAAAGGAGATTGTGACGCAATGTGCCCTGGTAGAGAGTGGTCTCTTGCGACACGAAACCGAGTGTCGAGCGGTAAGCGTTGACATCGAGCATGCGAATGTCGGTTCCCTCGATAAGTATCTCGCCACCTGTGACGTCGTAGAAGCGCTCGAGCAGCGCAACGATGGTAGATTTGCCACACCCGCTAGGTCCCGTTATACATACCTTCTCGCCGGGTTGGATTCTGAAGCTGAGATTATGTAGAACTTCCACATCCGGGCGAGCTGGGTAGCGGAAACTGACGTCTTTGAATTCAATGGCAGCTTCTGTGGGAAGCAATCTGCGTGGATCAATACCTGGTTGCAAGTTGATGGTTGGTTTCTTCTGCTGCATGTAAAAGATCCGGTTCATTGCGGCTTGAGATTTCGTGATGCCTGTGGAAAGCAGCAGTGGTCAACAGAAGATAATTTCGATTGAATCTGCACTATACTCACTCGCAGTGTAGCCTATGATGAACCCGGCCGATTGCCCTCCAAAAATGACGGCGCCGTAAACCAAGAAGTATGCCGAAACACCCAGATCGCCATACGAGACAAGCCTGCCGCCATACCAGAATACTAAAGACATAGCTTTACTCTAACTGTCAGCAAGACGTTTTAAGCAGTTGCATAGAATTCTTGTCGCTTACCGAGCAGGTCTATGGAGTCTGCGAGAGAGAAAAAGAGCATGGACAAGACTGTCCGTCTCAAAGAGCTCACAGCAGCCGTCTTCAATCGAGCCGAATATCTTTCGATGACCTTTGATTCCATCGTCAGGGAGGCAACCGTTCGGATCGCCCCAACCGCTTCGGAGCTAAAGCGGGCGCTCTCAATGAAGAACTTTGCCGCTCGGTCTTCTGACTCCCGGTCGATCCTCATACGCAGGTAGCCCGCTAGAAGCAGCAGGGGCACACAGCACAAGACACCAACCAATGCCAGTTTCCAGTAAACGGCGAGTGCCAGGATGATGCTTGCGATCAAGTCGACAATGAAAACGACAATAAGGCCGATGTTCAAGCTTATCATCAAGTCCATTTCGTCGCCATCAAGACCTAGCAGGGCAGTCAGACCACCAGATGAATTTCCCTTTTCCTCGAAGAAGGTAATGTCTTGATTGAGCAAGCCTCTTAAGTACTCAGCTCGGCACTTCAAAGAGCTTCTCGCGCCAGCTACCGCAAACAGAAACCAGGTGACGGCAAAAACCACCAGATACGCCAATGCCAGAAGAAAGAACATAAGCGCCCAGAAGTCGGCCTTGGTTACCAGTTTTGAACCCTGGTATTGGAAGATTGTCACAAGCCTTGAGAAAAGAAAAGCCTGAATGGGTATGAGACCGCCAGCGACGAGGCTGCCTATTAAGCCACCGACGAAAACGGGTATGATGCTCTTTTGGTCGGATAGCATTATAAGCAGGCATCTTATTAAGGAAAAGCGGCGAGTGACTGACTTTGACTCTAGAATCGTAGCTCCCTCTAGAGTCCCGGCTTGATTCTGAGGCCCCTTCGCAGATATCGATTTTTGAATCGGGGCTGCAGCGTGCTTGTCGCTCGCCCGTGTCGCCTTATCCGATTGCCTGCCCTTTCCCCGGATTAAACTTTTTGCGCGGAGAAGACGCGCATAGACCCCCCCAGCAGCCACAAGAGAGGCATGAGTTCCTTGCTCAGTAACATGGCCGTCCTCCATAACAATGATGTTGTCCGCGTGCTCGATGGTGGACAATTTGTGCGCAATCATCAACGTTGTCCGGCCCTGAGAGGCCCCCAACAGTGCCTTTTGCACAATTCGGGCCGAATCCAGATCCAAGGCACTTGTGCATTCGTCCAGTAAGAGGATTTTGGGGTTAGAAATGATGCTCCGGGCGATCGCAATCCTCTGCTTTTGGCCGCCGCTCAGGAGATCCGAATGCTCGCCAACTTGGGTGTCGTAGCCTTCAGGGAGTGCTTGAATGAACTCATGCGCGTCTGCGGTAATGCAAGCCTCGATGACCAGTTGGCGTTTCTCCCTTTCGTCGAGCCTATCGGCTTTCGCCTTGGGTAGTCCATTCAAGACATTTTCGAATATGGTATCATTGAAGAGCATTGGCTCCTGGAATTATGAGATATCAGCCTTGATGCGTTCATGACGGAGGGTCTTCGTTACCTGTTGCACCAGGCCCATCTGACCTCTCAGCCAATCCAGGTCCAGGTCTCGTGTATTTGTGCCGTCCAGATAAATCGACCCGTCTTTAGGATCGTACCACCGCTCCAAGAGTCCCACAACGGTGCTTTTGCCACATCCACTGTGACCGACAATTGCAGCGAATTGATTGGCAGGTATTTCAATGCTTAAGTCGTTCAGAACGCTAATTGTTCGTCTTGTAGGGTAGGCAAACGAGACGTTTCTCAGACTCAATTGCCCAGTGATTGTCGCCGGTATAACCTTGTGAGACTGATTTGGCGTCTTGTCTCGGGGGGAAGATTCGTCCAATACCTTTAGAACTTGCTGTGCCGCAGCTGCAGCCTTGATGAAATTGGGCAGAGATGGGGCAACTAGTCCCATAGACGAGGTGCCGATGACAATGGACATGAGTACACTATTTGCGTGTCAGCTGCCACGTATATCTCGCTCGTTCGGGGGATTTAGGACTAACGTAACCAGAGTTCCGCCATTCTCTATCTCCTTGCGGTTGAGCAGTCTGACCCCGTAGTACAATGCGAGCGCGTAGCCGCTAAGTACCGCAAACCACATATTTCCGTAGATTGATGCCTCGATTGGTCCTCTCTTAATGCCGAAGGTCTTGGTCTTCTCGATGACTTGCTTGTATCGCTTCGTGATCTTATCTGCCGCGCCAAGGGCGGTGACAGTGAGAACACTGCTGAGCCATTCTTCAACCATACCCGATGCTTTCAGGTAGATTGTGCGCATTTTCGTCTCGAATTTTGCATCGACAAGGGCGAGAAGTCCAGTTGTCAAGATCATGTAGGGAACGATGGTGGCAGTCACAAGTGTCAGTCTCCAAGATTTGATGAATGCAATGACAAAAGCCGTGACCAACATTGATATCGATTGACAAGCGATTGCAACCTTCTCAGCAAGCCCGACCTCGATCAGGTTGGTGTCTGTCGACAGACTTGAGGCTATGGAACCAGCTGTGTGGTGATCAAAGTAAGAGATGGGCTGATGCAAGACGACTTGAAGGTACCGGAGACGAATCCTGCGTGTGATGCGAGAAGCAGAGATAGAGTGCATGACAGTGCCACAGTAAGCCATCTTCAAGACGCGGCTGTTAGTATAAAGAAAAAAGTATAGAAATAGAGATTTGCCCCTGGGTGGACGCACCACAAACTTTCCCACAAAAAGATACAAGAGCCAGAGAGTATTTTGATTGACCTTGTGCCGAAATTCAGCGGGCTGGACCACCCCTGTACCCCAGTTGTTGAAATCTTGGACGAAGTCTCCAAGAATGATTGTCATCAAAGGCAATGCTGAACCTGCCGCTACTGCGGCGGCCGCACCGCATATGCGTAAGAAAATGTCAACCAAGTTGGCATAGGTTAAGAGACGCCAGTAGGCTTTCCATGCCGACAGTTGAGTCTTCTGGTTCTTATTTCCATCTTCAGCGGGCTCCGGAATGTCGATTTTCTCATCACCACCCATGGTTATGCTCGGCGGCGTGCCGCTAATTCTGCATTTTGATGCTTATGATGCTGATTAAATTCTCCTCCTGGCCAAGAGGAATTCTGAATGAGAAGTCCCTGCTGGAACGAAGTGAGCGAGATTGGCTCAGTCATGCTGCCCACGAAATTTATAACATCCATTTAGAACTCAGGCTGCCTTGTAAAAGCCCCGAAGGCAGCACAGTTAAAACCTTGCAATGGTCTGGCGTGGGCGGCAGTGACTCGTGTAAATCAGGAGACGTTGTAGTGGTACGACTGTCTGCTTCCATCAGGCCATTGGAGAAAGCCCAGAGCCAAGCCAGCGCGGCAGGCATTTGGCATCGTATACTAGGCCTCGATCAATGCAGGATGAAGGCCACGGATTACTTAGCCCTGTTGCAGACGCGAGAATCGAGTGGTCGCCAATTAACATACTGGTAACGAAGGAGCGCCTTCGCTTCTGCCGTGCAGTGTGGAGGCATGTCGTCGGTGGCCATGCATGAGAGAATGAGATGGTAGTACCGTCACATTGGGTCGCTGGTAAGTACGCTGCAAAAGGGACAGTAAGCGGCAGTCTGAAGCTGGAGTCTGAGAGAGAGATGAAGATGGAACAAGTGTTTAGGCAGAGGGCGGATCATGTCGAAGTCAAGTCACCCAACTTTTGGTGCAGTGTTTGACGTATTTAAGGGCCTCATCTTGGCAGCGCCCTCCCCCGTCAAACTGCCCTTGTCGCCCTCCAATCTTCCCCATATTTATGTATTGTTTCTACTTCCAAGCGACACATCCTGTTTCTGCTACTTCGTGGAATAGCAAACATTCGACTTGCAGACATGTTTGGAGTCTTCATTCCCACCCGGCCCATCATCACTGAGCTAGCGACCGTCTCACCGAACCAGTTCGCCGTCTCCTTCCCGGCCTCGCCACCATTCCACAATGTCGGCGTCTTTCTTCACCCAAGTAACCTCCTGCCACCAGGCACAGCTGCCGGAGTCTACATGCAACTGCCCGGCGAGCAGGGATTTAAGTTTCTAGGCGCCATAGGCAATGAGAAGCCCTCAGCCTTGTTCCGCGTGAACCTACCGGACTCCATCGCCAATAACCCTTCTGCTGGACAAGTCAATCTCGGCATCTCTGTAGAACCAGCGCAGAATATCCAAGCACAGATGGCACAAATTCAGCAACAGTCACCAACCGCATCAAATTCCACTGCTCTTGTCAAGAGACCGCCGGATACGCGGGTTTTGGCCCAACGAATCATCAGGAACGCCTTCAATTTCTTGGCTAGTTTTGCAGGCAACACGGCCAACGGGATTGAAGTCGTGCCGTTAAAGAGCTTTCAAGATTGGTGGACTAAATTCGAGAGGAGGGTGCAGAACGATCCGGGATTTTTGGAGAGAGATGAGGTTTAAAGCTCGAGGTCTCGGCAAAACCGGAGCCATGGACGTCCACAAGAATGAGAAGCTCAGGATTGAGGTTGTCAAATTTTATCCCGGGGCCGCTCGAGTTCTTGCCCCGTAAGAACATCTAGTCAAGAATGGCGGCAAGCGAGAAGCACCACATACACATCTCTAGCCATGCGCAGCTCTAACAGCGATCTCCAAAAGAGCCACCAACACCACTACCGTCTATCGCTCTAGGGGTTGATGTCCAGTCGTCCGCAAGACAGCAGAAGGCGCGTTGTCTCACCAGTGCATCGACATGATCTCATCCTTGCTCCAATACTTCCGCATATTTTCCGCCCCCAGCATTCTCACCTCATCGTCTAAATGCATCCACAACACTTCTCCAAACGAATCCATAATTTCCTTCAACTCTGGTAATCTCAACTCCCTCTCTCCACTCCGACACCCATCCAAATACTGTTCCAGCTTCTCTAAACCTTCATGAATCTTTTCATGCTGGGTGACTAGGTGATCGTGCACGCCAAAGGCGGGCATACGTTCAGCGAGCTCCGGAAAAACGTGTTGTTCTTCAATTGTATGGTGGATTGTCAATGCGTGGCAGAAATGCAGGCCTTGGGAAATTAAGCCGCGGAGGGACATGCCCGGGGGTCGAGAGCCTGAAGTGCAGGTTTGATATAGCAGGTTCCACGTGTACCGGAAATGGTTGTGCTGGTGAGCACAGGTGTTAGTGGACATTCTCCCGAGAAACGTACAGCCGGAACAGAGCCTTGTCCATATGAAGCCGGAAACCAAAACTAACCAAGAGCAAACGACCGGGGGAAGCTAAACAGACGTTGCGACAGAGGACAAAGGGATCAAGCATACATATGCATCCATCATGACCGCCAGCCTGTTATATACTCGGAAATCTTGGGCAGAGAGTTTGGGCAGCTCAGGCTCAACAACGGGAGTGTCTGCATCGTTCTCTGGTGGAGGGCTTGTCCGAGGCGTGGCTTTCTGCTGCGGAGTGCCATCTTCTGGGAGCGGACATGACGAAGCCATGCCGGCGGCAGCAGCGGTGGTGCTGGGCATAGAGGAGATGAGCCTTGTTTGAACGATACGTTGACCTTGTGGCTCTGCCCGAGAAGATGGGATCGCAGATATCGTCGAGCTCGGTGTCGATATCGAGGGGGTCGAGGCGTTGAGGACGCCGCTTGTAGATCCCGTTTGATACAGTCTTGCCCCGGCAATCCGGACGGGTACTTTGGCGTTGAAGGCTCGAGGGATCGTCGTGACGTTGATTCCTCGTAGAGCTGGCGTTGAAAGTGCGATTGCAATCGCTACCATCAAGATACTGAGAAGTGGAAGCGGCGATATCCCACGTCTCATGCGTAATTACCTGTCTTTGGTCGCTCCGAAGGAGGGGCCTGAAGGAACTGGGAAAAACAAAGAAATAAGATCGTCTCCCCTATTCCCCTCCTCCCAAGGGCCTGATCACTCGCTGCTCGCGTACTGGTCGTGGTGTTCTCTCGGTATGTCGTAAGAAGTCCGTGATTGATTTGCTCGATTGCTTGATGATAGACGGACGGATAGCAAAAGATGGATGGATTATGCAAGTATTACCAATAAGGCAGCGAAGTCCAAAAGACCTCAAACAGGCACATGCATACACATTCGCGCACATACAAAGAACACACGTGGTAAAAAAAAAAATATAGCTAGAGGAAGGGGGTAGGGAGAGGAGAAAGGGAGTGAGGCGAAGATATACTCCCGCCCGTGTATATATTGTCAGACGCAACGAAAAAAGAACAACATGCGTTTTGGCGACAGCAATCAAATCCCACTTTGGTCAACCCCCCAATCACGATTGCCCCGAGCCCGCGAGGCCCCGAGTGTCGGACCAATCCGTGCACAAGCACATAGGCCGTCGAGGCAGCCTCGTCATGTGATGGCCGGTGTTTCTCGGTCGAGATCTCCGGGGGGCATGGAGGGGCCGAGTGTGGCACGGTGGGGGGTGGCATGGGTGATTTTCGATGGATCGTTCATTCATTTACAACTTGCGATGTGTGTTGAGACTTTGGTTGCAACGGGCCTTTCCATACCTGGGGGGGTTCGAAAAACCCTCTGTTCCGTTCTGTTCTGCTCTGTTCTTCTTCTGCAAGAACGAGCGAGTATCTACCGTATCGAATGAGGACCGGAATATGTAACCAGGGTTCGAAGCCAGGGCAACAGAAGGATCAAAAGATTGTGAGAACGACGGATCGACCGACGGCGATGACGAGATGGGAGTCAAAGAGCTACTCTCGTTCGTGACCAGTGTTCATAAAATTCTTCGTTATCCATTTTACATGCAGCGAGGAACACTACCTACATAGCTAGCTAGCAAGCAGAACTTGGGAAGATTTTGGCTCCGGCAGCGCCAGCCCCGTGCATAGTAAAACTAGCCCCCAAGCTGTATGACATGTGTTGTGTGAGTGTGACGTGAAGCCTTGGGTCTAGAACGATGATGACCCTGGATAAAAAGGCCATTCTTTTGGGTTTTCGACATTCTCTCCCTTCCGTGCCTGTGACTTTGCCTTGAAGACGTGGTTCGGTGTTCCTGTTCGGTTTTCTCTCTCTCTTTTTTTGTTAGGTATGGCTTTTTTTCTTTTTCATATTTAGATGCCCTTGATCCTGTTTATCCGAAGAGAGCACCGCCAAGTCGGATCCTGACGGACTTGATCTGGGTGTAGTTGGACAGAGCATACTTGCCAAGCTCACGGCCAATGCCAGACTCCTTGAAGCCACCGAAGGGCACCTGGTGGCTGAGCATATTGTAGTTGTTGACCCAGACGGTGCCGGCCTTGAGGGCATTGGCGACACGGATGGCGGTGTTGAGGTTGGTGGTGTGCACGGCAGCGGCGAGACCGTAGGTGGTCTCGTTGCCCAGCCGGATGACCTCTTCCTCGGTCTCGAATTTGCTGATGGTGCAGACGGGGCCGAAAATCTCCTCTTGCATGATCTTCATGTCCTCGCTGACGTTGGAGAAGATGGTGGGTTGAATGAAGTAGCCCTCGCTGCCGTGGCGCTCACCACCAGTCTCGACCTTGGCACCGGCCTCTTTGCCAGACTGGATGTAGTTCATGATGCGGTCAAATTGCAGCTTGCTGACCTGAGGACCTTGGAAGGTGTCGGCCTTGAATGGGTCGCCGACGACGTTCTTGGCAGTTCGCTCCTTGAATGCCTGGATGAACTTGTCGTAGATGCCAGATTGGACATAGATACGGGAGCCGGCACAGCAGCATTGGCCGTGGTTGAAGAAGATACCGAAGTTGACCCACGAGATGGCGTCGTTAATGTTGGCGTCGTTGAAGACAATGTTGGGGGACTTGCCGCCAAGCTCCAGGGTGACCTTCTTCAGGTTGGATTTGGCAGCGGCTTGCAGGATGGTTCGGCCCACGACGGTCGAGCCAGTGAAGGCGACCTTGTCAATGTCCATGTGAGAGGCAATGGCAGCCCCGGCGGTCTTGCCGAAGCCAGAGAGGATGTTGACGACACCGGCGGGGAAGCCAGCCTTCTCGCAGAGAGTGGCAGCGAACAGACCAGACAGAGGGGTCTGCTCAGCGGTCTTCAAGATAACGGTGTTACCGGCGGCCAAAGCAGGTCCAATCTTCCAGGCCCACATGAGAAGTGGGAAGTTCCATGGAATGATCTGACCGCAGACACCCACGGCTTCGTGTCTCGTGTAGTTGAATGTCTCTGGATCTGTGTCGATGGTCTTGCCGTGGATCTTGTCTGCCCATCCACCATAATATCTCAAGCAGCCAGAAGACAGCTGGACGTCGACCTTGGCCATGGACAGGGCCTTGCCATTGTCCAGAGATTCGATCGCAGCGAGGGTATCCGAGTACTCGTCGAAAAGATCGGCAAGCTTCGTGAGCATCTGACCTCGGACACTGGGCAGTGTCTGGGACCAAACGCCATTGAAAGCCTTGCGGGCGGCCTTGACAGCGATGTCGACATCTGGCGAGAACAGGTCAGCAAGCTCAATCATCCCCGAGTCACACGATGACCCCTCGTGCCAACTTACCCTCGGGACCGGCCTCGTGGACGGCGATAATGGGCTTCTCATTGGTAGGGTTGATGGTCTCGAAGGTCTTGCCCTCAACACCCTTCACCCACTTGCCATCAATGTACAAGCCCAACGGTTGCTCATAGGTGATGCTAGGGGTCTCGATCTTTGCTGTCAAAGACATGTTGACGGTGTTATGTGAAATTCGATTTGTACACAAAAACTGGGATGGGTATCACAACACAGAAGAGAAAAGTCGCAGACTTTTGTAATGGACGAGAGAGGAAGAAGAAGACAAGACGGCCACCCGAGGGCAGACAGAGCTTTATTTGAAATACTCTTACGCGGGGAAGGTCGCCTCCATCAACGCAACGCATATCCACAACACGTCCTCACTTTCGTTTTCCTATGGACCGAACCAGTAGACAAGAGAAATGGAGTTAATGATCCACTGATCCAGAGGTCGAACGGGCAATGACAGTAGGTGGACGCTGGAATTCCGTCACTCAGGTCGGGGGGTCGATTGGGAGACGCGGTTGGCCCTTGCGCTCAACTGCGGGGTTGGGATTCCAGTCACACAACGGCCTGAGACTCTCAGTGGATCAAAGGGGATCAGAATAGTCAGAGAAAAGAGAGTCTCAAGAGTCGAAGAGGGTTCGATACTCTGTAAGATGGAGTGAGGGGATTGGATGGCGGCGGAGACTAGGGACTGCGGGATGAGCGTCTCCTGCTGTGGCAATGTCTCGAAAGAGGGGTAGCGATTCGATTTCTTGTTTACTTGTTAGTAGCGGGTGTTGGTATTAGACTAGAGGGCGGAGCCGACTTGAACTCGTCCTGGATTCCGATCGAAGCAAGGACATTTGCCCGGTCAGCCGTCCTTTGACTTTTGGGCTGGTCAAAAGGATGGCCGGACGAAGGTCCCGTCTGGTGTGAGATCCATTGGAGCTTTGTTTTGCTCTCCTGGTCAGGTCAGATCTTACCTGGCCCCGAGGCTAGCCGAGTACTACCACTGCTATTGATTGAACGAAACAAGAGGCAAGTAGCTCTCTATACTTCGCCAAACTACCTACCCTTGAAGCCCAACCGCTGGGATGGTCGATAACAACACATCGGATCCGAGGTCGAGATGGCTCAACAATGTCATAGATGGAGCCAGATGTTGCAGGGAGGAATCGATCTGATGCGAGTAACGTTGGGATTGCTCCTCTCGTCTCCAGTCAGGAGCAATGGGAGGCGACCAGCATCTGGTGGATCGACAAAGCTCTCTCAACTGACTGGGGACCAATTGCTTCGGAGAAAGGGTAGACGGACGAGATGCGTGTGGCTGCTAGTCGGCTACATGGAGAAAGCTGCCTCAGATCTTCCCGTACGAGAACAAGGGTTGGGCGGAGAGATATTGCTCCGCCACGCATACAGTCGATTGTTTAGGATTACCTATCTCCTAGAACGACCGACCCCAGAAAGTGAGCGTGAGCATTGACACAAACGGGAAGCCAATTTTGGGATACGAAAATCTGGATTCTCGCGCCTCCCCCTTCCCCCTAGTGTCTCTCAGAAGGATGGAGGGGCACAACCATGCAAAAGGAGGGGCATAGTTGCGTCGGGCGCGGGGCTAATGTGGCGTATGAAGTTGCCGCAAGTCATGGGGCCAAAGTCACTGTAAAGAGTCTTGTCCATCGCGCTCGTAGCGCTCGAGTCGACTCGCTCGTTCCTCGGTGTTCTGGACCTTCTGGTTCGCTCTCTCTTTCCCTACTTGGTACGTGGATGAATTGCGTGGTCGCCGCGGGCCGCGGAATTTCTTCCAGTAAGAACAACAAATTACTCCATATTGGAGATGGACTTTTGGTGTATGGAGAACAGACTGTACACGTCTTCTTTGGTCAGATTTTCGACAAAAAGGCCTGTCTCTGTGTTCAGTTCTCTGGCCGGGGACGTTGTGCCAGCTACGATTACTGAACAGCCGCGCGCAAGTCTGGGTACCCTGTAGACTACGGTATTACGAAGTACCTCGTACTGTCGCAGAAGCGTTGGTGGCCTTTTACTTGCTTATCACAATTGACTAATCCTGCGGTGTTCATTGTCGCCATTGAACCGAGGAGTACCTCGTACCTCGTAGTGTCTGGGTCTTGTTGTGCAAGCTGTGTTGTTCTCTGGTGGCTGGAGAAAGCGACGCACGTCGGTAAACCAAGCGCCGATGGTGGAACTATCAGACCCACAGTCGCCATCACGTGCGAGGCTCTAAAATTGCACAGATATATTTTACTTTCTCGCAAATTGTGTTCGGCTGTTATGGTCAAAAAGTGAGAAGGTTGCCTGGAGCCCGTGGGCGTCGCTTCACACTCCCACTTGCTCAGTTGTGCCTTGCTCGGAATTTCGGGTCGTTCATCGTACTCGTGTGTGTAAACCACGATGCTACGGAGCGCTAAGCAATCGGAAGTGACACTTGAGGGAAGCGATTCTGCAGAGACTCTTCCACCCGGAGTTGGCGATGTTAGATTACACACTGGCAAGATATGCGAAGTCTCGGGCTCGATGTGGGCGACCGACTTTTTTGCTCCGTCAGAGTTTTTGTTTCTTTATTTTTTATTTTCCCCTTTCACTTTTCATTCGTTGTGCCGGAGATGAACCGAGGTGGATTAAAGCCTTGGCGAGAAGAAACACAGGGAGAGACAACCTTCTGCGAACGAGGTATATACAAAGACTATTAATAATCTTCCTCTGACCTCTACTTTCGTGCGTATATTTAGAATGCTAAGAACAATGCCCATTCATCCCCGCCTCAGTCGCGTCATCCACCAATACACTCCGATTCCTCTCTTGTGTCGACGGCGCAACGTCCATGGCGGGATTCTTAGTGAAGAAGTTCACAGGCTTCAATCCAACAACCATCTTCTCACATGGCATCACGGGCCAATCCTCCACTCGCGGGTTGTGCGTGGATCCAAAGGTGTGCCAGACGACAATGTCTTGCTTTCTCACCTTCGTGGCGGAATTGTCGTTTGATAAGACCTCTTGCCGCTGCTGTCGCTTCTTGATCCAGCTGGCAATCCCCTCCCCGCCCAGAGATTGCATGGTGTGGCGGCCCGCCGCAAACAACTCACTGTCGTGGTATCTTGTTATCCAGACCGCGTGCGCGCCGAACTCGGATCTTTTTGCGTGGTACGAAGACGGGTGTGCAAGGACAAGCTGACTATAGCACGGTACGAGTTTATACCCGACGGGGCCTTCAGTAACCGGGTTAGCAACGTCCTCGTTGACGATCTTGAAGACCCGGTTGACGGTGTGGTCGAGATCCAATCCGCATTCTTCCGCCACTGTTTCAGACCTAGTCGTGTATCCGATGCCGAACGGATTGTGAACACTGGAATCCTGGTCCTCGAGAGGCATTGCATGCGACTCCTCGACGACGAGAGAATTGTTCCACCCCGCGATAGCCGGATCAATCCTCAGACAGAACAGATGCTGATGATATGGTGCCATCACGCCCGGCGCAACTGTGGTGCCGAATGGCACCTTGTCCCCCACGTTGATTGGGACTGTGGACACAATCCCTGTCGCCCGTACTTCATAATGCAGGGACGCGTCTTGCCCAAAGTAAAACGCAAAGATATACTCGTAGTTACTCACGGTAATAATGGTCTGCAACACCAAGACTCTCGATCGAGTGACCACGGCATTGCCAGTGCGGAAGTTGGTATGTTTCCAAAGAATCCCATCGTCGATCTCATGACAGCATACGGCGTTGGCGATCTTGATCGGGTCTCCTGAGCTGGTGGCGTGCCAGCCGTCGAAATACTTGATGTGCCCGAGACAGTCGCACCCCAGCTGCAGATTGTTGGCATTGCAGCCGGCGCCGTCGTTTCCCAGATCAAAGGCAGCCTTGCGGGCATATGGCATCCGGGGATCCCCGTAAGGCACAAACATCTCTGAGAGCGAAAGGCGGTAGAACAGTGAGTGGCCGTCATACCGGACGTCGTGGAGGGTGAGCCCCTCCCTGTAGTTGAACCCCACGCGCAAATGCCACTTTTCCCATCGTATGAGGTTGCCTTCGGTGGTAAATGATGGGCCATCCGGTTGCAAGACGTGGTAAGGCTTTGTGGATGTGCGATGCTGGGAGACCAGGTCCGGGTGATACTCGATGCTCGAGTCGAATATCTTCCTTCGATCGTACGGTTTGGCGGTCATGCTGATGTCGTTGGACGTGCCATTGGGGAGGTGATAGATTTTCAAGACCCTTGCGTCGCCGGACATTTCCACACACAGATCCAGAGGATACGCATAGTGGTTCGCATCCGGGTGACTGATCAGTTTCATGTAGAAATAGCACTGGTTCGAACGCACTCTTGGATCAGCATTCCGCCCACCGTGCCCGATAAAGTCAAAAGGGACGCTCGCTCGGGACATACCATGGTGATCTTTTGACTCATGTCGTTCATCCCATCTGTCGCGTACGTCCACGGTTCGATCTTGACCACAGCTCCTTCGGGAAGTTGCATCTCCTTGATCGCGGCCTGCACTCGGCTATCGCTAAGGCACGCTTGCTCAGTCTTCTGCATATCGTTGGCATCGACGTGTGGATGCCGACCAAGAAGCTGCTCTTGATCCACAATCTCTCCGCTTTCCACATTGACCTTGAGTTCGTAAAAGTGCGCGCTATCCCGTGGTTGGCCTAAGAATACCTGAACGGTGGCAAGACGAGCTGGCCTTTTTGATGGCTCTGATACGGCATCCTTGCTATGCTCGCCATCTAAGAAGGTCATCATTTCAGCCTTTGCCGGTTCCGCAAGGGTGATGACCCGGAAATATGCTTCGCCATCTGGGAAACCTGCGCGGACATGCTTCGCGGTCTGATACGGTCAATTTGTGATTGGAAGAACGCATGGTTCAAGCCGTCCTTACTTGAGAGATCTCCTGAGGCGTGAGAGGGTCTAAAGGGTGAGCAACCTGTATTGCCATGGTTTTTTTTTTTCCTTCAAAAAGATCTCTTGTTGTAGCTCTCTAGCCCGACTGATGGTACACGATCTTTGACGGAGATGGCCTTTTCAAGGTTGGAGTTGGTCCGGCAGAGGCTTCCTGATGGCTATTAAAGTAGAGGCGAACTGTTGCATGCTGGCAACGAGAAGTTGCATAGAATGTGGATCTACGCCTTCTGACAAGACTTGAGCTCCAAAGGAAAGTAGAAAATATTCGAATCCATCACTCCAAAGGTAGGGTCGAGGCTCGGCCGTCGAGACATGTCAAAACCCGGAGGAATCCGCTTGTGTTGAATTGCTCGGTTAAGCAGTTGTCGGATATTCGCGATTCTTTGGCTCTGGCCTAACCCGCCTAGGTATCTGTGAGCATGCCGCTTACGTGCGACAGACAAACGCTTAAAACAGATAGTTCACAAGGAGCATATAGCAGATGAAAGTTTTCAGGACGGAAAAATATGTGGAAAGACCGGTTGCTATTCTCTCCGACGAAGAAATTGTTCCTCCTGGACAATTGCGAACTCGGGCGAGCGGAATCTCCAACCTATGTGGAATTGCTCCAACAAACGTCAAAGAAATTCGTAAGTACTCAAGGCGTGCTGTTCATTAGGACGTAAGAGTCAAGGCATCCTCCAGGGGTTTCACTGGCCTCAAGGCGAGCGAGCAAGCGTTTCTCGATCGTATCAGCCTGCGCAATACAAACACATATTACTCTGAACCTTTGTTTTGGAAAACAGCGCGCAGTTTGGTGTGCGTTCGTGAGAAACCGGGAGTGAAGCCATTCAAGTCTTTTATTGAGATGGTCGGCCAAAGGGCGCGCGCGATTATTGAAATTATGTCCAAGTCAGAACGCTTGTTGGAGCAAAACCCATTTCTTCAACCGGCGCTGATATACAGCCTATCTTTCGTACAGGGAGGCGAGATTCGTCAGAAGAAGTCTGATAAGAGTGGCTCCATCCAGGCGTAGGCCACCGAAGGGACAAGAAATCTTTTGTTGGTACACTTTTCGTCGCTCTTTTGTCGTATTTCCGGGGGAGAGATTTATTCGACGCCGGGCCCACTGTCAGATCCTTCGCTACCAGCGCCAAAGGAGCCGACCTTGAGGTTCTTATCTTGCGCGACCATGATTGCGAGGATTTCGAGGATTTCTTTGGGAACGGTGTTATCGTAGATACCGATCAGTGACTGTGGTTCGGGGTAGACCTTGAGGCCCTTGTAAAAGCAAAGAGCAGCGCCAATAGGGTCAGAACCTAGAGCAGAGTCAGTTACATAGTGGCAGGTCACAGGAATTTTTGGACACACCATCACCGGCCATAGCCTCCCCCTGTGCGATTTGTTGCATGAAGAAAGCCTCCTTCTCTTCGATGTCTGTAGGGAAGCCCTCTTCAATTGCTTCCTGGACGGTTCGTTTGATCTCTTCCCGTTTCTGTTTCCCTTGGAACTCGGCCTCTTCCTTGGCTATCCTAGCTTGCCTGCGCGATTCTCTCTTTAGAGCTTTCCGAAACTCAGGGTCGTTTCTCCGCCGGTAATCGAAGTACACGGCATATGCTGAAAGCGTGTCAGTCGCCAAAGGACCAGCTGGGAGTCTTTCCTTCTGGATAAATCAACGCACCAACGAGCCCGGTGACTACTGTCCCGACAGATATTGACACGATCGTCGAAGTCTTCATGGTGAGGATCCTGAGTGGCAGGACCCGAAAAGAAAGGTGCGGTGCCAGTCAGAATAATGACGAGCAATAAGAATGCGGGATCTAAGGGATCGAAAGGCAACCGGAACTGGAAATAGATTCTAAGAAAGTGGCGTTACGAGATTCGGTTGCGAATAGTTTCTGGATAAACTGGAATGATGCAGCTGTGGAAATTTCCCAGCTTGCAAACGAAAGTTCCTGGGAGCAGTCGAGCAAGGCGCAGGTTGAGCGACTTCATTATGGGGTACAATGCTTTGCAGGAATTCTACTGCAGAGCACTCGGTTCGATTGAGACGTGCTCAGCCTTGCCCCTGAGTTGCCCTGAGCTGCCTGAGCTCATCATATCCCAGCACAGTACGACCAGTGCGTAGACCGCCAGTTTTGAAATGTACCTTGGAGCGGGCGGAGGAGAGATACGAGCTCTTCTCCGCATATGCTAGGTTGCAAACACCATGATTTTGGGTACGAACCACTGGATTATTCGGATGGTCGTATTCGTCCGGTGAAAGGACTTCTAGATCTAGGGGACGGTCGCCTAGACTGTCGCCTAGAGCATGAAACGCTTTCCTCGGAATTTCCTGCGCTATCATAGCGATGGGGAGGAACAGCCAATGCCCGAAAAAATATATCTCAATGACAGATCCTTCATCGTTCGCAGAAATCTTTGGCAATTCCTGAACCTCTCGCGGGTTTCCTATCCAGAAACTTGGATTTGAGTCGATGTAATCTGCATCTATCCCTATCGAATTGCAGTGAAATGCCTCCGAAACTTGAGCTTTATGCCTCAGTTTCCGGAGGTGATTAGTTTTGTCTCGGAGCGGAAAACCCCATGCTCCGTGCTTTATGTTATAGACTTCGAATCATCGCTCATTACCATTTCGTTTAGGAAGTGGAGCGAGACTGGTCTAATCTAGCACGTCGCGGAGCGTCAAGAGAACATCGAGAGGGCCACGGCAGGGCATAGCAGAGCACGGAGAGCGGAGAGAGAGAGAGCAATGGCAGAGCGATAGGGAGTAACTCGAAAGGACGTAATAGAGGCGCTAAGATCGGCCAATGGCCACCCATCTTAACCAATGCCGCAGTTAGCGCAGATGGGTTTGGTTCGAGTAGAAACTGGCAAAAAAGCTATGGGGACGCTGTTGATCTCTTGACGAATTACACAGCCAGGGTCCACGTGGTCCCCCCCAAAAGTATTGAGCCATCTGGATACCCCAAAGGATACGCCTGATCACACTTGAACTCTCGGTATGTGGCCTCGCTGCCTCATGCCCTGTCCCATGCCCTGTCCCATGCCCTGTCCCATGCCCTTTCCCATGCCCTTTCCATAGCTCTCACAACTCCGTTCACTCAGCCTAACTATCAGCTCGTGAAATTACTATCTTTTCCAGCGCTTATCCTAAAGCCTCCACCTCTAACTAGAGGCAATATAAGGTCGAAATACAACCATGCTCGGTCCTAGTCGAATTTTTCCCGGAGATCGACCCTCAAGAAGTGACGAGTAGGTTCCTAAATTGCGCGCTGACACCCATGGAGGGACAAGGTTCGATATTTACAGCTCTAGTGAGTTGGAGTTGCGGGAAGCATCTGCGTCGATCCGACAAAAACCACTTGCACGGAGGCGAAGCTGTTTGTCCAGAGAACGTCAGTGCCACTGTGGCGTGGACATACTGCAACAATAAGGCTGCAACAACTCAGGCCGAGCGCAAGGCTTCAAACGAGTAAGGAACGAACAAGACAAAGCAGTAAATTAGGTTCAATGCGGCTATGGATTCCAAGACAGAGCAAGCACTGATAGGAATGTGACATACGCAGCAGTTGCCGCAAAGATCTCCACTCTCCTTGCCGTCGTGAAGATGGCCAAGCAGATCGAGAAAAGGGCCGAATAGGCCAAGAGGACGCCGAGTCGGTCAACCATGTTGTTGACAAAGTAGAGGGTGAATATCGATGCAGCGGGGATGACCGAGGCAAGCACAACTCCCACGAGATGCGAGAGGGCGCGAACATGGGTTTTACGGTAGTTGCAGATGCCAGTTTCGGGGTCAACGGGTCGCTAGGAAGGCGGTTAGAGGGCAGCTCAATATAGGGAGGGTGGTATAGGTACCTTCCATCGATGTCCGATCAGATTGTGGAATCGCCCAATAAGTTCGTCCGACACCCATCTCGAGAAGTAGTCCTTCTCGACGGCCTCATGCGATACGGTAACGAGGTCTGACGATCTGTCGTCGCAGTTGGGATCATTGGGATCATCAATGTGGAAAATATCCCGTTCGACGCCGCGAAGGAAGTTGTCACCGTACTCTCTGTGTTCGAGCCAAAGCCGCAGTGTTTTCAGGTCGTGTTTTGTGGGGTTCTGCAGTGCGCATAGTTCCTTGTACTGAAGTAGCGACTCGTCTAGACAGATCAGATGCTAAAGTCCGTGACGGGTTGGAAATCCTGATATTATATGAACGTACTGTATTCCCTCAACTTCACGCGGATTTTCTGTATAATATCCCATTGCTCAGAGGGTTCATCATCCTCATCCAAACCCCGGCTCAACTCAAACCAGTTTCTTTGCGCTGCGATGCCTTTGAGGTCCTGCTTCTCTTCCTCTTCGGCTCGAAGATCTCTCAGCTCTGTCTCCAGATGAGTGATCTCCGCTTGTAAGAACAAAAGATTCTGAGCGTTCAACGATCCGAACCGACGGAAAATAGCGACCTCTGGCCATGTGCCCATCAAGTTGGACAGCTTGGGATAACTGCCCATACTCCAAGACCGAGTGATACCGACTTGCGGGGTTTGCACCTCAACTTCACTCCCTACCACTACCACAGTTTCTGGTGACGATGAAATTTTCTCCAAAGACATGGCGGGCGGGTGCCTAGGCTCTTAAGAATAACGGAACAGTTGTTGATTCCTGAGGCACGAAGTGGCAATTCCAGCCTTTTGTGCCATAGTTGAGTGCATCTCACCTGGGCTGAAAGGTGTGTGGCGGAGCTATATGCAGCTGAATGCACAGCCCGCGGCACTACACGAGAGAGCCGCATGAGGGGCTGAGACGAGACCTGGCCATTGACACGTACAAAACCCTTGCAGCTGAAGAAGCAAGGCTTGCCAGATGTTCAGGCTTATGTGCTCACCAACAGTTGCTCGCCTTGCCACAACCTCTATCGCGCAGGAGAGGGCATTCAATCCGGTTGTCCGCTAGCTTGCTGATACAGACCGTCAGCGCCTGAATCTGCAACTTATACACCTCGGCCCCCCCCCCTCTGGCCGGTCGGTGCCCGTGCCCACGCGGATGGCGCCTCATCGCGGGGCACGTCTCCGCGCCTGGTCAAACTCGGTCTTTGGCCGTGACCCTTCACCCAACCGGGACAAGACAGCGAGTGCTCTGCATCACCTCGCATCGGCAGGTCTGGATCTTATTATATCGCCTACTGAGGAGGAAGTATGGGCGGAGCAGGCTCGAAATGCAGCCTCAACTGTCCTCCAGGAGCTTGAAAAGGTTTCCAGCCGTGATCCTTTGAAGCCGGGCCAGTTGTCGCGAAGAATCACGATAGAGGTTAGTGAGCTTTCCTAGAGCAAAGATACCCCATGCTGACGCCGCTCACAGGTCGTGGACGATGCCCAGTCCGAGAGTGGAATCCACCCTATCACGGGGGTAGACGATAATCCCTTCGATACCCAAGGACAGACGGAAGACGACGAAAGCTACTACGATTTCGAGGAGGACATTTATATCGTCAAAAATGAAGAAGGCAAAATCTTCAGCCGAGCGATGATCGATACGGGCATGGATGGGAATGCAATCAGCGTCGAAAAGGCGAAGTTGACAAACATACCGATCGAGCCATGGACTGGGGGCAAGCTGCGTGATGCCGACGGAGAGCCGTTCGAGCCAGAGGGCTTGCTGAAAGCGCAGTTCCATTTCAGTGGGAAGATGCAGACAAGCCGGAGTTGGCAGGTCGAGTTCATGGTCTTACATGATCCTCCATTCGACGTTGCGATTGGGAGGCAGTTTATCAATTCTGCGAGGCTGTTCAAGAAGAGTGACGTTCTGCTTCCAATCGTGGTCAACAAGCCAAAAGATCCCAAAGCTCAACAAGCAAGCAATCTGAACGCAAAGCGAGATAGCGATCGCCAGAAGCAACTGGAAAAAGAGCGAAAAGAACTAATCCGCCAGAAAGAGAGGGAGAAGGCAAGGAAGAAGTGACCGAGGAGTGACTGGATGAGGCAGCAGCTCTCCAAATGTTGGGACGCCGGCGATGGATTTGGGTTACGACGACGTGATCGAAATGGCGCCTCTCAGCCAGGCCTACAACAAAATATACGATCGTCTTCGATGTCGTGGGATGCTCTAAGCGGAGTCTGCAACTAGGCGATCTGAAGACATTTGACAAGGCTCAATTCAGAGCCACGGCCGTAAATGCGATAGAAAAAAGGCGAACCCATGTGGTAGGATATGCGATCGGGCTGAAATTGACTCGATGTGGCTGAATGTTGCACGGCGTGAAATCGATCGACGCTGAGCAAGTGAGGTGTGGGAAATCCCCAAGGTGCTTGCACGTGACATTTGTTTTTGGACTCCACGACGCGAGGCAAAGCGAATATATCATATAATTCTTCAGTTGCAGGACGCTCGAGTTTAGAGGCTGAAGGGGGACTACGGTAGCGTCAACACGAAAGCCGGGGGCTCCCCGAGTCCCCGCCATGTGCCCCGAGCCTCCGCTCAGTACGAGGTACATACCGTTTTCGTTCAGGAAAGGGAGCGAGGCTGCTCAAGGCTGATTTAATTTAGCGCGTGACGGAGCATCCCGCGGCCACGGGGCAGAGCAGGGCCAGACTGCTCCGCTTGGCTCCGCAGGATTAAGTAGCAACATAGAATTTTAATTGCCTGTGGAGAACCGCCAAGTGATGTCTATAACAATCTACTTTTTTATATTATCTGCGGCCCTGAGAAGATTAAATTGTGGTGTCGAACCTGAGGCAGAGGAATAATTCGAGCGTTCATATCGGTGCCGTTTCTTCGTATGCACGCAACAGCAACGGCGTTGACGTCGGCTTTTACGTGGGAGCCTAGGAACAGCCGTAGTCTCCGGTCACCTGACCGCTGTAATTGAGCCCTCGAAAAACGTGTTCCCATTTCGCAAGATCCTCACCTATACTCTCCTACCGTTCCTACCATGTCCAGTACTTCCGCAATTCTTTCCAAAGAGCCTTCTCGTGCGTTGACTTTACCGACTAACACGAGCTACCCCAGTCGGTCGCGCCCTTGGTGTCATTTCTAGATGCAAGGCAATTCCCAGCCATCAGTCATTCAGTCGCGCAGGTCAGTGTAGATGGCGACAGCAGATGAAGGCCCGCTCAGGTTGCTTTCGCTGGGTGAGCTTGACCCCAGCAATATCGTGTAATGTCAACTCCTATCGCTTACGTTGCGAAATAGACGGGGGTGGAGTTCGCGGACTCTCCAGCCTGATCATTCTCAAGCACCTCATGCAAACTGTCGACGCCGACTCACCTCCTAAGCCATGCGACTACTTTGACCTCATCGGCGGGACAAGCACTGGCGGGTACGCGTCGTAGCTATGTGCGAGACCAGTTTTTCTAACATTGAGTGGTAAAGATTGATTGCGATCATGCTTGGACGGCTGAAGATGGACATCGATACCTGCATTGACAAGTATCTGAGGCTCTCTGGTGAAGTTTTTCAGCCCAAGCGCCGCCGACTTGACTTATTTGGTCGAGGCGGCGACGCATTGAAGCTGAGAGGACGATTCAGCTCTAAAAAGCTCGAGGAGAAGATACAAGAAATTGTCAAGGAACAGGAAGAGGATGCCGATGCTTTATTGAAAGTGGAGAAAAGTCCAAAGTGCAAAGTGTGAGTTCCTCTGGCAGGGCAGGATGAATGCATTTTATGACTAAATGGCCACTCACAGATTCGTCTGCGCAACTCGCGCAGACACAGGTATTCATACCGTGCTCCTAAGGAGTTATGCATCGAGACAAGTTGCCGAGGTCGATTGCACCATTTGGGAGGCAGCCCGCGCAACTTCCGCTGCCTCTGGGTTCTTTGACCCTATAAAAATAGGTAAATTTGGGGAGCAATTTTTGGATGGGGCCACTGGTGCCAACAATCCAATCGAGAAAGTCCTCGAGGAGGCACGAGCCATTTGGCCCGATTTGACGGAGAGACTACAATGCATCGTCAGTATTGGAACTGGACAGCCTTCGCTTTTGCCATTCGGAAGCAATCTCAAGCAAGTTGCGACTACACTGATCAACATCGCTACAGAAACTGAGAACACGGCAAAGAACTTCCAAATCAACCATGTTCCGTCGCTTGGGAGCCCGAGTCACAAAAAATATTTCCGGTTCAATGTGGCAAAAGGCCTCGAGGAAGTTGGACTCGAAGAACATGAGCGAAAAGCACAGATTGCAGCTACCACGAAAGTATACCTAGAAACTCCCGAAACTGGAACAGACATTCAGACATGTGCGGCTCTCTTGAAAGGGGGGACCCCTGGTCAGTGATGTCCATGTATAGGTAGCCCATTAACTAAGTATCTTGGATAGACAGAATTCCTGAGAGTCATCGTCTGCCCAAACCACGAATGTCTACCCTCATAGCACGCCTCAGAGCAGCCTCCACCAGAAGTCTCACTCGATGGTGTAGTGATGTCGCAGATCCAGAGGAAGGAACTTTCGAGTGGATACTGAAGAGGCCAGCGTTTTTGACCCTGCTTCAGCCGGACTCCTCTGGAATACTGCATATTTTGGGAAAGCCAGGATGCGGCAAAACTGTCCTTGCAAAGCACATTTACTATAAGTTTGATGCTTTTACTGGGCCGGCAACAAAATATCCAGTTGGCAAAACCCTTCTCTTTGCCTGCGACGCAGCCGTTGACGGATCACGAGCCGCGATAAACATTCTAACCTCTCTGATGACGCAGATGTTAGAGTTTCAAGAGGAGTCCAAGGAGCCTCTGGAGCCCCCATTATCCTCTCTGGCGCTCGAAGAAACATGGTCGTTTCATCAGCTTGCAGAAGCATTTTCTGGTTTGATAACTGGGCTCTGGCCTCATATTCTGGGGACCAGAAAGTATGCAATTGTAATAGACGGCCTCGACGAGTGTGACTCGGGATCTGAACGCGATGCACTGCTGGAGCTATTCTCTAAGGTAGCTGGAGCCTCTCAAGGCGGAACAACCCCCGTCGCAATAGTGGCAACCAGCCGTCCATACGCAGAAATCTCCTTTTCCGGTGGGTACACAAATATACTCGATCTCAACACGGAGAAAGCGATGGACCAAGATCTGGCCACCTATATCCGGCATGGAGTTGCCAATTTGGTCAGCAAGCGTCCGAAACTTGCAGCATATCAACAAGTCATCGTCGATAAACTTGAGAATCGTGCTGATAAGATGTATCTCTTGATCAGGCTGCTGTTGGAAGTCTTGCTACACATGATCGACTCTTCGCCCTATTCTATCGACTCAATCCTAGTGTCTCTGCCAGAAACTTTATCAGACATCTACGATCAAATCTGGTCAAGGGTCGCAAGTGCAGAAGAAGGGCGGGCCAGGATGATCTTTTCTTGGTTGTTGTGTGCTATTAGGCCGTTTACGTTGATCGAACTTGGGATTGCCATTGCGACATATGATTACAATAAGTGGCATCAGCAGCACGAAGGCACAAAGTTTCGCTTGAACATAGCCGGACATGAGACAACTAGACATATCCAGGACAAGAATGGGCTATTGACTAAGATCCCACCTTTTCACCGTGCGCGTTTCGAAGGGTATATACCCTTCATGCCGCTGGATCTGGAGGGAGACTTGAACAGATTATTTGGGCCTCTGGTCAAGATATCAAGATCCCATAAGCTAAGCCGTGAGGGTTCTGAACATGAAGACTCCACGACTGAGGAGTCAAGAAATACGGAAGAAGGGCATACGAATGTTACGCATGTCAACCTTGTTCATTCGCCGACAGTAGACCGCATGCCCTGGTTTAGAGCAAAGCAAAACGGAGATTCCACTGCGGCGTGGCCATCGTCGCCAGAAGGGTGGTACGAAATTGATGAAAGAAAGGCCCTCGACGTAATACGAAGAACCGAGAGATTGCTGGGGCCCTATTCCACCAGCAAGGGCCGCGACTATTCGACTAAAGACCTTGAGCCTAAGGTTACACTCTGCCACCAAACAGTGCAAGAACACTTTTCCTCCAAGCCTGGGTTCCTAGATGAACCAGGTACGCATCTGCAACTGGCAGAGCTCTGTGCCCGGACGCGGGATGGAACGGTCACAGGAGACAGCGACACCGAGTCGATCGATACCTTGGATGAGGCTACGGCGACACAGCCCGACGATTCACGGGACTACTCAGAGTACTGGCGAGATCATCGACTGATGGCGGTAATGCTAGATCCATGGTTAAATGGTAAGGTACGACTGAGACGGAGAAGGACGGCTCCTTCGAAACTCGTCATTCGCCAGCGCGAATCCGACTACAACTTCTAGTCCTTCGAGAGGCGGTTCGAGACTTCTGTCTGTCCAGACTTCACCAGTCAAAAGTCATATCTGCCGTGTACGGTTCGACCAAGGGCACGAGTTCACTTTTCAGTGACAGAAGAATTCACTCCTCTAATCGCCGTGGTTATATTTACACAGTCGCATCCAGAAATCGGAGCGTCAGAAGGCACCCGAGCCAGGAATCTTCCGAAACAACATAGCGGTCGAACGAGGCCTAAGTGGCCTGCTCGAGAGTCTCACACTCCGCAACAACCGGTCTGGGCAGTCCCCGACTTCGACCCTACAAAATCAAACGCGCATAGCTCCTTACGTGGAAAAAGTCCGAAATAAAAGCTATTCAGATCTGGTGGGGTCGAGTATAATGTCACAGGTGCAGCAAGAGCCATTTTGCAAAATAAAAGTCGTCGCCAAAATTGCTTCTTGTTGGCAGGTGACTAAATAGGAGAGAGGAAGGTGAGTCGCGAGCAAGCGGCGCTGTCGGGTTGAGTCCACAATGGAGCTCCCAGCAGTTCTCACACTGCGTATCCCGCCAAGAGGACCACGCAAGTTTTGAGACTCGTCAGCCGAGCGGTCCATTTCGTCGAGCCCTTGTGCCATAACATGGATCAGGGCTGCATGAGCGCCACTTGCTGTGCCCTCTCCGCGAGGTCAACCAAATATGCATCTATCAAGATGACAACGAGGAGCGTCATCCACCAAGTGCACCAAATGGGCAAACTTTATGCTGGAGCACAACCCGTCATTGTGTGGCTGGGTATGAGAAGAGCTCTGGTGCGCGATATGTCTTTGACACTATTAGCCGCAGGACGGCCTTCCAACTGTCCACCTTCGGCATCGAAAGAGATCTCGAGTTCTGGAGTACTGTTATCAGACGACGAATATTGGAGTCGGTTGAATGATTCATGAAGTTCTGCTTGCGACCGATATTGAACTGGCCTGTGGCAGGAAACCTCTTTCTTCGCAGGTGTTGAACTCGTCGCCACTGATGGCAACATACGACAGGGTTTGTCCTTCAAATTCAACTAGGGACAAACTTTCAACTACAGCAGCAATCTGGTTGATTGGAACATGATCTTTGAGTGGCGGCGTGGTTGCTCTAAATTCGATACCTTCAGGCAAACTTCTCACACTTTCCAAAACGAAAAACTGCTCTCTGATGCACGATCGGTTATTTGGGTGGTCATCGTGAGCAGTCCATGGCGACCGTTTTCCGATTGATTATAAGAGAAGTAAATGGGAGTTGTTCCACCAAGTGATGCACATATTCTGGTATGATGGCGGTTGTGCGCTCGCATGGGACCTTGCGGATGCCTTACAATTTGACCTAGAGAGTCTATTAAGCTCTCCCACAATGGCGAGTGGTCCTGCGTTTCAATTGAGCCGGAACTCCAACCTCTCCGATGCGCCAATCTGGGCATTCCTAAGATTGAATATGCGGGAGCTCTTACTGACTCCAGGCATTATTGGAAACCTGTCCTACCCATGTGGCACGTGCCCTGCCCGTGCAGCGAGAACGGGCATGCAGCAGCTCGACCAGCCTATATCAAAAATGTCCCATGCGTCAGAGAGCAATCATTAGAGTGTCGGTGTGTGGAGACACGAAGTTGCAGAGCTTTCCATAATGGTTATTCCACCTGAATATCGAAACCTCACGCCATTTCGAGAAAGTACGCAAAAGTACCCTAGGTCCTTTTGCTCGAGGTGAGACGGAGCGATGAATCACGATCCAGAGATGCTCACAGATTCAATCTGATCCTTCGCAAAATGCAGTCCAACCTCTCCTGCCGATGCCCGAACTGCTTGTACTTCTCTTGAGGCAGTAGTGGGATACTGTTACGTAAAGCCAGTCTCGATGAATTCGAAATGGCCAAGGCTCTCTCCATGGAAGAGGGTCTCAAAAAATTCCAGCTCTACTGTCAAGGACGTTTGTTCGGGCTAATGGACCGCCACTTTCCAAGACCACAGCATGCTCATCGTTTAAAATCGAAGATGGAGGCAATTCTCATGAAGCAAAACTGATGAACGTTCCTGAATCTTTTGGACAAGACGATCTTCAAAACGAACATATCGACTCCAATAATAAGCCGAAAAGTCTTGTCCGTATTGGCCCTTGAAAATTTGGAGAGATACTTTGACATTTCGGCGCCGCATTCGGGCTCGGCCTACGTCTTATATCATGGGCAATCTAAAGTTCGTGATCTTCAACCGCTATAGATCGGCATCACTGTTCCAGAATGGAACAGCTTGCAAGGCAATAATACGATACTGGCAAAGTCAAGAGCTTGATCGGACGACCTAATCCGCGTCGCACATCGTGATCGCTCTTATTGTCCAAATGAGTGGATTGAGCAGTGCTCTGACCGGCTGCCCTGCAACCGGGCATCTGTCTGATATATATATATACATGACAAATGAGTGGGCTGAACTGCTTTGACAGGCAGTCTGAGTCAGCGACAGCGATATCAGTTGGATGAATCCAGTTCAGCGGGGGAAATGGAGCCAATACCGGCTCGTATTTGAGGTCAGGGGCTGACGAGGTTCTACAAGGCTGTCCTCGTAAGCGACTCGTCGACAAGCCGTTGGTGTTGTTTCACACTCAGCCTGTACAGGGTCATTGTTGTTGCCAACCCGGCAGCTCCCGCCAGGTTCCAGGTAGCCTCGCGTGTTCTCCACCCGAGTTGATCCAACATTTCCGAAAACCTGTCAACTTAATCCCCAATGGAAATCACATAGCGTTCGTATAATCATTATGAGTGAGTTTCTTAGCATTCGTATCTTTTGCCTTGCTGACAATCTTGAAAAGAAGTCTGGTGTAGAGGCAAATGTTTGCGAGGCATGGGGAGATCATTGATCCTGCCATTTCCCGACAAGGGATGCACTGACAGTGATGAGTAAAGTCTTGACCTTCCTCGCCCACTTTGTCTTCGAGTTCAGATCAAACAAAACATCTGGTGATTCAGCGGCTCTTCGCGGAAAGGCATGAATTACCCATTCGCACGCTTGACGCAGCTGGGAGTCGGCTTGGGGATAGACGGAACAGCGTGCGATGCTGTTACCATTCTCGCTGTCGTTTCCAGGGCGCACTTTGCTTGGCCGACTGACGGGGCCACATGGATTACACCACCGACTCTTCCATAGAGCTTGCGAGTTTTGAAGGGGGGGAAAGCATAGGTCAAGTCAAGATTAACGCAGACTCGCAGACCAATCACGAAGCTCCCCCTCCAGCAACATCTCCAGCCTGTTCGGGAATGGTTCCTGGTCACATCATAAAGACTTACTCATCAATCAACTTCCACCTTCTTGTTGTGCCAGAGAACAGCTTCCCCAGTGCAAGCTGCATTATTCAGCAGCAAGAAGGCCAGTCGAGTCATCCCGGGCTCGGAAGAATTTCACCAAGCGCCGCGAGACGGGTAACCGTGGTCTCCGCGTATCACCGCGAGAGAAGTCGACTTCTGCTGCGTTGTCCAGTTCAACGCGGGCAATTTCAACGTTGCTGATCATTGCTTCAATTTGGTCGAGCTGATTGGAACATATACCTTGATCAATGCGCTTGACAAGAGCCTGAAATCACAAGGCGACTTCGGGCTATTCGATTTCATCCTTCAGTGTGGTTTTCACGATATGTGGCTCGAACACACATCTGAGGCACGGGTACAATTCCCAGCAGCAATGATGGCGACTCTCTCAGATTACATACCCTTTTTCTATCTTGCGCTGCTCTCCCTGATTGGGTGCTCCTGGTCAAGTACCCGGGAGGCATGAAAGCAACCTCGGAGCCGCAGTCCATTGCCTCTTAATGGGGTCTTTCAGCGCCGGGAAGACGGAACAGACCAAGAGACGTCTAAGTACAGCCAACCTGGCCAGCAGGTGGGCGGCATCAATCCTGCAAAAACCACCCAATTACGCTGAGAGCATCTTTGTCTCTAGTAAAGAACAGGTACGTATCGCAGTATGTCTGATTGGTTCGCAGAAAATAGTCCTGAGTCAAGTGCTACGTAAGCAGGCACCTGGCGGCGCCAGCAGGAGCGGTCCAACCAATGCAGACCCATGCGAAGTATGAAGTGGCTACCGATGCATTCTCGATTGGGCCATTTGGACCGATCACTGACCAAAAGCTCGATCCTCGGAAAACTGCTAGGAATGTGAAGATGATGATTGGCAGCCTGGTGATCAAGACCACATGCTGGCCCGGCTCCGCATGTATGCAGCGTCAATACGGGGATACGGAGTACGAAGTACAATTATGGAAGACTTCCCCGGCGATTGTAGTCTTCTTCATCAGAGCTGGACTCAGCAAAAGATGGGCAGTTGTACAGGTCTCCAAGAACGGGGCCTGAGACGGCGGGGAAGTCACTCTGTAAGATACGCCCTGTCACTCTTACCTGGGAACGGTCCTCCTCATACGTGTATCGTGCTAGAATAGTCGAGGAAGATCTTCCGGTCGCCAATCACGTCAGTCTGAGATTGACGACAATATCAGAAGACTGCAAAATCAGGTTGTCGAGCTCAGAATGGAGTGTAAAATCCTGCAGCAAGCACGACATGACTCTATCCGCGTGGCCGCGCAGATGATCAAGGAAATTGAACGCTTGGAGAACGTCCTCAAGTCTGTGCTCCAGCAAAAAGAGGGAGCTTCGAAGGACGACTCGCCTTGAAGAAGAAACGACAGACGAGACTGGCACTGACCGGATCTTCACTTCAGATGTGGTGTTGCATCTGCCATCGATCCTTGGTAAGCGGGAGTCGAGAAAGCCAGATCTACCATTCACTTGAGCAGTCTGTTCTGTTGATGCCTGCACACGTATGCAATAGAACAGCCACTCTTTTACCTTGAAGCACCCTTTACCGTTGGCTTTGCGGAGCTCAAAAGCGGTTCCTAAAAACGAACTGGGTGGTCGTCTGTTGGGTTGCAATGTGCAGGACTGGTTCATAGGCGAAATCTGGAATCCCACGGCATAGGCGCGGTAACGGCATTGGGAGGCTGCCAGTGTTAACAGAATTCGTCGAGAAGGCGATGAGGTCGAGGCATACGCGGTTGTTTTGACCCAGCAACAGGGAGACCCGTTTGAGGACTCTCCAAACCGAAGAATTGCCCGAACCCATCCCATCTATTGCTCTCGCGGATGGGCCTTCCCAAATCAAAGTGCCTAGGGGCCCGTCTGTATGCTAGACGAGCAATTGGTCAATAGGATTGGTTCCCCCCGGCATTGATTCAGCAGGGATATGGGCCAGTATGAGAGAAGTCCTGCTCTTGAGCACGAGACTGCATTTAGCTGGTGGCTCAGATCCACACCTCCAACTGAGGAATTGAGATGATATCAATCACTACACGAGGCCTTGCAGACACTAGGACCAAAATAGCCGTCAACCGCTGCATCCATCTCTGCAAGTATTCCAGTGCCGATCTGACCGCTGGTGCTGGCAGGCGATCTTTGTGCGTCGTGTTCAACGTCGCATCGATGAGGACACTTTCCGCCTTTGCATGATTAGTCCATGAAGGCTTGTGGTCTCTTCCATTTGGTCGAGAGGAGAAAAAGAAATGACGGTCAACGACGAGCAGGAGGTAATGTGTATCGCTAGCAGGTATCATATCGTTATGACAGCTGAGCACCAGACATTGTCGTGTTCGGCCATGACACGCACATCCCGGGCCAGATTGCTCATGCTAATTATTTTGCGAGCGGCATCATGTTTCTCCTGCGACTGATACACAATGCCTCGTTAGAATGCAATCCCGGAAGCCCCAACCCAAGATGGGTGGTATGAATGCGATGTAAAAGCGGTGTCGCGGAAAGCTCACACCGCTCAACACGGTGTGGCGTTTTCGAGGCTTGCAAAGTCCGAGTACACGAAGACTCGATTTCTCCGCTGATGCAACACGGACTTCCTCAGGTGACGCAAACTTCCATGTTTTCAATTCCTCGTGGCTTGACTTCAGAAATACGACCCATTCTGTCTGTCCAATCCCGTGCCCATCAATATAAAGGTGGCTGGGAAAGAGGCTACTGAAGCCACACCGTCATGGCACGCAAGATTTCGGAGCAGCAGCATCCATCCGCCGCTGCAGGGTATACGGAATAAATGAGACAGGGAAAAATAACTTGCTCCTTTTGAAACACCAGTGAATGCGACTTTGTGCAAGCCAGGTTGATAACTGGCCTGTGCCTTGCAGCAAGCGCAGGAACGGCTGGGAACAGAGAGCAGCTTAGACATAGATACGAATACCACCTACCGACAGCAACGATTGAGGCTGGTGGGCCTCACTAGGCCCTGAGCAAAGCCTTACCCTCCCTGAACCCCCACCGAACCCCAACAGACAAGTCTTTTGCCGTAGTTGCTGCACCACACTCAAGTGCTTGGATACTCCCTGAAGTCGTTGTTGAGTCACGCAGCTACGTGTTCAAAACAGAATTGCTATGGGACTTTATGCCAATGAATCCCGGCAGCAACACGTCAAGTATCATCATGCGGATCGTACCGTGCAAACCACACAATAGATGATCTTCTTGTGGTTGTTGGAATGGAGGGCTTGCCAATCATTCCGAGGCTGACGCTGGGATGGAAACACTCGAAGATTTTCGGCTGGAAACGTCGAAAAATCAGCAGGCACTGGGGGTTGTTTGGAATGCGGCCGTGTGCCGATTGGCTCTTGAGGGCAAACATTTAGCGTAGGCGCTTAGATGCAGAAGCGTGCTGGGCCGCCTGAAGCCTAGGGACCGTGACCAGCAGTTCCCGTTCGGGTCTGCACCGCATGCCTAGCGATCCGGCCTTTTAACTTTAGGGATGGATCGAGCCCAGGCTTTCAACACCCCTTCATGACGGGTGACAAAGGTGACAGTCGTGTCGGAGACGGCACCAAGAGTGTGGCAGAACGCCGAGAGGAACGCCTCCTCTGCCATGGGTTGTAAGATGTCACTGTGAAGGAAGGTTCACGGCGCCACCGCAAAAAAAGGGAACGTGGAGTCATGGACACACACAGCTTGCCACGTTCCTCCACACTCGTTGCTCCGTCGACTCTTGAGCGTTGATTCTGGCTCGCCCCGTGGCTGCTGGCGCGTCTCCATTCGAGCGTTGTTTGATCGACATAAATTTTCCGGCGCATCGATCATACCTGCTCTTAATTCTTACATATTAATGTCGCACATTGGGACTCTAAAGCATTCCTTTGATCTGTAAGTGAATGAATGAATTGCATTGTACAGGGATGCAGCGGTCGGCTGGCGCAAAAACAGGTGGTACTTGCGTCGCTCGCTCGTTGCGGGAGTCGGGCACTACTGCTGGTCATTGTTCTTTTTCGCCCGGACCATACTGGAACGGCTCTTCGGGCCACTGGGCTTTGGTGAGGGCGGGTGTGCAGCGCAGGTATCGATATACCTACCTATTGCCGAGTGCTCTGGCCTGAAGAATGGATATCGCCCTAAAGTTGATCCCGGTTTGGCCTGTGGAGGGGCCAAGTTCAGGGTAGAACTGGTCGAGCTGGGGTGCCCAGGAACAGCAGGCTAACTAGCATATTGATTCAGTGAAGAAATACCTCGTACCCCGTACTGCAGTACTCGGTAGTCTGTATCTCTTTCCTCGCCCACGGAAAAAAATCCTGTGCCGGGCTCCTGTCAGGTTCGTGTCATTCTGTGAAAGGTGCGACAGATCGAAAAATGGTCAAATTGTCCTGGCAGGACAGGTCTGGCTGTACCACTGCCTGCGTTCGAGGCTATTCGCTTGGGTTTTTGCTCAATATCGACTTGGACTTCCTGTATCAAGGTCAGCAACCGAGAGACAGTCCACGTAGTGATATATAACACCTTCCAATGCACACAGGTGTATAGCCGCCCAGGCAATTTGTGAGGAGATTAGGCGGTACGAATTGGTATCGGCCCTCACACCCTTGCAAGCTTCGGGTCGCGGTGGAGTTTCACTGGGTTCAATGGGCTCAATGGTCGAGTGATGAAAGTCAGACAGGGAACAGTGCGCTGGAGTCTTGAGTGAGCCGCATATTGTGATTTGATGGCTGTCTGAAGTTGGGGCGTGTGACGAAGACCAGGGCGCATGTAGGCGCAGTGAGTGCAGCCAATCGAAGTACTGTAAGCGCCCAAGCCTGGCTAGTGCAGCCTGCGCTGCATCTCGTGCCTTGTCCCTCCACTCCTCTTCCCACCATCCACCACCCACCACTCTCCATCAAATCTTCACTCTTCGTCCATCCAGATCAACCTGCATTCGACCTAGAGCCAGGATTTGCCATGATTCGACCACGCCGCCCAGTTTATGCACCCTCACATGCTGCTTGCTGCGGGGCCGCAATCAAGCGCCCGCCCGCCAGTAAAGCTTCACGCCTGTGTTTCCATCATGTCGTTGGTACCTCGCAAGCCTCGACAAGCCATGACTGCCATCTTCTCGAATGGTTCCCGTTGCTGTCGATTGCCTATACTTCCTTTGCTGCGCCTCTCTTTGCCCCTTCAAGTGGAACTCGTCGATCCCTCGGGCCTGCGATCCCACACTTGAGCGAGAGATTTCTGTCTCAGCAGTTCATTTCCTTTGAACCAAACTCTCTGCTACTCTCTGGCTGCCGGCCTCCGGTACCTGCGATCGCGGGCAATATTTCCCGGATCTTAAATTCTTCTCCTGATCTAACCACGACGTCTCCCAATCCGTGGTGTGCCCTCCTATAAGCTCGTCTGCAGGAGCGAGAGCCCTCCGCGGTTACGTTGGCGCCCGCCGACCACACCTCCTCAGGCTTCCACAAGTCACTTGCGACAGAGAAGAAGTGAAGGGGATACATCCTGCCACTAACCACTCCCCTGGTTCCACGGCCGAAAGTTCAGTCGAGATCCCAACAACCGATTCTCTGGAAAAACTCAGGTGAATCTTGGTTGAGGCCATGTCCTAGTCCGGGACTGTATCGCGAAAGAGGTACTCAGAAGCCACGTCGTCCTATATATTATCCCTTTCATAAAGGTGCTGATAACCGCAGTCGCAGTCCCCCTCTGTTGTGGACCCGATTCAACATGTCTGCAGGACCGGGTCTGTCCAGGCAGAGATCTGTCTCGAGCAAGTCGAAGGGAGTAATACGTCCACCTATCCCTAGATTAAGGCCGTCTGGTGAAGACGCCGCCTTTGAACCATGCGCATCGACAGCCTCCCTCCTCCTCTTCGCCCATGGCGCGACAATTATATGCCTGCACCATGATACATTGGCCGTTGAGCGTCGGTTTGAAAAGCACTCGAAAGATATTCAATTGATATCCGCCGATAATGTCAGCGAAACTGGGGCTGGAAGGCTAGTTATCACCTACGATGTGGGACAGACGGCTATTGTTTGGGACTTATTCACTGGCGAGCAGCTCTCCCGTTTTGTATCGTATGAATCTTTGACGGTTGCGCACTGGATGAGAAACGGGAATGTCGCCTTCGGTGAGTCGCGTCTTCTCTGCAGCCTCATTGTCCTCCTGCTGAAATCGTGCAAGGAAATGCAAAAGGCGAAGTGATATTGTTCGAACCCGCAACAAGTGACCATATCTCAGCCCGGACTATATTCGATCCCATTACGGCGATAGCCCCGTCTTCAGATTGCAAAACTTATGCCATCGGGTAGGTAAGCTTGCAGTGCAGAAATGAATTATGCTCATCTTCGGCAGATATAAAAATGGGTCCATTTTGTTGGCAGCATTACAACCGTCCTTCACAATTCTACACACTCTGACAACGTCCCGCGCGCCCTCGCCAATTGTTTCTTTAACATGGCATGCCTCGTCCTCGAAACAGAAGTCTGACATGCTTGCAACCCAAACAGCAGACGGAGACTTGAGGGTCTGGAGCGTCTCCAAACCACCAACAGCCGAGGCTCCTCGAGTTATTCGCGTCTTAAAGCGTACCGACACTTATTCTCCTGGCCGAAATTGGATTTCTTGGTCCAAAAATGGCCGGATCGTTCAATTCAGCGAAGGCAAAACCTGGGCTTGGGACGTCCGAACCAAACATGTCACCTACGAGCCTATCCCGACGGTGGACGGGGTTAGAGCCATTGCTTGTCACGGGCCGACGGGCACCTTGTTTACCTTGGGACCGGATTACACAGTGCAACAGTATGATGTCGAAAGGGCGCTTTTGGTTGCAAACATACGACACTTGCCATTGACTGTTCCGCCCACACCGCCAGAGGATATAAGAGGGCCGACGTGGACGACATCTGAAAGCGAAGAAGAGCTAGCGTCTCCTCTTGTCCGGGCCCGACGGGAACTACGTGCTACTGAAGCAGCCAAGTATGACCGCAACAATATTCCTAGCCCTCAATCGGCTCTTAGTTCGCAGAAAGGTGGTTCCAAGAACGGAGTCAACGACATAATCTCGCCTGCTGGGAGGACCGACTATACGACCACATCGTTCGACACAGGCATTCAGTCACAAGCAACATTGTACCAGCCACCTGCACAGCTCTCTGGCCAGGCTTACCAGCCTCAGTCTCCTGCATCTGCAAGGACAGCCAGGAAAGGTTCTCGTTTGAGGCAGGAAGTGATTATGAGCCCCGAAGAGGCACAAGTTACAGAACTCTTCCCCTACACTAGGGCTCGACTGCACGATGTGCCGTATCGGGCCCCAAGATCGCTCGATGAGAGCCACATGACTCCAGATGATTTGCGAAGGCAGATGCTGAGCGTTGTGTTTGGTTGGGAAGAAGACGTCCAAGACCTTATTCGCGACGAATTGAGCCGCCATCCCAGCGATAGCCAAACCGCTATTTTTCTCGCCAAGTGGCTCGACGAAGACCCTGACTACTTGGCCGAGATCATGGGATCTACGGGGAGCGTCGCCAGTCTAGACTGGATGCTGCTGGCTTTGGGTACAATTAGCAACCAGGTGGGAGCGAAGAAAATCACGCAAGTCTTCATCGAGAAACTGTTGGCCAAAGGCGACATCCACGCCGCAGCTACTCTTCTGCTTGCCCTTGGCGACAGGAGCGATGCGATCGAAGTCTACGTGTCGAGGCATCAGTACATGGAAGCAGTCTTACTAACCTGCCTTGTCACACCAGATGACTGGCAAAGGCAATCATATCTGGTGCGCCGATGGGGTGAACACGTTGTCGAGAACTCGCAACAATCGCTTGCTATCCGCTGCTTCTCGTGCACAGGCGTCGAGCCTTCTGATCCTTGGACCTCACCGAATGCTCAACTAGCCACGAGAATCGTGCCGGAACCTGTTTCAAGTCCTCAAGCGCCGCCCCATTTGGAGCCTCTGGAGCCTCGGGAGTATCCTGCGATTTTCCAGAAGACTCTGGAGAGACGGCGGACGCTCGATGCCCCAACGCCGGTTGCCATGCCACCGCCGCATATGATGTCGGCCATCCATCAACCGCCCACGCCATTCAGGACTGCTGCTGCCCAAGGAACAAGAATTACTCCTCAAACATCGGCATTGAAACTCATCACCTCATTCGGAGCCCAACCGAACAACAACTTTAAATTTCCCGGGCTCAAGCCTGAAGACCGAACGCCAACTGTTGCTGCTGCTGTAACGCCCATTGCGGAATCAGCTATAGATAGATCCGCTCTGTCACCCGGCGGTCTAGGCTCTTATCGCTTGAACAACATTCGCAGCATCAACAGCGCGCTCTCGGGCAAGACCGCAACGCCAGGCGGCTTCCAGCCGAGTCGATTGGCGGTAATTGGGGAGACACCTGTCGATGTTGACGCTCCGCAGCTTTCAGGTTCATTGCCGCAGAGGTCTGTGTCTGTGCCCGCCGAATTGACAGCCTCCAAGCGGGCGGACGGCGAAGAACAAAATCCTGCTGTGAACGACACCCAACGAGGAAAGCAATCCTTGACACTGCTGACATCCGCACGGTATGAGCCATTAGCCACACCAGTGAAGGAAACACCACAAACAGCTGTCGGACCACAGACCGCCATCAAGTTCCCGGGGTCCGGCGCGCAATTTAATGTCGGCCTAGGCCATGATGAACGGCTCTTGGATGCATCACGGCCAAGGACTGGCTCGAAAAGTCGAAAGCCTGACGGACTCTCAATCCAAACTATCCACGTTTCGAGTCAAGAATATCTGCCGTCTTCCAGCTACGGAGAACCCGCTAGCAGACCCGCCACCACAGGAACGTACTTAAACACTCAACTCGATACCGCCGGAGACCTAACAAGTCCACCGACTACTGACCTTAGCTATCGGAGCGTTAAGAGCCCTATGGTTACCGGCCGAAGCATCGATCAGTATATTAGTAGTCTCGAACAAGCTCAATATTACGCGAAACATTCTAGAGCTCGCGGTTACAGCAGTAATAGCAAACAGTCGAGGGATGACCAATCAGACCGGAAAAAGAGCAGAGCTGGCAATATGGAAGACGGTGGCGAGAGAGAACCTCGACGAACAATTCCTGCAGCTAAACGATCGCCGTCCTCCCCAGTTCCAATGTCACCGGAGGATCTCCGCATGTACAGCACCAGTGTCGAAAGCTTTGACTCATTGTACAGTTCTAATTTCTCCGCGATCGATCGGTCGGAGACCCCTGGCAGCATGTCCAAACTTAGTCGTCGTGGCTCTCAATCAACTGCAAAAGGCGGCAAACCGCGCAAGAGATCGCACTCGAGACATACCGGCCCTAGGAGCAAGACGGGCAGCCGTGGTGCAAGCCGACAGCCAAGCCCAGAGCCTGCAATCTTTTCTCCAAGGGGCCGGAGCTCTTCTCGCAAAGAGAATCTAGGGCATCGTTCTCCGTCATCACCACGCCCAATGGTGCCTTCCGAAGAAGATCGACAGAGCCGGTTTGACCAAGATTCTGCTCTGAGGCTGGTTTCTAAGGACCGACACCGACTTCACCGAAGCACTAGTCGTCAACCACACCGTGATACAAGTGCAAAGAGAGATAGATCACCCGATCGACGAAGAGTTCGCGCCAGATCTCGCAGTCGTCAAGCAGAAGAGGCCACTACACTGAGTCGGAAGGGAAGCCGTAGTGAGCATCACCGTCGACATCGCCGTCCAAGTGACGCAACGTATGATCGGAGTGCCCATCCCGATGATCCTGAAGACATCAGCAAACTCAACACCACAGTCGTAGCTCAAGACGTGGTGCCGAGATCCGCCAGTCAACCTCAATTTGCATCGGGTTGGGAAGGGCAAGAGACGCTGGCAGAGCAGCCAGAAGCCCGAAAGCAGCCTCTGGATCGTCGTCCTTCTGCGCCCAACGTTCCCCTTGCAAGCGAGCTTTCTACACACTACAAGTCTGCCTCGACGAGCGAGATACCACCCCCATTATCAAGGTCGTACACTGACAATGCGATCATCAACGCATCTTCATTCCCGGAGAGTAGCCTGGGGACGGAAGTGTCCGGTCTCGGCCTACTCAAAGGAAGGCCAGGGACACCCAGGGCTATGCAGGTCGATGCCACAATCCCAGAGGGTCAGGAAGCGAACCCAATTTCTGGCGCGAGCGGTACCGAATTGTTAACCAGTGATGTTTATCGACCGCCTACCCGCGAAGACATCAGCAGACCTGGTTCAGCCCGAGCTCCCGTTTCCCTAGAATTCCTTGCCCAAATCCCCAAGCATCCCGCTTACGACCGCCGCATCGCGGGCAGTAGATCAAGCAGCAAGGGGGCTGAAGCTCGTGCAACCTCGCGGAGTCGAGGCACATCCCGCGACCGCACTGCGCGTGTATCTCCACGGGAAGTTGCACCGGCCACGATGTCAAGTCCTCCCATAGGAAGCACTGAAACATCGGTCCCTACAGCCTTCGTGCCCCAACAACCACATAACCCGCCTATTCTTCCCGAGTTGCAACACCTCGCCGAGCCACCGCCACCGCCTCCTCCGCCTCTACCGAAAGTGTCCTCCTACGCCGGAGGCAGCCCTAACCTGTCTAATCCACGTGGCTTTGATTCCATGGATGCCGCAACCGTGCCTCTGCCCATGTCTGCCTTCGCCACTCACACTACGTTCCACGATGTGCCGCCGAATACTAGTAACGCATTACCTCTGTCTGCCGGGCCCTTGTCTTCAAGCACGGGTCATAGGCGAGGGCGATCTGCGAATGACAACCAAAGCGGCAGCGGCAGTGGCAGCTCAGGAGGCCAATTGTTGAACAAATTGAGGAGCTTCACAGGAAGAACGAGGTCTCCCAGTAGGGGGAGAAGAGGTGGTGATGATAACCAAGCCATGAGTCCTAGGATTGTTGGAGTTGGCGAGAATGTGCAGCCGGCGCCATATGAGAGCATCCCGAGCGCTATGATGGGGAGTGTTGGATCTTGAAACAAGTTGCGTTCGTGAAGGCGGACTGAGTCGATGTAGTGAGCCCCCCGTGGCGGAAAGAGGCGGGGGAAGCAGAAGCAATGAAGATCAAGAAGTCCTGGGAAGTTGTTTCGAGCCGTTTCCTCATGTTCTAAAAAGCCCGGGAAAAGAGAGGTTGTGATCAGTGGCTCACGCGGGCTCAAAAAGCAAGTGCCGCTCTTCAGCGATGCCTTCTCTGCAATTCTTGACGATCCTTGCTATGAGCGATTGCAAATTGAGGAGATGAGATGAGTTGATCTATGGATAACGGAGTTGGGGATGTCGAATTAAACTAGCTAGTGACCTAGCCGATCAGGTAATAAAGTGATGGATGGAAACCACGACACAGCGGCATCGAGCCCAACGGATTTACTACTTCCCAACATGGCTGAGATTCTTTGTAAGGGGAGGGGAGGAGGGAGGAGAGACGGGCCGGTATGGAAGGAGTATAGGACGATTGAGTGACTCTATTTCATCCACTATTTAAGATATCTTGACGATGTCAATGAGATGGGTCCTATCACCACGGACGATATATGTCCTCCTCCATTCCCCATTCCCCATGTTGCCTGTTCGGACCTCTTCTGTCTCCACCTGTCCTGTTCTGTTCTGCTTCTCTCGTGTAAGATGGACCTATAAGGATCTCCCACTAGGAGGCTCTGCGCGAGGCGGGGGATGACGGGCGTATCGAGTATGGAGTACACGACAGAACCCCCTGTTTTTCACCCCCCTCGTCCGCGCCGAAAGGCCCGTGCCACGTATCGCGGACTAGTGTATGGCCTCTGGTGGAACGACCGTGTGTAATGTTTTGTATGTCACGGGGGCGTCTGATGAAAACAGGGGCGAATCTCGGGGGCGATTTTCTCGCTCTTTCCTTCTTTTTCTCGATTTCTCTGGTGTGTTTTGAGATTGCGCAAGCGTTGTCTCTCTCTCTCTCTCTCTTTCTCCGCGCACAGGTTAATTATTCCCCATTCTTTCCCACCCTGTTGAGAGGCGGATAATAGAGGGAGAGCAAAAGAAACAGACAATATCGTGAAATGTGTAGAAGATGGAAGGGCGGTGAAGATGTCTAGCTAGACCCGCTTGAACTTCTTCCTCTGGTTATAGCTGGTTTGTAGCTGGCTATTTTTAGGGATTGTTGTGCTCATAGACAGGGTGTGGCCCGGATAAGGTAGATCGTCCCTTTTTAAGGTACAATGGAAATATGACTCCGTGCAGAGAAGTTCTTCGAACTCCCTCAGCGCTGTTGTGGAGGGGAGGAGTAGCTGGTTGGTACTGTTGCTGTGCCTTGATCGACGAAGGGCGAAAGTGATTTTCTTTCCATTTGATGCCGGAGACATTTCGGTAGTCTGTGAAGATTCACTGGAATCGTATGAAGACGTTGACTGCTAAGACGCCGGTTTCGTACAAGTACAAATATCCTGCATGTCGAACATCGCGAGGTTTGGTGTGACGGGTTGGGTATGGTGATCAAGTGGCTTAGTCCTCGCCGAAGAGGACTGGGAAGCTGATAAGAGATACAGCGGACCGGGAGGCTGAAGGAGGAATGAGGGAGCTGTACTTTTCGTCCAAGGATCATCTCCTTCAGCGAACGTCTTGTAGTCGTAGTGGTCGGGTTCCCTGCCCAACAAGCAGCCTTGTTTCGACGTCCTCCGGTTTGAGAGCTTCGCAATTGGCGAGCATGGATAGCTAGTTTTCGAGGTGCCTTTCAGCCTGTCTCTTCTTTCGGTGCCTTGAACATATCTGCTCTTGACTTGACTCTCGAATCGAAAATCGGGTCCCGCGGTCTCGACATCTCTCGTTCCGTGGATTGTATCATTATGAGAGGACACCCCCATTCAGCTCATGCGCAGGTCCGACTAATTCTAATTCTTTGTCCGAAGGTGACTCAAACTCCACCACCACTCCTTCCCACGGCGACGCTCAGATCTCTGTCTTTCCTGCTCGCCAGGTATCTCTGCTTTTCCTTCTCGGCCTGGATCCAGTTCCGCCGGCCTTCTTCCTCGAGTAGTCTCGTGCGTTCGCGGGATTGCGACTCGAGCCGTCGCAGCCATAGGTAAGAGGCTACGGGGATGAAGACAATGGCGGCAAGGAAGAACTTCTTGGAGCGGCTGTTTTTCACACACATATAAACACACAAATCAGTGATCAGCCCAAGGATGTTTTGTGAAGGTCAAAGAACTGGTAAGGTGATCAAGGGAGTGGGCTCATTCCATACGTGAGGTAAGGGCCAGGACGGTAACCCGGGATGGAGCTCGGTTGTTGTGAATTGGGTGTAGACGACTGAGGCATTGTGACGAGTTGGAGGGTAAATGATGGATTGCTCGAATTGCTTGAGAGAGCTCCCCAAAGCCAACCAGGATCGACAGAATGAGCGGAATAGAGTGCCCAACCCTTCGGTGACACCTGGAAATGTCGAGGCACAAGGTTGCTGAAGACGTCCTCTTCTCTTGTCGTATCTCGTAGCAAAACAAGTAGAACAGCAATGGGAGGCACAGGTGAATCCTCGTTTGTGAAAGTGATGATTGTCTACCGAAAGAACGAAGTCAAGCATACATCACATCTCCGCACAGGAGCTGGACTGCTCTGCAAGCTCTTTGCTTGTTAAGCAATGTCTTGGGCTGCCTGGAGCTACGAATCGCGAGACGGGCACGAAGCATGCGAAGCGATTGGCGACTGCGGCAGCGGGCGACTCGGCGCGGGGGCTGATGGGCGAAGCCAGCGGAGAAGGATCCGATTTTGCGGGGGGCCGATCGGAGGGACTGATGTGGCTTCATCTAGGTATCATCTTGTCCACGCTCCGCTGCCTTGGTGTTGGGAGTATTACAGTCGGAATACTCCCGCTAAGTCCCAATACGATCAATGAGGCTTTTCCATATACCCAGGAGCCTCTTCCCAACGCACTTCCAAAGCCCCATTGCTATGTAGAGGCCCTATCCTGTAGTTTGTGGTAGTTTCCTTCGCAATAATGCCATGACGCCTGGTGCATGTCGTAGGCGCCGTGTCGCTGTATCTTCTTTGCTAAAATGCCATCAGTTCATCTCAGGAAAGAGCCGACGCACTCTGAATCTGAGCCCAAATCTCTTTTCAACCCTTTGTTCCACTGCTCTCTCCGTTGGTCTCGGTGGAACCCTCTCCATCGACATCGTCGCTACCAGTATCACCGTCCTCATCATTATCGTCACCGCCTTCTTGACTTTCCGCTGTGTTGCTCTCGGTGTCATCGTTCCGATCAGGCACGGGTTCGCCGTTCGTCCGGGCTAATCGCTCTTCTTCCCTCAGCATTCGCAGCCGTTCGGTTTCTTTGCGCATAGCCTCGAGGTTCCATGCGCCCTCGCCGCCATCCTCATCCTCGTCCTCTTCGCTATCTTCGTCTTCTGATCCCTTCCAGTTACCGCTTTCGAACATGGCTCTGCCGGTTGCATCCTTGGCTTTCATAGCCTCTGCTTCGGCAGCCTTCTTGTCCATGCGCTCTTTCTTCCATTTAGCGAAAGTCTCTGGTGTCACGGGTGTCAGCGTCCCAGTAAGTTTATGTCGTTCAGAGTCGAGGAAATCTTCCAGCGTCAGTGTGTTCATGGGCGACTTGTCCATCAACGCCTTCTCTGCACGCCTCTGTTCTTTGGTTTTCAGTACGAACCTAGCAAACCATGTCAGACGGATTTCAATAAAGCAAAAGATGACAATCCTCATACCCAGGCGGCAAGCTGTGTTTGTACATGCACTTGTCCCCTCCGTTGGGACAAGTCCAAAACCAGCCATACTTGCCATCTTCAACCGCTTGAATGAAGTATTTGCAAACTTTATCCGTGGTGGTCCGAGGATTGCCATGTTTACTGAGCACAACCTTTCGGAGCTTCTCTTCATCCCAGTCCTCCATGTTGTCCTTCTCTTTCTCCTCTTTGCTCTGTTCCCGCGTATCTTGGTACAAGTCCTTCTTGGCCACTTTCTTTCCCACTTCAAGGTCATGGCTGAACTTGCATTTCTTTCCTTTGTCACAGTGGCCCTGCTTGAAGAATTGACACAGCACAGTCTTGGGGTCGACGCCAAAGGGGACTTTCTGGACCTGGATGGGCTTAAAAAGTTCAGCGGCCTCGGCTTTGGCTTTTTCCGCAGCATCCTTCTCCTTCTTTCTTTGCTCTTTCTCGGCCTCTTTTCGCTTCTCTTCAGGAGACTTGTTCGACTTTGCTTGGGCCTGAAGTTGTGCAATCTGCTTTTTTGCACTGCCACCCTTCTTATTTTTCATGCCAAAAGTCTTGTCTTCGACGGATGCTTTCGTCTTTTTGGGCTGATCCCCGCCCTTAACCTTGGGCGCCATATTGGGTAAAATCGAATGAGGACTTGGGTAGTCGGAGCCTACAGTAAATTTACAAGGGCGGCGGTTTTCGAAAGGGCAGGGGAGGCGCTTCGCTTAAACGGTCAGGTATTAGTTGACAGAGACGTGATTGAGGAGGCGACAACTGTCTCAGAAGGACGTCAAATGGGCAAAACGAGGGACAGGTAAGTCTAAGTATGTGAGTTGGGCGAGGATTGCAGGCTGAACTGCTGGGAGGGCAATGATATTAGGATGAGTGCGCTATGGATGTTTTCAGCAGGTGGCCATGTGTGACTGAGAACTGTGGGGGAAGTCGCCGACGTCAGCGGAAAATGTGACAAAGTCAAGTCGCATGAGACAATCCACACCTAATACCTAACAGTACCTACTGTTAGTCCTTCCTCAGTTGGAGAGCTCCATATAACGCATCTGTCCCCCTTGCATATGCTGCTTCTTCGTGAAACGTCCCATCACTCTCTCCGATGAATCTTTCATACACTTTACTTGCCCACAGTCTGGAGCTATAGACTCAAAGTCGCAGGCATTCGCCATGGCAACGGAAGGCCCTCCTCCCTCCAGGCATCCTCCGTCAATGGGGCCTGGTGCGCGCGCCGCCAACAAACCCGGAGAGTCAGACTCAAGAACAAAGTTGATGGAAGTCATACAAGCGAGAGCCAAATACCAGGTCTCTGTCGAGCCGGATACCCTGTCGCTGAGCTACGAACTCAACAACACACCACGCCTCTACCGACTCTCATTTGACAATATGCCTTTGCATGGGCTTTCAAAATGGTGGATATATGGCGGATCCATAAGAGCGCGAAGAGCGGGTGTCCTAGCTATCGATCTTATACGTGGCTCCGAAAACGTGGTGCACAGACCTGTTACCCAACAAGAGGCGGAGGGTCTGGCGTATTGGACCTCGAGAAGACTCCTCTATGGTTCCCTAGCCACATTTGCTACCTCTGCCTTTGGTTTCTACTTGGCTCGCAGAGGTCGTGCCAACATGAAATTCCCTTTCGTCTCTGCAAAGCCCTTGGAACGGTATAACAGATTTCCTCTTCAGCGGATGCCCCTTATAACTGGTCAGTTGGCTCAAACGGCCTGGCAGGTCACAAGGTATGTCATCTGGATGGAGCTGTTCTTCCTGGTTGGTACGCCTCTCGCTGGCGCTTTGGCCAGTGTTAGTGTGGCAAGAGGAATGGCCACCGATTCACGAACCCGAGGGCTCTTTGAAGCAATGCAAGCAATGCGTGAAAGGCCCCGCGGCGACAGAGACCGGACGCGTTCGAATGCCCCAATGGAGTGGCCTCAACAGCCTCAAGGGCATGACGTTGGCGAGGATGCACAATCCGACTCCCAACCATATTACAAAGATATGGGAAGCGGCGGCTCCCCAGACGGCTCCATAATCGACCATGTCCATGATGGTGACAGCTTTTACCAAAGTGGAGCAAGTGACACCAGTGTTTTGGATAACTCTGGAACAAGGAGCCGAGAGAGAAAAGAGCAGCGAGGATATCCAGCACCGCAGCCTTCAAGGCAGGTGCAGACCAACGCGTCCTCCACCTCTTCGGCGGATTCTGACCCCTTCCTCTTCGACGACGCATCCCCCACTGCCGGAAACGACCCAGACATGGCCACTCCCATTCCCTACAGTCCATCTACGGGCGGAAGCGTCTGGGAGCGCATACGAAGAGGCAATGCTCCTTCCTCGGCCAAATCACCTGCAGCCACTTCTGACACCGATATCCGCCGTCAACGCCTCGAAACGGAACGAGCTCGCGAAGCTCGCGCCAATCAGATGGCAGAACGAGACTCGGAGAGCAACGAAGGCATCTCTTACACCAGTGAGACAAGACTAGGTAGGGATGGACGCGACAGAGAGCAGGAGCAACGGGAATTTGATGAGATGTTGGAGCGGGAAAGGAAGCAGAGCGGGAGCGAGGAGTATGATCGGGGGATGGCAGCGGTAGAGTCGGGAGAAGAAAGAAGGGCGGGGGAGGGAACGGGTGTTTGGGAAAGGAGACGGAGGGGAGATTGACATTGATCTGCTGTGAAGGAATAAAGCGTGGTCAAAAGGCAGAGGTCAAAATAATATTCCGGTCATATGTAGTTCGGGTTTACATGGGCTTGTACTCCTGTTCTGTACCATATTGTGGCGGCAAAAGCAAATGTCTAGGGGACACATTCACCTCATCTTCTTTTCAGAGCCATGCCCACGCCAGAGCTCGACTCACAGTCAGGGACTCAGAGAAAAAGCATCAAAAGCTTGACGGCTAGTTAGGTAGTTGGTTAATGCAAGACTGGTCCAAAATGACCCTTAGCAGCGTTCTCGCAGAACACTGCCAGGTTAGGTCGAGTTCGTCTCTTTGTCCTGCGAGGGCACATGGGTTCCGTCCCAATCACAGAGTGGTGTATAAGTACCCAGTACGTGTGGGCAGGCGGGAACACGGAATACGCAGCAAGGTCAGTGCTCCGCATGTCGGAGCACCTGGGCAGTGGTTGTGTACTTGTATACCTACCCAAGTATGTGTGTGTACTCGGTAGGCATGTACATACCTACCCGTGCCGGCCGGTCGATGCGGAAGGGGTAGTCCCGGCATGCTAACTCCCTGGCTCCCTTCCTGACTCTGTATCACCTCCCTCCCTAGTGCAGTACAGATCTCCCCCAGTACCGCCCAACTACATAGTACAGTACACAACCGATGTCTCTCGGGCCTATGGTCACAGGCCAGGAATAGTGGCATGTGCCAACTCAGTGCCAGAACTGCGCTGCCAAATATGTAAGTACCAGGGAGGCGGCCAGGGTCACGGGAGGTGACTACGACTGTGACTGTGACTGTGACTGTGAGGGGCGTCGGGGGTGTGCGAGCAGACTAGACACGAGCAGACCACGGGCACATTCACTACAATGTCCATAAGCAAATGATGGATGCGCCGGGGGTGGAGGTGAGGAGACTTGCGCGCCGCCATGACTCATCAGCCTGGTCTGCCTTGGTGTGCCTGCTTATGATTATTGCTGGCGCTGGTATTGGATGGGATGCCTTTCACCGCACCGCCCATGTACCTACCTTGTAGCTACATGCCCGAGTAGTAGGGCGTCTCTGCTCTGTGGGAGCTTAGGGTGCCTGAACGAGATGCGGTGTGAGTACTGCAGTGTGTGTACGCATATGTGGCGTACTGGCTGTGCCCCCGTTATCACCTACCTAGGTACGTAGTCGGATCGCAATGAGAGTCTGGCGCGGTAGCGGTTCATCTTACGTGGGATGCTAATGGGGGATACGTATCGGATCAATTGTTTGAATACTGACAGGCTGGTAGAGGCATGACTGATTGATTGATTGATTGATGATCGAGGAGCTCTCCTGTCCATCCATTGTCGTCTCTCCCAAAGCTCCCAACACCAATAAAAGCCCTCCCCTGTAAATTCCTTGCCGCACCATTGCAATTGCAAAAAGAAAGTGTTGTGCTGTTGTCGCCACGATGTAACAGCAGAGCCCCTAGTTTTCGTTGCCTAAGCGTAGAACCGCGCTGCGTGGGCTTTAATCGAGAAATGGGAAACGCATGTGGTCAGGATATTCTAGAGGCTGTGGTGACGATACGAGAACGCTCGCTCATATGGACCGGGTTGGGTGGAATGGAAAAGGTGAACCTGATGGTGGGATTTCGTAGAGTTGAATGTCTGCAGTATTGACTCGAGGATCTGGCATTTAACGAGCAAGGATGCCTTGGTCTGGACGTCATTTCGATCCGCTTGCTTCGAGGCCGCGCATTGAGTGCCGCCTGATGGGAGACATTGCAACTCATGCGGCCTCCTTGCCTTTGCCTTTGCCTTTAGCGTCACCTTCTGCTTCGTCCTCTTCGAGATCGGGCATCTCATCATCATCATCCTCCTCTTCCTCTTCATTGTCGTCGCCACCCTCGGCTCCTCCCTCTGCTCCCAAGCCGGCACCACCACCGAGTTTGGAGAAGTCAATGCCACCAAAGCCCCCGTCTTCTCCGAGACCACCTCCAAATTGGTTCATATAGTCATCTTCCGGAGCTTCGTTTTGTTCGTCCTCATCCACCCACTGAAAGGCGGCAAAGGGTCAGTAAACAGGCAGCTAGTGACGTGGAGAGTCATGGGGGCATACCTTGTCAAAGTCTGTGCGCAGGTAATGTACTTTTGCGGGGTCCTTGAGGAGGCGTGGCCAGTACTCTTCCTTGAGTTCCTTCTTCCTGAGAATCATCTGGATGTTGGCTGGGGTGTGATGCGTCTTGGAGTTCTCGACATCGATCTCAGAGTAGAATTCCATCTCAAGATGATATGTGGTCTTCTTGGTCTCTGACGTGCCAGTGAAGGTGAGGCCGGTGGGCTTAAGGTCGAGTTTGAGGGACTTGGGGGGAACATCAGGCACGCTGATGGTCAGGTAGATGTAATTCTTTTCTGGCTCAGTGGTGGACGAGCGCTGCGCCCATAGGACTGCGGACACTCCAAGTCAGTCATTTGTTCAGGCTAAAATGAGAGTTTGGTACTGAGCGAGGGGGGTGGCTCTGGAGCGTTGAAGTCATCGAGGCAGGAGAGGGTTTACCTTCTGGAGTAACCTGGCTAGACATGGTGAGGTTTGCGAATTGGAGGGGCTTCTGGCCTAAGAGGATGGGAAAGTAAGGGTGAAGAAGGAGAGGAGGACCGTTGTCGAGTTAAAAAGGCACGACCGAGGTGTGAGAACAATGGGAGACGGAAAAATCTGCTTCTTGCTTGCTTGCTTGCTTCACTCGGCCTGTTGTAAAAGGTTCAACTATTTGTGTGTGGGCGATCGGTCTAAGGTGAAGGGGACGAGGCTGTTCGAAGTGCAACGAATAACATCGAAAGCCCCCCAAGCTGCTGGGCTGAGCACGCACTTGCAAACAGTGCCTGTTCCACTGCCCACTCAGCATGACTTTCCACGAGCAAGACCCTCTTAAGGTACCGCCGAGTCCGCATCCGCACAACTAGTACGCCCATACTGCCTGCCACTTATTCACTTATGCCCTTCCCCCACTCCTTCCCACCCCCCCCATTGTCTAACAAGTAGGCATCGTCCAAAAGGACTTCGACTTCCTACCCAGCACTTAACCACCTGTTGCACCTACCCGCCTCGCCGCCAAGTACCGAGTGTCTGACTGGGCTACCCGCCGTCAACCTTCCTCCACTGGCATCTGCAGGTGATAAAGTATTCGCTACAGCTGCTCCCTAGTTGATCTCCATCCATCAGCCCTACAACTTACTTTGGACAGCAAGTAGACCTCGCGCTTATTATCGCTCCTAGCCCTATGACCGAGTGTTATCGCAGACATTCACGTGCGACTTTCACCGCAAGCCTGCCGCTGGCGGCGTTTGGTTCAGAGACCAGCATGGCCCTGTAGTTGACCACGAGCAGCCCGCAATCGAGCACAGAAAAGGAGCCTACCAAGCAACAAGGACCGCTACAGGAATACCGCCATCATGCAATCGTTCAAAGCGGTCTTCTTCAAACCGGATCCCCAAGAACAAGTTCGTCTGTAACTTCCCGCTGAATTGGCGCAGGCTGACTCTATCTCAGAAACGAAAATGCGACGGCATCATTCGGAAAAACGTGCGGGCTCTAGACCGGGATATCACAAACCTCAAGATCACCGAACAGAAAACAAGGACTCTGATACTGAACGCCGCAAAGAGGGGACAGAAAAATCCGTCTCAGGCGAAACAAGGCGCCGACGAAGCACGAATATTTGCTAGAGAGATGATCAAGGTTCGGAAGCAGTCGGCAAGGTTACACACCAGCAAAGCACAACTGCAAAGCGTCCAGATGCAAGTGAACGAGGCATTTTCTGTTCGCAAGATCGAAGGCAGTCTCAAAGCCAGCACGCGCATCATGAAGGATGTCAACACATTAATTCGGTTACCAGAGCTGACCGGAACCATGCAAGAGCTGAGCCAGGAATTGATGAAGGCTGGCATCATTGAAGAAATGGTTGGTGATGCTCTACCGAACGATGAACTGCTGGAAGGAGAAGACGAAGAGGCGGAGACAGAAGTGGACAAAGTACTGGGCGAGGTATTGAAGGGAAGGTTGGGCACACCCGAACAGCAAGTCCCCCAGCTCCCAGTGGAAGCGGAGGAAGAAGAACCGGAAGAGGACAGAGAAGCAGAATTGGAGCAAATGCGAGGGAGGCTCGAGGCGTTGAAAAGCTGAGATGGCCACGAGGAAACATGGCTGTACCTTTCTGGCGCGGCTGCCGTAGACCAAGCCATATACTGCTAGCTTTGGGGACTATGAGACATGAATGGCGTTCTACAGGATCACGTAGAGTATTTCAACACCATCCACCTCGAGGATGAATATTTGTCGAGACGACACACCGCAGGACACATGTGGTGATGGACCGTTCACGTGACGTTGATATAGGAGACGCCCGAAACAGGCTTGGTGCAGGCTTGGCTGCATCCGAATGTCTCCTGTGCCTGTTGCTGCGCCTGCGCCTGCGCCTCACCCTATTAACCTTGCCGCTTTCATCATTTTGGCGTGACTCTTTTCATTCTCCTTCTGCCTTGCCTTCTCCTTCACCTTTGTCGCTGTGACCAGTCGAATTCAACTCCCATCCAAACGCATATTGAATTCTAGCCGCGCGCGTCTTCGTCGCCATTTCCTTTCGATCATCTATCTCTCCTTCCGACTTTTCGAATCTCGCTCCAGGACAGACCACCGCGACCAGTGGTCGTCCATCCTGCGACTCCGCCAAACTTAACAGCCCTCTCTTGACGCCTGCAACATTCTTCACAGGCCACTCCTTCCACCTTTGCAAAATTCATTCTTGAACTAAATCTTCCTATCCGTTCAAGATGTCTGGCAGGCTAGATCAATCTCTCGACTCCATCATTGATAGCCAGAAGAAGGCGAAGCGCGAAGCTCGCCGTCGCAAGGTCGGAAAGTCAACTGGTCCCACTGCTCCCGTCGGTGGTGTCAAGAAGGCAACCAAACCAGCAAAGTCCGCCATCAAACCTTCTGCCGGCGCTGCAGCTCAATCACGTCCAAGCAAGATCGTTGTCAGTGGATTGGTATGTTCTGATTGACTTCGTTGCGTCTCATAACGCCGCAGCTAACTCTTACTGCAGCCATTCGACGTCAACGAAGCCCAGATCAAGGTATGTTGATAAAGAGGCTTTCGACCTTGGATCCCATCGCCGCTTATCACGGCCTGTTATTCTTTGGCTCTTTACGCGACCGTGTCCGATAAGAGGAAGTTGAATGCAACAAGAAGAATGGGGAAGATGTCGAGCGGGAGAGACCATACTCAAGGACTGTATCGCCATGCTGAAAATGCTGGCCTTGTCTGGGGCAGGCAACACTCTCTTCACCTTCGGCTCGCATCTTCCTTTTGCGATGCCATTCGGTGAAAACACAGTTTGCCATGATCTTGCAAAATCCATTCTCCACGGCTAGCCTCCGTGTGGGACTCTGATGCAGATCTGCCCAGAGGAATTCTCAAGACGCTGAGACGCTTGAGACCCTCTCGCCTTGTTTGTCTGGAGCATCAGCGAGGTTGCACCGAAACATACCGCAAGCAGAGCAGCGCAGCGCAGCACCATACGTCGAGACTCATCATTGTCCCTTTGGTTTCTGGCCCATCTCTCACCGACATGCACGATCATGTGTTCATCAACGCCAAACGTCAAAGACTCGTGCCAAATGGTCATATGCTCTACGCCAGCATTCAGACATCATCTACGGTTCCTTTCGACCTGCATCATTTACCTCTGAAATTCACCAACCGTCCTCAAGCATCCGACCTGTCATGGACTGAACAACTAGTCATATTTTCAAGTCAAGCGCGAAATTTTCCACACTTGGCATGAGAATGTATACGCATTTCAACCATCTACAGGGGTGAGGGGTTTTGTTGGCCGACCGCGATGATACGAGACTCGACTGCTGACCTGCCTGCTGCTCTCAATACTTTTGCACTCGCTGATGCTCTGGCGCAAAGGATATGTACCTGGACTATACTCTACTGTGGAAACATCTATTACTGCATTCTTACCTGGGGACGAACGATGCGGAAGAAATGCTATTCCTACCTCTCTCCAGCAGTTTACTGATCACTCGCGGACGAATAGGAATACTTCGGCAAGTCCGTAGGCAACGTCAAGAAGGTCTCTTTGCAGTACAACCAGAATGGTCAGAGCCGTGGTATTGCCGACATCATCTTTTCGAAGCCCGACTCTGCCGCCAAAGCTGCAAAAGACCTGAACGGAATGCTGGTGGATAAGCGACCAATGAAGGCAAGCACGACACCATCCGCACCGTACATGGACTTCTCCTGACCTCGACTAGATTGAAGTGGTGATGGACGCCAGCAGTGTTCCGGAGCCGGCTCCAGCCAAGTCACTTGCGGAACGTGTTGCGTACGCAAATCCACCGAAACGCTCCGGAAAGTCAGAACCACTGACAAAGACCAGCGCCAACCCAAAAGCCCAACCGAAGTCAGCTACCGCAACAAAAAAGGTGACCGGAAAGGATGGCACAAAGGGGAGATCGGCCGGCAAACCCGGCAAGCCAAAGCGTGGACGAAACCCTCGAGCCAAACCCAAGACCGCCGAAGAACTCGACGCCGAAATGACCGACTATTGGGGAGGTAATAACCCCTCCGCAGTGGGCACGACCGCTGAAGCTGCAGCCACCAACGGTATTGCTCCCGCGGCCAATACCAGCGATGATATGGGCATGGAGGAGATTTCAGTAAGCGACGTCGAATTCATCTACTGAACCCGTTCAGACTGACACCCGTATCAGTGAATGCCCGTGATTGGATATCGTGAAGGAAGACAGGACCCCAGGAGTGAAGCCCGTGCAACCATAACTCTCAACAACCATCGACTTCCGAGCTTTCTCTTTTCATCACACGACTGTACTGAATAGCCATCTAGCATTCTTGCCCGCTTCCGCATGACCCACAGATTCTACTTCATTCATACGAAAAATGTGTTGCTATCTTTGCCGGGGAGGTGGGAGGTCATGGCATAGACCTGGGAGGATGGTCTGGAGGATCGATAGCAGTGGCCTTGAGCGGGCACTAGGAGTATCAAACTGGCTTAGGATGAGAGGCATCAGCGATAGAGTGCACCGGACCATTGGCTTGGTAATTCAGCAGGCAGGATCCTGATCAGAAATATGTGCAAACGAGCTTAAATATTTAAGGTCACTTTCCGTCTGAGCGAAACATTGGACTCAATAGCATTCTTTGCTTTTCTCAATCTTCCTCTTATACGAAATTCTAGCCATCGTGAATCATCAACTTGGTCATCAGCACCCGAGAACTGCATCACTCCCTACACGTTGTTCTGCATTCAGTTGATCGCCTATGCCCGGTCTCAGGAGGAAAAGAACCCCCCGTTCCCGTTCGATCCTCCTATTGTGTCGGCGTGTAGATAGATCAGACGAAGAGTTCAACAGAGAGAGTGAGCGCGTACACAACCTAAGCTAACTTAGTCGAGGTGCTGGTCTCAGATGAATTCGAAACCGTCGTCGTCGTCGTCGTCCTCCTCCTCGGCGTCGTTGTCGGTTTCGTTGCCGTTACCATTGTCTCCCATCTCGATCAAGACGACCGAGCTGGAACTCGAGGCCTGGTCGTGTTGTGGATGTGGATGAGGTTGAAGCTGAGAACGATTACGAGGATGGGGACGGGGATAGTATTGGCCATGGGCGAACGGTTCCGGCTCCGGCTCCAGCCGGTTTGCTGGTTCGTGGGAATGGGACGGGAGATCAGGGAGAATGAAGCCGTGGGGGAAGTTCTGGGTCCTGGCCTTGCCTTTCCCGTTGTCCTTGTTCTCCTCGTTGTCCCTGCGCCTGTCCTTGTCATCATTCACCTCCTTTACGATTGTTTCGAATTCGGGCATGGTGTTGATGATGTTGTTGTTGTTTTGAGACTCGTCCTTGAGGTTGTGCTGTGCATGACGAAGTTGACCAGCCCCTTGGCCCTGACCTTGATCATAGCCGCGTCCCGTACTTTCCTGGTTGGAATTTCCAATGGCGTTGGAACTCGCGTGTGATTCTGTTGCGTGCTCACTGTCCCAGTTGACCATGTCAGTGTCTGAGTCTCCATCGTCGAACACACCTTCATCAACATCGTCGGCGCTCAGCATATCCGCATCAGCCTCATCATCCGTTCCCATTACATCTTTGCCCACGGGGACGACACTGTGGGCCACACCTTCGAAATCATTGGGACCCGTAAACACAGTAGTCTCTCTATTGACGTCGATGGTGCTGATACTTGACATACTCTTGACTGTCCGGGTCCCATCCGTGGCGAACTTACTGGCCTTCCCCAAGGTACTGACGGCCTGGGAGCTCGTGATTTCGTCAAATTCGCTGTTTGCCTCGGTGTCTGCTTGATCGAACCCGCGCTTGATCCGTCCCGGCCCGAAGCTCTCGATATTTGTCTGTACTGGATCGAGATTCGGGACGGGTTCCTCCTCAAACACTCCCCCTGTGCCGTCGTCGTTCCCATCAGGTACCCAGAGTGGTAGGTAGCGGAATTCGTTGGCATTGAGGCAAAGAAGACTGTCAAAAAGGTCCGTGGGCAATAGGCCAGTCTCGTGGAAGAGATGGGGTGGGTAGACAATTTTTGAACAGATTGATTCGATGGCCGTGGTAAGCTCATTAAGCAGTTCTTCTGGACTGATAGGCGAGTGATAGCTGGGAGGTATAGTTCCTTCAGCGTCTGTGTTGCTGTTAGAGAAGGCTTGTTTGACGCGATTGCTAATTCGAGGAGTGGGAGGGGGGGGGTTAACGTGGTGCGTTCGCTCCTCCTTGGGGAGGTTCAATTCTTCATACCGACCGGTATATGGATTGAAGAACATGTTTGAAGCGAAGGCACAAGCGTCTGCTGCTACTGTTGGCGCCGCCCAATTTGGGTTGATTGGCAGCGGTGCTGTCGACTCGGCCGAGACATTGTTTTCAAATGTGGTTCCCTGTATGAATCGAGATTCGCCGGTATCATTCACCGGTGTAGTGTTTCGTACTGTCAGATTTGGAGGCGTAGAAACTCCTTGCTGACTTTCAGTGGCGCTGTTGGCTACGTAGTTATTAACCTGTTGCAAGACGTTTCCTGTACTTGTTGGCTTGGGTCTCAGTGCGAAAGCAGGTGGCTCAGTGCTAGGCGCAGTTGTCGTGTGTGCTTTCTTGGGTAGAATGGTTCTCCATGAAGGAGATGTGGGAATTCGTGCAATAGAGGAGGATATTGAATTATGTCTATCTCGAAAAGGAAGGGTAGAGTCGTCTAATTCGTTAGTCTTGCGACGCTTTGCAGAGGGTGTTCCATAAACGACCTCTCGGCTCCAAAACATTTGATTGAGAACTTTGATCGTTCTGACGAAAGCCCCTCGCGGAACTTGAGTGATCCCATTGAAGGGGTCATCCTTGCAGAGCCCCTGAAGGACCTGAAGGTATTGCGTGTCATCGCTCAAGCCAATTGTGCCTTGGCTGGACGTGTTGTAGCTGCCCTCATCGAATTGCGTATGCTGCAATGCTATCCAGAATGTCTTAGTGAACTGCCTCGTCCGCTGACTGAGCGACCCGTAGACAACGCTGTAGTCCTCACTAGAAGCTGTTCGAAAAGGGAAAGTTGACTTTAGATCCGACTCCAAATTTCTAAAGTTTCCTTGATTCTGGCATAGAACGTGGTAAATTCTCGACCTGATATAGTCTTTGATAATTTCCTTGGTCGTTTTCAGCGCCTCCACCCCTCTCGGGGTTTGCCCAACAGCGTTGTCGAGGATTGCGTAGGTTGGGCTCTCGTGCAGGAAATCCATGTCTTTACACATACTGCAGACCATTTGGCGAATACGCTTGACGAAAGACGAAGCAGCGTGGTCAATTCGATTGCGTTCATCGTCGTCAAGAAGTTCCAGCTTTCGGCCATGGACACTTTGACGACGAAGAGTTAGAATCTCCGGGTTGAGCTCACCGCAGGCTTCGATAAGGGCCCTCTCGCCGACGAGGATGGAGAAGGAATCTTTAATAAGATCCGTCGATCTGATGGCCATGCCGATACGATATGCCACCTCAGGGTTGTTTTGAATGAAGTTGCTATTGTTGCCCGCATAAATCCAGGTCATGATCCAACCTGAGATGCGCTCGTGAGTAGCACAACCAAAGTATCGCGCAATGGCAAAAAAAGTCCAGAGTTTAGGGGCAGAATCTAGCTTCGGATCATTCCCTTGAATGGCCTGGAGCATTCGTTCGAGGGCGGACCAGTGCCGAAGTGGAGAATAATCTGGTGCAGTTGTGCCTGGAGGCGCAGCCTTGTTATCCGATGACTGACTCGATTTTGGCTTTGCCGTGTTGGAAGGGCTTGGGTCTGCGTCTCCCGTGTTCTCTGATGAAACCAATCGCTTTGCCAACGGGTCGGCATGAGGCTGAATTCCGAATTCGTCGTGGCCTAGAACGGCAAGAGGAGACAGATCATACTTGTGCCTTGCCAGATGCCATGTGAGCACACCACGCGTACAGGTCAGATCGGTGATGAGAATGACGGCTTCCTCATCTTCATTGGGTGGGCGGAGGTCGATGTAGTACTTGAACTTCCCTCCGTGTGCAGCTTCTGCTTTGTTCAACACACCGAGCTTCCTCAGCTTTCTCTCGGCGCGAAATGACTTTGTTGGGTTCAGGAGATCTCGGTCAGTAAACCTGGACTCGTCGCCCATGAGCCTAAGATTTGTGCTTTCGACAACATGGACCCGATCAAAATGCTGTTTGATGTAGTGATAGTCCTTGCCGTTCTGCTCCGGCATTTGTGGAGGAGCCCCAAAATAGATGGCTGTATCGCCAGCCGTGTCGGCAAGGGCGGTGAACTCATTGTTCAGACTCAAGACAAGCTCAAGTGATGGCTCATCTGATGACGACAGACGCTGAGACGAACCCATTAGGGTATCTGTTCGCTTCCCTGCTTTGGCTTGGTCTTGAAGAGACAGTTGAATAGCTCGAGTTAAGTCTTGTTCCTCTTGTATCCGCCCTGCTGCTGTTTTGTCGGAGGTCGCAGCAGCACTGTCCTGAGCGGGAGGCTGAGTTGAGGGCGAATTCCAGATGTCTTCGGAATCACCAGCGACACCCTGACCTCTATTAGTTGGTGCTGCGGTAGATGCAGGAAGGGCCATTGGTTTTCTGATCAATGCTGAATGCCTGGAAACAAGGGTCGTGGCGCTCAGACTTGAGGTGGACTCAATGATTTGCTTTCGGACATGTATAATGGAGGGATTTCTGCGAGCCTGTTCACAGAGCCGTGTTATATCGCTCACCTGTTAAAGACCTCGTGGAGTTGGCTTGGGGTGAGAAATGTAGAGACTCATGCAGTCTGTGCAAGGTGAGGACTGGAAAGCCTGAGAAGGTGATGAGCTGGTGGTACAGAGTTTGTCACCCGGCTTTGTGAGCCATAAATGTGTCCAGATGCAAGTTGTGAAGAGACAGGAAGATTGCAAATTGTCAATCACACAGTGAGGACAAAGGAAGAGTGAGGCTGAAGCCTGAAAGTGAGAAGACGAAAAACGGCCTGAGGCTTGTCTGATGGCTTGCGGTGTCTTGTGGTGTCTGCCTGGTGAGCAATGAGCATTTCCCTCACACCTGGTTCAGCCCATCACAGCCCATCACAGCCCTATTCGGTGCCTATCCTCTGTCCCTGCACATAGTTATTGGCTCTTTTGGTGTTGGTGCTGTGGATTCGGTGGGACTTTGGGGGCATTGCAAGGCATACGGAAGAGAAGGTGGAAGACGAGGTGGAGGTGGGGGAGGCTAAGCGGGATCCCATCCCATCCCATCCAGTACGACGTACTTATGTACCTCGGTCCTCTAGCGAGAATGCGAGCCTCTTTTTGCGACTGTGGGAATTTAGACAACGGAAGAGGTCACGATTTCTGTCTGAATTGTGCAATGGCCATACCTGTTCTTTGTAGCCACGAATGCAATCAATCCCCCATAACTGCCATAGAAATACACGCTGACCTGGCCAGGAAAGAAACCCTTGAAGCCCTCGATCAGTCCGTTTCAATCAAGACTCGCACAATACACCCGTTTTCACTCACTCAGCCAACACATTTGCTCCAGGTGGGCAATCCGCAGCCGAATCCGACGAACAGATAGATCAGAAAGATGACAACAACCACAAGCAGCACCATCACCCGCACGTTTTTCCACCACATCTGCCGCCTTAACCCTCTGCTTCGCACTCGGAAATCCCGCGCACTCCCTCCCAACCGATCCGTTTTGTCCACCAAAAGATCAATCCTCTCCCCTCTCTCCAGCACCCGCTCAATGTTCTCAGTCATGATGTCCCTGACGTCGTCAATCTCTTTGCGTGCATTGGTCAATGCATCACTCGGCGGGGCGGTGTTGTATTGCTGGATCATCGCCTTTAGAGTAGAGTTGAAGGCTGCGGTCCCATAGGCGGGCAACGACGAAAAATCCGTAGACTCGGGCTTATACTGTGTCAGGAACTTCTTCTTGAGCTCCAGCAGGAACGCGAACGGCACACGCCGGCCCATCTCTGTCTGAGCAACCACCAGGTAGGTGAGAGCCGCATGACTGGAAAGTTGCTCGTCGGACCCATTCGACGTCGAGGAAGGCGAGTCTGCAATGTAGTGGACAAACAGACGGTCGTGGGTGTAGGTGAGCTTCGCGGGAGTCGAATGAGAGATCTTGGGGAGAATGACTGAGGCAAGCGATGAGGCCGAAGAAGACGAGGTGCCAGGTGATGTATGCTCGGTGAGGATAGTGGTTCCATGAGCAATGCATGCACTGCCATCTAAGGTGAGAACACTTGCTCGCCTTGAAGTGCACAGAGGCGGTACTTACTAGAGCAGCTGGTTGGACTGTCCTGAACTCGAGGCCATCTTGGAGCGCTGCAGACACTGGATGAGTATTGGTGGGTGGTATAAGTCCGGGGGCAAGAATGATGAGATCCCGTCAGATGCAGCTCAGTCAACTATACGCGGATTTAGGGCGAGGAGAAGCAGTTAAGTGGCAATAGGAACTGGGTGGGACAGACTGATGGATGGATGGGTGGGTGGATGGATTGATGGAGGTGGACAAGAGCAATTGCCTGATTGTTGCATGCAGAGTGTCGAGGGTGCAGTTGGCGCGGTCTGCGGAGTTCGCCTTGGACAGTTGCGTCACTCCTGGGCGCTAGTACTCGGCGAGTCGGTACCGGGCGTAGCTGCTAGCCTTCTGTACGTCAGCCTTGCGAATTTCAGCCTCGCTAACCCATCAATCTGGAGTATTACTATCATCTGCTTGTAGAATGCGCATCGACCGACAATTCAATCTATTCCGAGGACCGAGTACGGAGCACAGGGTTGATCTCTTGTTGCGAGCCACCCAAGGTATCAACGCAAACCACAACATCTGGCCGCTACCCGAATTTGACCTTGCATCACACTTGACTCCTTTCATTTAGCACGCTCAGGAATTAGCGCTCCGTTGCCCCCCTTCTCAGGTGCTAGCGGGCTGTTCTATAGCTCTCTGCCCTTCGCTCTTCTCATTCTCTCCTTCTGTCATGGTCTGCTCGGCATGGGCGGGCTCTTCCATCCTAGTGACTGAGCTCGGTCGGGGTGTAGCAGCCTCCGCGTCGTTGCTTGCCGCGTGTGGTCGATCGATTTCTTTCTCCCGGGCTCTTTCCTTGGGTCCATTTGTCCTGGCTCCGCCTCCACGACTCCTGCTTCCGTCACCATCGTGTCTCATATGGTCTCTCATCTCGTGAATCACTTCCCTGAAACTCTCCTCGAGGGCATTCATCCGAGCCATCATAATTTTAGTAAACATCTCTTGCTGTTCTTTCTGCTCTTTTGCACGGCGTGATTCGGTTGATCCTTTACCCACGTGAGCAGCAAATGAGCTGGGGAGTGCGCCAACGTAGCCTCCACCTATCGCTCTGTTGTCACCAATGTCTGATACCAGATCCATCTCGAGTGATGGTTTCCGCCGCATTTGAGCTGGTTGGCTTTTGAGTGACACCAGTCCTGCTAAATTCGGGGTTGACCGGAAGCTCTGTTCGTCTTTCGTGACAAGTATCGGTCGCATTCGAGTTGGAGCTGCTGCTCGCTTTGGCGTTCTATGCCCTGTACCACTGGAACCGGGCTTCGAGACGGGTGTGCGAGTTCCTGATCCAGGTGCTGAAATATGTGACTTGGTGGCTGGTGGTTTATTCTCTTCGACTGATGAAGTCTGGTCCGTGCTTGAATCCGTCATGGGCTTAAAGATCATGGTCGCCACCGACATGTTGCGAGAATGATGACGGGGCTGGTTCTTGGGAGAGCGTCGTGAAGGCGAACTAGTCCCTGAGCCAGGCCCTTCAAGTTTCGCCCGAGAAACGGCAGCCATAGGTCGGTCTTCCTCGGGAGAAGGGCCTCCTAGCGTTTGTCTAGTTGTGAAGTAGTCACGATGCCCTAGAACGGCAGCGGCCGTGTTGTGTTGCTCAGGCCCTACATCGCTTTGTGACCGATGTTCAAATGTGGTTGTGTCCTCCTCATCACCCTCGACGTTTGTTGGCATCTCATCGTCTCCATCCGCATCCGTGTTATGCGATGGCTGCTCTAACGCGGAAGGGGTTGCCGTCGGGGGATGTGCCTCGCCTGGAGAGAAGAATCCTGCATTGGTCCTAAAGTCCTCCGGGTCGGACACAACTGACATTGTTCGACGAGAGAAGTCGCGAATTCGACTGAGCCGGCGCTGTCTTCGAGACACTGTTTGCTTGCCCTCGAGCCTATCGACGATCTGCCTGTCTTGCTCCTGCGGCGGTTCTGCCACGTCGTCGCCCAGTTTGTTCATCCATGTGCTAACCACATTACTTGCCTTGCGCCGGTCTCGGCTTTGATGGGCACTTCTGATGGTACTGTCAAAAGGCTGTTTGAATACTTCTTCGAGAGCCCTGTCCTGTCGGAAGGTGGCAATCGAAGGAGCCCGATGGAGCCGCGTAAACTTTGTCGATCTTTTCACACGCCCGCGGCGCTCCACAAGGTCGATGCTGTCGTAGACGGTACGTTGCAGGATAGCCTTTTCATACAACAAGATCGAAAGCAGCAGGGGTAGATGCGTGATCTTAATAATAGTTCGGTTGATCTTGACGTATTGGCGGAAGGGGACGAAGTACCTGAGAGGCACCAAAAGCCACTGAATTATGTTTGTCGGCGCCACGTACGAGAAGAGCGCGTCGGATTTGACATGAGAAATGGTGTTGACTGCAAACAGGAATTGATGCTCTTCACTCGCGTTCCGGACGATGGCCATGAACGAATTAGTCAAGACGGTGATCAAGATGGTGACTACGAGGAAGTGACAGATGAACAAGAACAGGGTCAGAATCGTCTTTCCCAGAATGTTGTATCCCGCCCATCGGTCCCAGGCAGCCGGTGTGAAACCCATAAGCATTTGTAGCAGAGCGTAAGCTACCGAGCTGGGAGTATCAATTCCGTCGTCGCCGAACGACAATGTGAGGGCAACGAAGAACCCACTGCAGCTGATCAGGATTAGCAGTGAAACTGCAATGAGATCTGCTGCCATGTATCGAAAGGCAATGAGAAGTGGTGAGAAATAACGGTAATGATCCAGCACGGAGAACAGCCGAGGAAAGAGTAGGATGGCGTCGGCGGCAAGAACATCGTAGGCCATGTTGGCCACCATGTGCTTTCTGACATCTGGCATGAGGATCCCGTAGATGCGCAGCGCCAAGTGGACGACCAAAATGAGGAGGATTCCCAAGTCGAAGGTGTTCCAGAAACTAGCGATGTAGAGACTGAAGCCTTGTTCGTTGAATCCCACAATCTCATCAAGCATATAGCCGGCAGCCCAAAACCAGAAGATGACTTCGAGCGTCGTGATCTCGAGAGAGCGCTTCACGAGGACGGCGACAAACAGGCTCAGGAGAACAGCGAAGGACAAGGTAGACAAGATGTTGCGGTATCGAGGGACTCGCAACCGCGACAACTTGAAAAGAGAGGCGTCACGAGGATCGTACAGCGTCACTGCTCGCCTTGGAGTGCGTGAATCAGTGTTGGTGGAGGTGGGCTTTCCAGACAAACCACTGTTATTTGTACCGTAACTTCTCGCTTGACTCGTTGTGGGCAACGGCCGATGCAGACTGTCGGCCGCGGAGTGGAAGACAATTGTACCAGCCCAGATCGCCTCGAGCTGCTTCACTACCATCGGATGAGAGAGGAACTTTTTAGCCTGAGCGCGGATGGCAATCTCGAAGCACGAGATTCTTGCCGGCCGATGAGCCGGTTTTTTGGAGCTTGCTGTGGGCCTTCGTTCGTTCTCTGCATGAGCCATTGCATCCAATTGGCCTTGAAGAGGGTCGAAGTCATAGGACAAGGCGTCAATGAGCTCTCTCGTGGAAAAGTCTTTGAGCAGTTTGATGGCAATCAACTCACAGACCATTGCCCGAGTCGTGTTTGTTCCACTGTTACCAGAGGACATAGCGGCCTCTTTGCCATACTGGAGACAATTTGCCATTAGAGCATAATGCGTTGCAGCAGTCAGATGGTTGCTGCGGATTTCTTGCTCGATCGGCTTTACAAGGAATTGTGAGATCTGGGGAGACCGGAGTTGCTCCCAGGTCAAGACCGTGTCACAGCGAGAGCTTACCAACAAGCGGACGGCGTGTGTGAGGGCAAAGACCGGGATGGCATCGAGACGAGCCGCAGAGAATATGGGAAGAAGGGGTGTTGTATCGTCAGGTCCGTCTTCGTCTTCGTCACTTAGGTCTTCCGCCCCTTGGTTGCTTTCCTCCTCTTCCTCTTGGTCCTCATCCTCATCCTCTTCAAGTCTGTCTCCTTCATGGTCCATGTCTTCATCCTGATCTTCCTGAGAGATGAGCTCAGGGTCGGTCTCGGAAGACCGCCTCCCATTGCGTCGAGTCGGGTTTCGTGAGTATTCGGGGGATCGTGTCGTTGGAGCGTAGCTCGACGAGAAAGGGGACCGTTCCCGGCGCCTCTGGCCCCTGGGATTCCGTGTTAGGGAGAAAGAGATCATGATCGAACCAACAGAGACTAGGTAACTTGTAGTGGGTGGTGGAGGGTTGCACAATGGGGAGGTGAATTAGAATTCGCAACGCGTAAACAAATGACCGCAACTTGGAATCGAAGACGAAATAAAACACATTTGGACGTTAGACAGACTTGGAACACTAATAGAGAGTCAGCAGTCTGCTTAAGAATAAAGAAAAGACAGGGAGGGATGAGTGAAGGGCATATCGGTGAGTGTTTGCGGGATATTTTGTTTGCACGAGCAGAGGGAGCAGAATGCGAGTGGTGATCAGCGCCCAGCTGCGCCTGCCAGGCCCGCTTTGGACTTGGTAAAACTCTCAGCCTGAGCACTAGCAGCCATCATCGTGGAGGTTCAATGCTGCTGCAAGCAAAGGATTGCATCAAGAGACACGGGATTCCATCTGCATGTGCAGAATGCGGAGGGTGGAATTTGAGGCGATAGCAGTGAGATGAGAGGTCAGTTGGACAAACCGTGGGCGCAGGCCAATGTTTTGGTGACATCAGGGGAAGCGGTTGCAGATAAGGCGCATTCTAATATGCAATGGAGCTGCGCAGTTAGGACGTGTGATTGGGGTCGCATGCGAGCAGCCGAGGGAGGCCTGTGGGTGACTTACTGGGTAGGGTGGCCGGCACCAAGCCTGCACCCAATTTGACACCTAATGCCGCTTATGCAGAGGGCAATTGAGGGGGGGGGGGAGATCAGAGCGGGATGCAGTGCAGCATGCAGCGTGGGGAAGCCACCTCGATCCTCGATCACCTTGAAGCCAAAGAAAAGTGGTACTGACTGAGGCTGAGAGTGCCCCGTGGGTGTGCCGTGTCAGCTGCGTCTGCTGCTATTCTTTCTGGTTTTTCTTTCTGGGTCCGAGACTGACTCTATTCTCCCGACTTCAACGTCTCTCTTGAGATTTACCCGCTCTCCTCCCTCCTCTCTTGTCATCTCTCCGGGGAGGCAGGAGTGTCATGTCGGGGTGAAAATTTGATGGCCTCGAGTGGCTCCCGAAACCTGGCGGCGGGCAGATGCAGCAATAGCGGAGAGCCACGGCCTGCTTCTTCCCGTGATTGGCCAACAGCAAAAAAATCTGCTTGGCATCAAAAAAAGGACTTTCTCAGCACTGTCCACTGTCGACTGTCTCAATTTCATCTGGAACTGACTGCAATAGCATGCAATCTACTTTCCTCCTATTGCCTTGAGGTCTGGCGTTGGCACTGGCGAATACATAATCTCACCATCATCGCCATTGTACGCATCAGATGCGCCCTTGATTGTTCGCCTGCTGTGCTGACAGCAGTCCTCTCATTTCGCCATGAGTCGGTCAGTCTCCCTGACCACCGATGGTCATCGCCCAATGTCCAGTGACAGTAATCTGCCTCAGAGTCCAACGGTTGCCGCTTCTGTGGGTATTAGCAATACCGAAGGGCCTCTTTCTCCGACCTACCAGATCGACGGAGACCACATAGGTGCTCTCAACCCCATGGCCACACCTCAATCCCTCAACGGCGACCAGCCAAAAGTCTATCTCGAGCTCCGGGATGGCCAAGTGTTCGAGGGTCTTAGCTTTGGTGCCAACAAAAGCATTTCTGGAGAACTCGTCTTTCAAACCGGGATGGTAGGCTACCCAGAGTCTATGACCGATCCATCCTACCGCGGCCAGATCCTTGTCATTACTTTTCCGCTTGTCGGCAACTACGGTGTGCCCTCTAGAGAGACCTTGGACGACTTGCTAGGGGATCTCCCCAAGCACTTCGAGTCCGACCGGATCCATATTGGAGGACTTGTGGTTGCCTCATACGCGGGTGAGAGTTACTCTCATTACCTGGCTACTTCTTCTCTAGGAACCTGGTTGAAAGAACAAGGTGTTCCGGCAATGTGTGGTGTCGACACCCGAGCTCTGACAAAGATAATCCGAGAAGAGGGCAGCATGCTTGGCCGCATGCTCCAGGCAAGACCCTCTTCAAAGCCAAAGCTTTCGAATGGTGTCAAACTAGATGCACTTCCCAATGGAGACGTAGTGATGGGCCCGCAAAACTGGCGAGAGCAAGTTGAAGGAATCGACTGGCATGATCAGAACGAGAGAAACCTTGTGGCGGAGGTATCTGTGAGGGAACCCCGAGTCCTCTCTCCTCCCGCAACCAGAGCTCTGCTTCATCCGTCTGGGAGGCCTGTTCGTGTGGTGGTTGTGGATGTCGGTCTGAAGTACAATCAGCTGCGATGTCTACTATCTCGCGGGGTTGAAGTTCTCGTGGTGCCGTGGGATTTTGACTTTCCAGCTCTTGCTGGAACAAACTACGATGGACTATTCGTTTCCAATGGTCCCGGAGATCCCGCGATGCTCTCGACAACCATCAAACACATTTCCGAGGCTTTGAAGGAGGGGCGAACACCCATTTTCGGCATCTGTCTTGGTCATCAATTACTGGCTCGCGCAGCTGGTGCGGAGACATTGAAAATGAAGTTCGGTAATCGTGGTCACAACATTCCTTGCACAAACCTTTTGTCCGGACGGTGCTACATCACTTCGCAGAACCACGGATTTGCCGTCGATTCCATGACACTTCGTGAAGGGTGGGAAGAATTGTTTGTGAACGCAAACGATGGCAGCAACGAAGGTATTCGGCATGTGTCTCGACCGTACTTCAGCGTGCAGTTTCATCCCGAGTCCACGCCTGGACCTCGAGACACTGAATTCCTATTCGATGTCTTCGTTGATGCGATCATGAAGAGTATTGAATCTGTGGACGCTCTCCTTCGTCCTGTGACATTCCCAGGCGGTACCGTCGAGGAGAACGAACAAGCACATCCTCGTGTAACGGTCAAGAAAGTTCTTGTGCTTGGAAGCGGTGGCCTCAGCATCGGTCAAGCGGGAGAATTTGATTATTCTGGCAGTCAAGCAATCAAAGCTCTCAAGCAGGAAGGCATATACACCGTTTTGATCAACCCAAACATTGCAACTATACAAACCTCCAAGGGTCTTGCCGACAAGGTCTATTTCCTACCCGTCAACGCAGACTTTGTTCGGAAAGTCATCAAATATGAGAGGCCGGACGGCATTTACTGCACTTTTGGCGGTCAAACCGCTCTACAAGTCGGCATTCAACTGAAAGACGAGTTTGCAGCTCTCGGAGTACAAGTTTTGGGGACTCCAATTGACACTATAATTACCACCGAGGACCGGGAACTCTTCGCGAGAAGCATGGAGTCGATTGGAGAAAAATGCGCCAAATCAGCATCCGCTTCGAGCCTGGAGGAGGCAATGCGAGTTGTCCAAGACATTGGATTTCCTGTCATTGTCAGAGCTGCCTATGCATTGGGCGGACTCGGCAGTGGATTCGCTGAGGATCCAAATCAGCTGCGCGAGCTGTGCACAAAAGCGTTTGCTGCAAGTCCACAGGTGCTCATCGAGAGGAGCATGAAGGGCTGGAAAGAGATCGAATACGAGGTTGTCCGAGATGCCCGAGACAACTGTATAACCGTCTGCAATATGGAAAATTTTGACCCCCTTGGGATTCATACCGGGGACTCGATTGTTGTCGCTCCTTCGCAGACTCTGTCGGATGAAGATTACAACATGCTACGTACCACAGCCGTCAATGTCATTCGCCATCTCGGTGTCGTGGGCGAGTGTAATATTCAGTACGCTCTCAACCCCTTCTCCAAGGAGTATTGCATCATAGAGGTGAACGCCAGGCTATCTCGATCTTCAGCTCTAGCCTCCAAGGCGACAGGTTATCCGTTGGCGTTCATTGCCGCCAAACTCGGACTGGGAATCCCACTGAACGAGATATCCAATTCAGTCACGAAGAAAACCTGTGCTTGCTTCGAACCTTCGCTCGATTACGTTGTTGTCAAAATCCCCCGATGGGACTTGAAGAAATTCACCAGAGTATCTACACAGCTCGGGTCTTCGATGAAGAGTGTTGGCGAAGTCATGGCCATTGGCAGGACGTTCGAAGAAGCTATTCAAAAAGCCATCCGCTCTGTGGATTTTCATAATCTCGGCTTCTCGGATATCTCAAACCCTCTAATGTCCGTCGACGACGAACTGCAAACTCCTTCGGACCAAAGAATGTTCGCGATCGCCAATGCCATGCACGCGGGATATTCGGTAGACAAGATCTGGGAAATGACCAAGATTGACAAGTGGTTCCTTTCTCGGTTGAAAGGTTTGAGCGATTTCGCCAAACTCATGTCGACTTTCACGGCGACCAGCATCTCTCCGGCGTTGATTCGACAAGCCAAACAACTTGGATTCTCTGACAGACAGCTAGCTCGCTACTGGAATTCGAATGAGCTGGCGGTGAGACGTCTAAGGGCCGAGGCAGGCATACACCCCTACGTCAAGCAGATCGACACTGTTGCAGCCGAATTTCCCGCTTACACCAATTATCTCTATCTTACTTACAATGGTACTGAGCACGACATTGCGTTCGACGACCACGGAGTAATGGTCCTGGGTTCTGGCGTCTATCGAATTGGTTCTTCTGTGGAGTTTGATTGGTGCTCAGTCAGAGCCATCCGTACTCTCCGACAGCAAGGCTCCAAAACCATCATGGTCAATGTAAGTTGCATTTCTTTTGATATGCTCGCTTGCGCACTTCTGCTCCGGCAATTGGCTTTGAGCGCACACTATTCCCTGGATGGATTCTAGACCTTTGTTATCCTATTCTTTTTTTTTTCCTGCACTGATTTTCAGCCAACCTTTTGTCATATTCCCCGCTAACTTCTCTCAGTACAACCCGGAGACGGTGTCCACCGATTACGACGAAGCAGATAGGCTATACTTCGAGAATATCAATCTCGAATCGATCTTGGATATCTATCAGCTGGAATCAGCCAGTGGTGTCATTATTTCGATGGGCGGGCAGACCCCGAACAATATCGCCTTGCCTTTGCACAGGCTCAATGTAAAGATCCTGGGGACATCGCCCGAGATGATCGACTCGGCCGAGAATAGGTACAAATTCTCCCGAATGCTGGACAGGATCAACGTGGACCAGCCCTCCTGGAAAGAGCTTACAAGCATCGAGGACGCACTACAGTTCTGCGAAAAGGTCCAATATCCTGTTCTGGTACGACCATCATATGTTCTGTCTGGTGCAGCAATGAATACAGTGTATTCCAAGGATGATCTCGCCAGCTACCTCAATCAAGCAGTGGCTGTATCAAGGGAACATCCCGTTGTGATCACCAAGTATATTGAGAATGCCAAAGAGATCGAAATGGACGCAGTGGCAAAAGACGGCGTCATGACTGGGCATTTCATTTCGGAACACGTTGAAAATGCCGGTGTCCATTCGGGAGATGCCACCCTCATATGTCCTCCACAGGACCTTGAGCCAGAGACTATTGCACGAATTGAGGAGGCGACCCGCAAGATCGGGAATGCTCTCAATGTGACAGGTCCGTTCAATATCCAATTCATTGCCAAAGACAACGAAATTAAAGTCATCGAATGCAACGTTCGAGCCTCGCGATCCTTCCCGTTTGTCTCGAAAGTCATGGGCGTCGATCTCATCGAGATGGCAACCAACGTCATCATGGACAAACCAGTGACTCCTTATCCGCCCGTCAATCTACCTCCAGACTACGTCGGTGTCAAGGCCCCTCAATTCTCCTTCTCTCGTTTGTCCGGCGCAGACCCCGTCTTGGGTGTTGAGATGGCGTCAACTGGAGAAGTTGCCTGCTTTGGACGAGATCGTTACGAAGCTTATATTAAGGCAACCATTTCGACTGGTTTCAAACTACCTGAAAAGAACATCCTCCTCTCCATCGGATCTTTCAAAGACAAGATGGAAATGCTTCCCTCGGTGCGGAAATTGCACCATATGGGATATAACCTATTTGCAACTTCGGGCACGGCTGACTTCCTTGAGGAGCATGGCATTAAAGTTAAATACTTGGAGGTCCTTGGTGGAGACGACAAAGATCAAAAATCAGAGTATTCGCTGACCCAGCACCTGGCAAGTAACATGATCGACCTCTACATCAATTTGCCCTCCAGCAATCGATTTAGGAGACCTGCGAATTATATGAGCAAAGGATATCGTACTCGGAGAATGGCTGTCGACTATCAGACTCCCTTGATCACGAATGTCAAGATCGCTAAGATCCTCATCGAAGCCCTAGCCAGACACTATGACTTGAACATTCGGAATATCGACTTCCAAACAAGTCATCGAACAGTGCTTCTTCCAGGGTTGATCAACGTAGCTGCATTTGTCCCCGGTATTGCTCAGAAAGGATCTCCAGATTTCTCCCTCGTCACCAAGGCGTCCATTGCAGCAGGCTTCAGCATGGTTCGGGTCATGCCCGTCGGCATCGATAGTGCTGTTGCCGATGCCCGATCTCTGAAAATTGCACAGCACAATGCTCAAAGTGGAGCATTCTGTGACTTCAACCTGTCTGTAGCAGCTACCGATTCCAATTCCGAGCAGATTGTCAATGTCAAGGAAGAGGTCGGATCGCTCTTCATTCCTTTCAACCATCTCTCTTCAGGCAACATCAACAAGGTTGCGACCGTGACAGCTCATTTCGGAACATGGCCGTCCTACAAGCCAATTGTGACGGACGCAAAAACCACAGATCTAGCATCAATCCTCTTACTCGCAAGTCTACATGATCGAAAAGTCCACGTACACAACGTCACATCCAAGGACGATATCAGCTTGATTGCTCTCTCCAAGGAGAAGGGCCTGAAAGTCACATGTGACGTGTCAGTCTACAGTCTCTTTTTGTCTCAAGCAGACTACCCCGACTGCTCTGCGCTACCATCCGCTGCTGACCAGCAAGCTTTATGGGATCACCTGCCGACAATTGATGTATTCTCGATTGGCAGCCTGCCATATCAGATTGCTGGTGAAAACGCAGCCCCCACTGTGGGGATTACCGATGCTCTTCCGCTGCTGTTGACGGCGGTCTCGGAAGGGAAGATGACTGTGGACGACGTGACCACCCGTCTGCACGACAACCCGACCGCCATCTTTGAACTTCATGAACAGGCTTCCACCTCTGTCGAGATTGATATTGATCGCCCCTATGTGCTTCAAGTTGGCGAGGTATGGTCACCGTTCGTCGGAAGGACATTGCGCGGAGCAGTTTCGAGAGTCATTTTCCAAGGAAAGACTGCTTGCCTTGATGGTGAAGTGCTTCTCGACGGTCCTCGAGGTTCGGACATGTCATCGCACCTACTCCATCCTGTTTCGGCAGCGGGCATTTCTGCGTCTCCCGTCATCCAGGCACAAGTAGAGAGTCCAAGTGACAGACGAACCTCCATGCTCGACACCATGGCAACCAGACGTGTCTCAATGAGCACTCGAAGCAGGCCTATTGTCCGTGCTCGCCCCATGGATGAAGTCCTAGAAACGACCAGTCCAATGCTCCCAGCCGCAGCTTTGTACCAACCCCAATCTCCGTCCACAATCTCGCCTTCTCTTCTCTCTCTTCTCGCTTCGTCCCCCTTCAAAAATCGCCACGTGCTCTCCGTCAACCAGTACAACCGGCAGGATCTGCACATCCTCTTCACCGTTGCACAGGAAATGCGTTTGGGTGTCCAACGTCAAGGTATCCTCCCCATCCTGCAATCCCGCGTTCTTTGCACGATGTTCTACGAGCCCAGCACCCGCACTTCGGGATCCTTCGACGCTGCAATGCAGCGGCTAGGAGGTCGCACGATCGCCATTAACACCGACCACTCAAGTACTCAAAAGGGAGAGACCCTGCAGGACAGTATCCGGACGCTAGGCTGCTACGGCGATGCCGTCGTACTTCGCCATCCGGACGAAGAGTCTGCTTCCACTGCGGCAAAATTTTCCCCTGTGCCTATCATCAATGGGGGCAACGGGAGTCGTGAACATCCTACCCAAGCTTTCCTCGATCTCTTCACCATCCGCGAAGAGTTGGGCACTGTCACCGGTCTCACTGTCACATTCACAGGTGATCTCAAGTACGGACGCACAGTCCATTCCCTGGTGAAACTCCTCCAGTACTATGAAGTGCGCATCAATCTCGTCTCACCCAAGGCGCTTGCCTTGCCAGCTGAAGTGCGCGACCTTATTGTGTCTTCGGGTCAACTGGCCATCGAATCAGACACGCTCACACCCGAGGTTGTTGCCAAGAGCGACGTGTTGTATTGCACGCGTGTTCAAAAAGAGAGATTCCCTTCACTCAACGAATATGAGAGGTTGAAGGATAGTCTGATTGTGGACAACTCCGTGTTGAAATACGCAAAGCAGAGCATGATCGTCATGCACCCGCTGCCGAGGAATAGGGAAATCAGCGAGGAAGTCGACTTTGATCAGCGCGCAGCCTATTTCAGGCAGATGCGGTACGGGTTGTACACGAGAATGGCACTGCTGGCCCTCGTGTTGGCGCATTAGAATGACAATACGGCCCGAGACAGTTGGGGCGGAGAGGTTTCCGTTCATCCTCTGCGACTTCTAATTTTCTTTTCAATATCTCTAGCACGGTTGAGCTGGACGGACTTTCACAAAATCGCAAACACGAATTGAAACCACCCAAAAAAATGGGGCACAAAGGTAATTTGGGTGTTGAAAGCATGGTCGACACAGCAGCGGAAGGAGAGAGAAAGAGAAAAAGAAAAACAACCAAACCAAAAAAAAAAGAGAAATTCGAACACTTGAGAATGGACCCAGACTGTGAGCACAAAAGCGAGATTGCAATGGAATACGAGCACAAAAAGCCAGAGTTGATATAAACTGTAGACCTAGATTGACATCATTTTCATAGAACATGGAGTAGATAAAAGCGGATACCCCCTCGACGTTTCCGCCTCGCGGCGAGTATATGACGTGATGAATTAATGAATATATATATGTGTGTGTGTGTGCTTCGCCGATTTTGTTGTGTTAGCGTATGACTTACGGGCCTTTCGCTGCCAAAGCGTGCAGGTATACACCTCTTCATGTTTTAGTCCAGATGTTTAGCCTGTCATATCAGGCAGACACACCTGAGTGAGTCGCGATGTTTTGAGCATCTTCTTACCAATTGCTCCGGCTAGGTCCAACCCTTGGGTGTCACCATCTTCTTGACAGAGTCGTTATTGCTGCCGTCTTAGTGGAAAGAAGATCTGACCTGGGCAAGGCTAGAGCTACGTCCATGGGGTCGCAAGCAGTGTCTGCGCTGGAGAATCCGTCACCATTTATCGTTTGTAGAGGGGCCACTAGTTGAGAGCTCTTGCAGTGCTGGTTGTTGTTCCTAGTTGGGTTGGAGAGATCCTATTCTTTTAGCGGGAAGTATGCACTTTCCCCTTCGAGTACGTTGAATTGAGGCTGAATCCTGAGAGATGCCGTGGTCTTCCCCTGGCAAAAGTCCGCTCAGTAGGCCTAGAGATTTTTTGCCGGTCTCGATTGTTCTGTGGGATAAAGCAGCGAGAAGAAAAAAAAAAAGGATATTTAGCTTGAGAAGACAGCAGGTGTCTGTAGCCATCGAGTACATGTCATAGCACATGAGCCAAACCTTGCACTTGATGAGTGTGTAACGGTCTGCCCTAGAATTGGAGGGGGGGATAGGCTGAGTCAGTGCAGATATAATCAGTCATCCCGTGTCGCATATCGACAGACTGCCCTATTTGGCAATTCTTGTGGCCAAGAACATAGCATTCGTTTGCGGGTCTCTGATCTGTCATCTGCAGATGTGTCGGCTTCCGGTCAAATAACCCCAGAACAAACTCTGTGGGTTCAACCCGTGACTAGGATCCGATGTCTGCAGCGAGCGTAAACCGTTTCAAGGAATATTCTATATCCATCTCTCTGATTGGTGTTTAACTGCAGCATATATCGCGGTGGCTTCCGAAAACTGGTCAATGAGAATGCGACCACATACTGTGCAGGTCTGTTGTTGAGAAATCCCCAGTCCACAGCTGTCGTCTTTGCTGAATGCCTCTGCACGCTTCTTGTGGGTGACAGCGAAAACCGCTCAACATCGAGTCCTTCTCCTCGGAGTCTCATCGGGAATGATCGAGGTGTTTTCGGGCCTGGTTGAACATGAAGCGACCCATTACCACGGCACCGATGATTTTCCGTAGGCGGCACCAGCGGCATGTTGAGGTATTACAAAAGTCGGTTCTGATTCGGAGTCCGTCCCTAGATGAGGGGAAGAAGATCATGTGTAATTCGTATGTAGACCCTTTTCTGGTAATTTCCGCGCCTAGGAGACGATTTCCGGGACCGACGAGCGGCAAGCTACCGCTCTGCACCTGTGTAGATCGAAGATCTCCAGGGGCCGCTAGTGGTTGAAGTAGACTAGGTGCAATGAAACGAGTTCCACGTATTGGGCGTCCAGCCTTTTCTTCCTTTGTTATCTGAATTCAGGTCATGTGGTTTTGATGAAATCTTGTGCATGTAAGATAGAGAGAAGGGTTGAAGCTCGCCGACTGAGCCCGAGGAGTTCCAGGATTGTCACAGTAGACGACAAATGGACGATCGAACATTAATGGAACAAATGAGCCATTAACCGGTTCTGTTACCCACACGGTCTCCGGGCCGTAGCAATAATATCGAGAAATATTGAGAAATATAGAGCTCACTGCACCGAGTACCAGTACAAGCAGGTTGACGTGCGATGTGCCGGGCAATCTTGTACTAGGCGTCTTTTCGGGGTCGCACCAGATGAAAAACCGCTCAGTGGAGAAGGTGTCGATCTGTTTGTGGGGATTCTCATAGAATTCCAGAAGGATGCCGAACCTGGAAGTTCTCGGGTCTCGAAACTTCGCAGGAGTGACCCTGAATCCTTCAAGAGGATGGGTGTGTGAGGATATCGCAGATAGCGGACGTGAAGGGGTGCTTGCGCAGACTGAAACCAGGGCGAAGCATCTGTTTCCTCAGCGAGTTCTTCTGGAATGTTTCTTGATTTAGCAGTTTACCAAGACCTCACTATCTTGCGGGATATGTCCATTCGTCGCAGGGAGAGACAAGGTGAGCAAGTGCTGGGTCTTCAGTAATGTGAAACTGTGATGGTGGATGATATCTGACCGTGCTGCCCTGTGCATCTTCTGGAAACATACCGAATGCAGTAATCGCAACGAGAATGGTTAGGGCACTGTCCGAGCTTGGACTCAGTAGTGTCGGTCGTGTCCGTTGGAAGGGGGGATTAAGTAATGGGTGGGATGCATACACAGTCAGGCTCTTTCGAACCCTGACTCGCTGCCCTTGGTCCCGATTTCTGCACGGTCAATCGCGGCCTATCAGCTGCAGAGCGGTCTTGCGCGCCCGGTGGTACAATGCGGGGCCTTGACTGAGTAAGTGAAGCTTACCTATTCACCGTTTGGCCGTCTTCCGTCTGGCTGTATCGGCACAGAAAGACGGAGCCGACGTTTGATTGGTGTCCGGCTGATTCTGGTGAAGATCGACTGGACTTACACAACAGGTGTAGACCCCACTGTGCCCACTCTGCATTGCTCAGGTCATCAACAGGGCAGACACATCAAGAGACCCCAGAACCCAGGGGTGGTCGATGAGGGTTGGCGGTGTGTATACATAGACAATGATGCAGTAGTCACCTTACCTCTGGGGTTGGATGGTTTAACCGGAAGGGGTGGTCTGAGCACCTGAAAACTCAGCACGTAGCACCTTCCCAAAACAATTATCCGTGGGAGCGGGATAGCGTATACAGTTGAAGTTTTCACACGCGCGGTTGTAGAGGTGCGTTGCAACGGGCAGAATAGGGTGAGCTCGAGGTTCAGATGCTACTACCAGAGAAAATATCGGGGTCGAGTGCTGGTATGACACAGAAGGAACAATGAATGGTGTGAAGGATGGCACTGGGACTGACGGGAATCCGGCAACAGAAAATAGGGGCGGCTACGTCACTGCCCACTAACAACGGGGTCGCTAGTACGGAAGTCACGTTACTCTATACGCATACTGACACACAGCATTGAGTGCTATACGAGGTACTCGGTACTCTCTATCACTTCTGCCTTACGTCTTCCCTACCGTCTCTCTCACCTGTATCTCTGCTATTTCATATGATCACTGCGATTGTCATGATTACCATCACCATGTCCATTTAATCACCCGCCGACGCTCGTACGAAGACTCTGGGCGAACATGACAGTCGCATCGTTGGGTGCGCACACCACCCGCTTGATCCTTGCACCGGACAAAGTTTGAGGTGGTTGACTGTTGGACACCGGCTCCGAAGGTCACGGACACAGACTTCCCTCCTGCACACTGCACTGTCACCCTCGTCACCGTGCTTGACCGTGCAATCATGGGCACGTATTACGACGCCCTGCACGCTTACCTCACGACTTCCTTTCCCGTCCACCATGTCTGCAGGATGCGCTAAGGGCTAGAGGCCTCCCTAGTCACCCACCCGCCTGTTCCGAAATTATTGCGCGTTGGCCGGTGTAGAGGTGTTTCTTTTCCGCACAGACGGATGATGGTGCGCCTGGCGACTCGAGGGTAATTACCTTTCCCGGAGCGACTAGCTCGTACCAAAAGCCCGTCGAGCCCGTCTTCCATTCATCCTGAATTTCACGGCCCATACCCCGGCTATTCAATTCGGTCCTTTTTCTATCAAAAAGATATATTCCTCTGTCCCATCCCACTCGACCACCCCCCTTTCTCTTCCCCAACAACCAGAGGTCCAATACCACCATCGACCAGCCAGTACCGAGTACTTCACACGTCGACACTATACCAAAATCCACCACCACCACTACCACCACCACCACCATGCTCACTTCCACATCAACAAACCCGGCCATCCAGGCCTACAAGGTCTACCACCTCTCGCAGACCAAGCTCGATCGAGAGTGCCGCCGACAAACGCCAGATCTCCACCGCATAGTGCTACACGCCTCCATCGTCGACAATGTCCGTCGATGGTCTCGTGACCTAGCCACCCCTTCCGAGACTGTCGTGGTCGACTCCGAGTCAGACACCGACAGTGATCCGTTCGAGGACTCTGCCTCCGACGAGGAATACGAGGATGCCATGCCTGTCGACCAAGTTGCCATCTTCGACTGCGAGGTTGACGACGACACAACGATTGAGCAGCAGTCGCAAAGCACCGGCAAAGTCTACGCCGTTCAATCTGGTATGCTCCAGCCTGTGGACAACAAGGACTCCCAGTCCAAATCTGCTCCTGCAAGCCCCAGGAGAAGAGCTCCTCCCCCGCCATCCGCCGCTAATTCAACCTACGAACTCCATGATCAGAGCTGGAAGCAAAACCGACCAGTCACGGTGCGGGAGACTGCGATTGAAGTCGATGGCGATGACTGACTGGACGTGATCCACCCCACGATATGACACGCCTTTACGAGAATTTGATACCCCTTGCTTAGAGCATCCATTGAGCCGCAAGGCTACGACGTTACGAAACTCGACTCTGCCGCCGCTGCAGTCCCACCAAGTCACTGCTACAGCACACCACCTGGCTTATGGCGGGTGATCTCCAGTTGAGCTTGATGCTACGGAGATCCACCTACGAGAGATGCAGCGACGAAGGCAAGTCGACCATGTCAGGGAACGCTTGACCGGAAGAGCGACCAGGCTGTCCACTACCGGAAGAGGAGCAATTTCCAAGGAAAGCTTTGTTGGAGCAAAAGAGACCAAGGGCGAGCACCGCCTTCAGATGGAGAGATCAGCCTTCCCTCGTTCCCGAACCTCAGTAGTCGTGACTTTTGATAAGTCAGCCTGAGGAGAGGGGCTGGGAAGGACGGGTATCCGTCTGGGATAATTGGGAGCAACTTGCCGCAGCCGCCGGGTCCTGGGTGGAATTGGAAGGAAGGAAGGAATGACTATCGAGATCTGCGATCCAATGTAAAATACTCCAATTCTAGCAATAGCCCGCTGTCCCATTTCTCCATTGATTTGAGAGATCTGAGATTTCGTTGTACTTGTAATCAAAATGTCACTCACCAATGTTGGAAAAAAAAATTTAATTTTTTTTTATCAATTACACAAATATTGCATCAGATCGGAGATTTTCAAAGAAGGCCCCCCTGGAACACTCATAGATCCCCTGGCGATCAATCGGTGTGGACCGACGAGTCTCTGCCTGGGTAGAGCACACTGATACACAGTCCTTCGCGGACCGGTCCAGTACATATGGCTCGGTTTCCCCCTTTCTCCGCATGTCCTGCCTGTGGTATGCAGTACCAACGACACCGACACCGACACCGACACCGACACTCTTCTCACCGCCATCGCTGCTGCATCTGTCGCAGGTCATGGCGTGCACCTTGCCACTTAGCGAAGCACCGGGCCGACCGACCCGACTCGACCCAACTGCACCGCAGCTGCAGCTGCAACTGGGTGGTGAAACGGGCAAGGAAAGCTTTCGATGGAGGACATATTTTGCACGCCTCAATAGCCGGCTACTTCGTACATAATACGCACTAACGTAGGCGGAGAACGGGGTTGCCAACCTCTCCGGACCTCGCCGGTCAAGGTGGTGACTGTCGGAAACTTGAGGGGGAGGATCATTTTCCACAAGCTGTTATGGCCGCCGATCTTGGCCGAATATTCTAGTCGAGACATACTTCATATTCTGCAGTGTAAGGAAGGAGTTTTGAACTCTACTGCGTAGGCCGTTGAAGGAAGGGTTATTGCTGTCCGACCCGCTGCAATCATGACCAAGGCTACCGAAACTCAGGGGCTAGTCACCAGGCTACCAAACCCCTAACTGTTACTCATTACCGCCCTTATGCAGCCTTCTCATATCGAGCCATATTGACGTGTCTATTCGTACACGACTAACCATACCTCTAACCATACCTATCTACGCAGGGCCTTGTTGGAAAATTTCACACCCTCTGGATGCCTGACACTCGACCAAACGCTCGGCGAGACCTTAATAGGCAGTTTTCTCCCCTTCAACCTCTGATCAATGAGCCAAAGACCCACCACAAACTCCTCGCGGTTCAGTGCCTTCGCGCCTGGCTGTGCGACGAGGTCCCAGATCTCCTCCAATACATCTTTAGGCAGACGGCTTCGTTCCCAAATATCTCGTGCCACAACATTCACCACCAAATCAGTCACAGGAGTGCCATCCTTCCTCGGCCCTAAGCCGGGGTTTCCCAAGTCGTAATCGAGTAATAGCCCTCTGTTTGCTGCCCAAACACCTTCGTACCGCTTCCTCTCACGCTCCGTGACCTTGTCTCTCCACCGCCTGCGATCCCCTTCATGGTGCATATTCGGATGTCGCCTCCAATGTCTGCGGCCACGCTTCTCTTCTGGGGGCTCATCGCGCTCTGGCGAAGGATTCCGCAATGTCTGCCTCATAGGCCGCACAGGGAGCGGTTTCAGCTTTGGTGTTTGTGAGATTGTTTCACTTCTCATAGCAGGAAGGTGCATTAACTGTCTTGCGCTCTCAAATGCGCCCACCGATTTCGAGCGCCGACGAGGTATAGGAGGCGGAACCTTGCTTGATGCAGGAGAGGCTCCACGAGAGCCGGTGTGAGAGGCTGCAATGGAGCCTGCTACCATAGCGTCCGCCAGAGAACTTGCAGTCATTCCGGTTCGCGAATCCAGGGCGGAAGCTTGTTCTTGTGCGACAATTGCTGCGCGGTTGGCGCGCAGCGGAACAGGCGCCGGTAGAGGCTTGTGGGCATCTTCGACCTTTGACCGTCCGGTGTCACTCTCCGAGTCAGTCGGCGGAGGAGTCACTTTGACGCGTGGCCATAATGAGCTAGTGGTCGATTGAGGGGACACAGTAAGATTTCGGAAGACTGGTGCGCTTGGACTACTCTCTTCAGAAGTTGACAGAGCCCGTCTTCTCGCCTCTAGGCTCGCAGCATTCCTGGAAGCTGTGGCGGCCGCCGCCGCCCCGGAAAGAGAGGGACTCGGGGCAGAAGAGGTCTGAGCGGAGGAAAGAGGCAAATTTGAAAGGTAGCCAAGGTCGCTTCTATGCTTGTCACCTGTTGCAGTCTGGACCTGGACAGGAGCTGTTGTCATCGAAGCCTTGGCCCCAGCAAGAGCAGCCGCGCTCTGTTGAAGTGACTGAACAGCCTCGCTGCTACTACTTGTACTCATGCCCCGACTTCGAACCTGAGATGGATCCCGCCTCGCCAGATACGAGCTCGCCTGATCTCTTTTCAATTCCGGCCTGCGGACAGGACTTGTCTTTGCCGAAGCCGCAATGGCAGCAACGGCAGATGTAGATCGAGGAGGACGAGGTCGAAGTCCAGGCTTAGGAGGCGATAATGAGGAGTAGACGGAAACCGCGACTGGCAGCTTCTCTGTTGTCAACGTCCGACCCCGAGGATTGACGGTTGCCTCTTGTGAAGGGGCTTCATTCTGCTGTTGTTGCTGCTTCCTGATAGAGGCAGTGGTTGCCGCAAGCAGGGCTCCTGCAGATGGATTATGTGATGCGGAGACGGAGATATTGGGCGTTTTTACCGCGGCCGGTCCAAATGCCAAAGTGGCACCCTGAAGGGCAGGTGATGGCAAGGGGGAGATTCTGGGTGCGGTGGCATTGTGCTGTTGGATGAAAGAGGGCTTTGGCGCCACAGGAGGACGCCGTGCCTGCTTCTCACTCATCAATCCATGGACAACGGGTCAAATGCAGGATGCCGAAGCATCGGACAAGTTCAAACGAATGGGGCGAGTCTCATGAGCTGAGTAATGGATTCATCACATCTCAATAAATCTAACTGTGTCCTTGCAGTAAGGTCAGAAGCACGCGCCGAACGAATAATGAAGGCCGAAGCGAACAGAAAGTGGAAGCATAAGAAAGGAACAAGAGAAAGGAACAGGAGAAAAGGGAAGCTGAGAAGTCGGCTTGTAAGCCTGATTGCGCCTCGACTCGGCACGTGATGTATGCTCGAGATGTAACACGTGATCACGCGTCTTGGCGCGCCTGGTCAAACGTCTCAAAGTGAGGAATGACTTCACTTCCTACTTGCTAGGCAGCATCACTTATCAACTTGCCGCTCACCATCTGGCTGACGATGCCGCTCTCGGTTCATGTTAAAACCCGAGAATGCGAGTACGCAAATAAGTCTATCCCGTTCGGATTCAGACTGGCGGCCTAGTCTTCAACATGTCTGATGACGAGAGCATGTACGATGAGTCCAGGCATGAAGATGCACCTAGCCGTGTGGACTTCGAGAAACAGTTAGATAAGGAGTATCCGAACCGCCCTCGCAATCGCGGCAAGAGTCTTCCTTTTCACACTCTTTTCGAGGATCTCTTCAATCCTCTGATTGACAATCGGCAGAAGAAGCCAACAGCAGCTGCCGTCAATCGCAGAAAAGTAGGTCCAGATGGCCAATCTAATTTGTCTCCGTCTGAGAGGCGGCGCGCCATCATTCAACGATACATCGCTCGGTGGCGAAAAGAGGTTGGCCCTGACTTCTTTCCTGCCTTTCGGCTTATCATCCCAGATAAAGACCGCGAGCGCGGAGTGTATGGGCTCAAGGAGAAGATCATTGCCAAACTACTTATCAAGATCATGAAGATCGACAAGAACTCCGAAGATGGATACAGTCTTTTGAATTGGAAACAGCCCGGTCAGACAGCTGCATCGCGCATGGCAGGAGATTTTGCGGGCCGTTGTTATGAGGCCCTTTCCAAGCGACCAATGAGGGTGGAAGTTGGAGACATGACTATCGAAGAAGTCAATGAACTCTTGGACAAGTTGTCAGCCGCTCCGAGGGAGGAGAATCAGCTTCCGATCTTGGCCGAGTTCTATAAACGCATGAATGCTGAAGAGTTGATGTGGTTGATTCGTGTAATTCTGAAACAGATGAAAGTGGGCGCCACCGAGAAGACCTTTTTCCACCTCTGGCACCCTGACGCAGAAAGCCTCTTCAATGTTTCGAGCAACCTGCGAAGGGTGTGCTGGGAACTCTACAGCCCCGAAATCCGTCTCCAAGACGAGGAGGCGGGAGTCATGCTGATGCAGTGTTTCCAACCTATGCTGGCCCAGTTCAAGCAAGAATCTCTCAAGAAGGTTGTGGAGGCACTAAGACCAACGCCTGATGACCCCGAATTCTGGATTGAGGAGAAGCTAGACGGCGAACGCATACAGATGCATATGGTCACCGATGAGGGTCATCCGGGTGGGAAACGCTTCCAATTCTGGTCCCGAAAAGCCAAGGACTACACCTATTTGTACGGCAACGGTTTCCACGACCCCAATGGTGCGCTCACCCCGCATATCAAAAATTGCTTTGTAGATGGTGTAGAAAACATCATCCTCGATGGCGAGATGATAACATGGGATCCCAATGAAAAGGCACCGGTGCCATTTGGAACGCTGAAGACTGCTGCACTAGCCGAACAACGGAACCCTTTCGCGCAAGGCCACCGTCCTGTATTCCGGATCTTCGACATCCTTCTACTGAACGATCAGCCTCTGACTCGCTATACCTTACGAGATCGCCGCAAAGCGTTAGCAGCCAGTGTGAGGAGTGAACCCGAGCGCTTCGAAATCCATGAATACACTGTGGCCACGAAAGTGGAAGATGTTGAAGACTTGCTCCGCAAAGTCGTGGCCGAGGCTTCTGAGGGTTTGGTACTCAAAAATCCAAGATCCATGTACCGTTTAGACGATCGTTCCGGCGACTGGCAGAAAGTCAAGCCAGAGTATATGGACGGATTCGGCGAGGAGCTCGACTGTCTTATCATCGGGGGGTTCTATGGTTCGGGGAGACGTGGCGGAAACCTGTCCAGCTTTCTCTGCGGTCTGCGGGCCTCAAACAAGGCGGTGCAAATGGCGAGCCAGTCTCGAAGTCAAAGCCAAAGCCAAAGTCAACGATGGCGACAACAGGCCCTCGCTCAAAGTCAAAGTCAGAGTCAATCCTCGAAACGACAGCAGACTCAATCTCAATCGCAACCACAGGCCGAACCGGGAGCTGAACCGTCCGAACACGAAGGCCCCGTAGAGAACTTTATTTCCTTCTTCAAAGTCGGCGGCGGCATGACGGCCAACGACTACGCCACAATTCGCCACGCCACAGACGGGAAATGGCATCCCTGGGATTCTCGTCGGCCGTCTGCAAAAGACTATATCGACATGGGCAACTTAAGCTTGCTCAAGGAGAGGCCAGACATGTGGATCAAGCCTTCCGACTCGCTCGTTGTGCAGGTGAAGGCTGCGCAAGTTACAGCCAGTGAAGATTACGGCTTCGGGAAGACGTTGCGATTTCCTCGGTTCATGAGACTGAGGAGGGACAAGGATTGGAAGACCGCCCTCTCGGTCGATGAGTTTGAAGATTTACAAGTCAAAGCCGAGGACAGGGAGAAAGAAAAAGCAATGAGGGTTGACCAGCAGCGCAAAGAAAGACGCAAAGCCCGCGCTGGCGGATATGCGAGTCGGAAGAAACCGCTTACGGTGGCTGGATACAATGCCAGAGACGTGAATAGTGTGAAGTTGCCAGAGGGTCCGCAGGGTACGGTCTTTGAAGGATTGACATTTTACATCATGACGGAATCCTCTCTCCCTGGAGATCAAAAGAAGACGAAGCTCGAGCTGGAAGCGTTGGTCAAGGCGAATGGCGGCAAAATTATCCAAACAGCAACTCCAATCTCTGAAGACCACGCAACCGTAATATGTATTGCGTCGCGAAGAACAGTCAAAGTCGCATCCCTCGAAAAGCGCGGGGAACAGGAAATCGTCAAGCCGACCTGGATCTTTGACTGCATCGACCAAGCAAAGCGAGATTTCTCTAGAGGATATGCAGAAGAGATGGTCGTTCCATTTGAGCCCGAACGCCACCTCTATTTCGCACCAGACAAGATGCGAGAGCTTTACGAGGATAATGTGGATGAATATGGGGACAGTTTTGCAAGGGATGTAAGTGAGGAGGAGCTCAAAGAGATTATGGCAAAGATGGGCATCGTCGACATTGAAGAGGAGGAAAAAGAGAGAGTCCCGGATCTCTTTGGGGAGGAGTTCCTAAACATGAAAGGCTTTATGTTCCATGGCCTGGTGCTTTTCTTTGATCAGCCTGGTCCCGCGGTGCAGAAGGACGAAGCGCAACCTTTCCGCCTCGGCGCAGAAACTACATTCACTACCACGACCACGACGGCGACGGCGACGGCGACTGCATCTTCCCAAGCTCTTGCGCGGTTCGCGAGCGCCACCGTTCTCCCACGCAGGTACACCACCCTCTCATCCATCCCCTCCGACCTTCGAACGACGATCACCCATATCATCGCCCACCCTTCTGTTTCGGACCTTGTGGATTTGAGGAGACAGGTCTCGCGGTGGGAAACGAGGAAGATCCCGCGAATTGTGGCGCGCGAGTGGATCGAAGCTTGTTGGAAGGAAGGCACGAGGGTTGACGAGGAGGCATACATCGCTCGCTAGATGAATGAGGCTATCTGCGTATGTCAGTAGCCCAGGGACTTCGGCGAAGGCTGCTGTCAACCCTTGACAGAGGACCTTGGAATCCGTGCATCCATCTACACACGGACGGCCGTTCTGAGCCACCGCGTTTGAGGGCGAATCAAGACCCCAGTTCTCCTCGAAAAGGTGGTCGGTGATTTTTACCCCCCTGCCCGCAATACAGCGAGGGGGAAATTGGAATGAACAGGTTTATTGTGTCCTTGTTCCAGTCCCGGAGATCCTCTTGAGCCTCGAGAGTCCCTCCTACGCTCCATATCTACCGTAGATACGCATGTATATCATTAACCCTACCTCCCTCGCCCGGCGAGCCAAAGCCAAAAAAGAAGAAAGAAACATTATCAAGTATGTACGGAGTACCTCGTACAGGGGGAGAGCAAATCTACCATCTATCGCTAGCAAAAGAAACCTAGGTAGGATGGGCGGTTTCTTCTTCCTCCTCATTCCGCTGACCGATGATCTCAACTAGATGAGACAGGACAGAATAGGACTGGGCAAGGACTGGGCTACTACTGATATTAACGTGACTAGTCGAAAAGGTGTCGGCTGTTGCCTTGTCTAACATAAACAGATTAGATGGCGTTCAAGTGGTGCTCTCTTCCCTTTTTCCTTTTCGCTCGCAGTGATCTTCTCGCCCATACTTTGCGAATCGCATCAGGGGGTGAAACAATCCACTCTTTTAATTTACAAACAACATCAATGGAGTATTCGTATTGTACACGGTCTTTTGCCAACGTCCCCGAGGGCGCTGGGCCGGAAGCGCCCCCCCCTATTCATGTAACCATCTTACAGCCCGAATTCATCGCTTGCGGTCGTCATTCGTAAAGGTGGTCCTTCTAGGACCATGTTCTGTGTCCCTTGTTTGCCGATTCTATGCCCGAGACAGCTGTCAGCTGAGAAGCAGACCTCCGAACCATCCATCTGCCAAATGTTACAAATCTTCAATCAACCAACTCGTCCACCTTTCACTCGCGTCTCTTCTTCTCCTCCTTCCTCTTTCAACCTTGTTCCCCTCCACCTCATTAGTCTCCTTGTCTTTGCCCTTGGCCCCCTCGTCAACAGGCGGCAACCACAACTTCGCGTGGCCCACGGCATCCTCGCTCAACTTCCCACTCTTGCGCATGTTCATCTCACACACAAAAACTCGCAGAAAATCCCGATTCTCGCGCGGCTCACGCGGTCGCGGCTG